CAATCTTTTCACACTATTAGCATCTATTACAGTAGCTAATTGTATGCTAATTGTTAACCTTCTGTTGTCATCTCCTTCCAGACCTTTGGCGCTCCATCGCAGGAAGAGGCTGACAGCACCCCCCACTGGTTGCGCGGCAAATCTGCCCTGGTGTCCCGTCGCCATGATCCCCGGACCATGGGTCTGGGCCCCGCGGTGGAACCTCGGCTGAATGCGGTGAATATGGCGCCGCGGCTGTGTCACATGTCCGCGGGCGGCCCGCGCCGCTTCAGCATTGGGGATGCCGAGTTCGCGCGGGCGGTGTCGCCCTATGAGTTGGAGTGCCTTGGGCATTGGTGGTGGGAAAGGATGGGTTGGTCATGTACAAAAACATAGGAGGAGATATGGGGATATCCTCCAAAATGGCACTTTGAGTGGGAAGATGATGCTAACTGCTAACTCTTGATGGATTTTGGGCTTCATTGGGCTTCCACCTTTGTGAGACAACCCCATACGACTAAGACTGTGGGAATTGCCCATCCCAAGTTGGGCAGATGTTGACCCATCTTGACCCATATTGACTCCCAAATCCCGTTGTTCCCTGCCTGGGAAATCCAAATGTATTGCATTCTTCTTGTTTTTAGCATGTAAACACCAGGGTACTCCGGTAACATGTCCGGAATTCCACAAACACAAAGAGACTACAAGAGACTAGTATCTTACACCCTACATTATTACTGCTGTTTGGCCATAAAACAAAGCATGGCAATGGATACGCGCACAATTTTGACATGATTTCTCGATTGAACGTAAGACTTCCATCAGTGCCATGATGTCATGTCCAATTTCCACTCAGTAAGCAATTATCTCCTTCCATTCCATGACCTTTTCTCTGCTATCCCAGCCGAAGCTCCAAGGTTCAGTGTGGTCCACGAAGCCCGAGGCAATCGGCGCTACATGCCGGGCCTCTTCAGCGAACAAACGCCCCTAGGCTTCCCGTGCCACGTGGTGAGTCCGGACCAGCCCCTGGGCTCGTCGTCCTCGTCCTTCGCCTCGGTGGCGTCGGAGATGATCCTCTCGGAATTTGGGGCAGCCAGGGTGAACAACACCACTTTGCTAATGGTTTTCCCAATTTGCAGATGGCAAGTTGTGGTTGAGGTTGGTGGATGTTGGTGGTTTGGGTATATTGTGTTTATTTTGCTGTTTACTTTGCGTTCCAGTTACAGGCAGTTCTGGGTAAGGCACAGATGACTTCCCGATGTACCCCTTATGCAAACACATCAAATTTGGGTACAGTACCAAAAAATCATTTAAACAAATCCATACCTTCAGCCATTTCTGGAGATCTTATGAGATCTTAGGCTGAAGAGTTGGTCTTCGCGTTGATCACCATGTGCCCTGTGGGCATTTCTTTGGAGCTGGGCTTCGGTCAAGGCCCCGGTGGTTCTGAGGCAGCAGCCCATGCGGCCCTGATGGGTTTGCGCTTCCATCGCCGCTCAGAGCCCGTTCTGTTCCGCCGCTGCTTGCCGGGGATGGCAACCTTGGAGATGGTGAATCGGATCAGAACGGCCATCATGGAAAACTGGGATTGGCTGAGGATGTTTGATCATTTTTTTAAAGATTTTCAACTTCATCCATCAGAAATGGGGGAATTGAATGGGAATATTTATATATATATATATACATACATAATTATGGGAATATTATAGATGCCTTTGTTGCTTTTCATGACCCTCTGGATGGCAAAATCCAAGGAAAACCTTGTAAGTCCAGCTGAGACCAATCCAGATGGACAGGAGATTTTGCTGTGGGAAGATGTGGAGGCTCAAAAGGACTTCGAGGACTTGATTGCCATGGTGGAAAATGCCAAGACCATCGAAGAGATGGGTGGGATGTATGGTGCCCAGTCCATGCCAGTGATGTGGATCCGACATCGGCCCAACTTGCGGAAGCAGGGGGAGACCGAGGAGAAGGAGGAGGACTTGGAGGATTTTCTTTTTCGAGACGATGAGTTGGATGAAGATGCAGATGTTCAGGCTCTGCAACCCATTGCTGTCAAAGACACCGTGGAACACACTGTGGCTTACAAGGCCGCTGAATTATCTCCACAAATCCAACATGCACATGAATGTCCTGACTGTGGTGAGCGCTTTGATGATTGGCCCAGCTGTTTGGAACACTTGGTGTCCACAGGACATTTGGATGTCTCCACCAGAAAGCTGGAGATGCAGGCGAAGAAGTTGACTCAGCCTGTGAGATGGAGGTGCTTGGAATGTTTCGAGGGCTTTCAGACCATGAAGGATCTGGAACAACATCTTCAAGAGTCGGGGCACCTTAGTTGGGCTGCTCCAAAACGAAAAGTCGCTGGTAAAGCAGGTGCAACCGGCATTGGGGATTGGATGTTTGGGGGCCGCCGGGGAGATTATCTAAAACTGGAACATGTTTGAAGCACAAACCGTTTTCCAACCATCATCATCATCTGGTTGGTGGTTTGGAACATTTTTTATTTTTCCATATATTGGGAATGTCAATGAATGTCATCATCCCAACTGACTTTCATATTTTTCAGAGGGGTAGGTCAACCACCAACCAGTTATGTTTATCATGATCGTCATGATCCATTGATCCAGATGTTTCTTCTACGATGGATAGCAGTGGTGTGGTTGCAAATAGCTAACCCTCAAGGATGGAAGTCAAACGCGAAGCATTAGTAATTATGACATTATGACTTTTTTTTTTGTCCAGTTTCCTAACTGTTTGTCCAGTTTCCTAACTGTCTCCATGCTTTTTCATTGCTGCTAGGTACACAGATGTTGCTGTGCAAACCTCGTCCCATTCCGGGCTTAGACACCTCCAAATTGGAGCCTTCAGAGCCGTCGGAGCCGTCGGGATTTTTCCGCTCCCTGGGAGCTTCTCTCTGGACCCGATCGCCCCCAACAGGCTCGGGCAGCGGAGGTTTCCTGGGTTGAGGTGTTTTTATGTGTTTTTCATTTTCTTCATGGGAAACCCACCGGACATGGAGAATCCAAGATGATTCCGTTGGGATAGGCATCACATGGCATCACATGGCATCACTCACAAGAAAAGAGAACATGATTCCCAGAACATGATTGATTTTCATTGATTTTCATAGGGCATATCTTTTCTTGGGGTCCCTTGGATCGCATGCGAGGTTTGCTGCATCCCAATGAGGCCACGGAACAGATGATCGCAGACTGTGATTTGCCGCTGGGTGCCAAGGATACGCTGAGGAAATGCGCTGGATGGGATGTGAGGTATGTCCTGAACAGCTACAACGCGGTGAAGAAAGAGCACGTGAAACGCCCAACTGCCTGGATCAATGGAATCTTGAAACGAATGGCGGACCAAAGCCTTGTCACTCCACCAGAATGGGATTCCTTGCTGTTGAGCCTTGACGACTTAGATCTCGATTTTAAGGCCAGGATTCCACTGAAACAGATTCCGCTTGAAGATGCTAAGCTTTTGGTGAAGACCTTGCGAGAGGACTTGGCCACCATACAGGCCCGCCCGAATGGAGTGGAGACGTATTTGCGGCTTGAGATTCAAAAAGTGAAGGCTGCAGCCAAAGGGCAGAAACAAACACCCAGCCCCTCGCCCAAGAAGGAACCGGCAGCTCAGGCCAAGGTGCCTGAAGCCACGGAGCCCAAGCAGCTAGCGGAGTCAAAGATCAAGAAACCACCGCCGCTGCTGCCGCCTCCAATCCCAGCACCACCGCCGCTGCCGCTTCAAATCCCAGCACCACCCGAGCCGGAGGCAGCCGAAGCGTTGGCGGCGAATGGTCCGGAAGGTGCCACCAAGGTTCCAAAGAAAAAGCGAAAAAAGAAAAGAAAACAGAACAAAAAAAAAACATCCCAATCTCAATCGAAAAGCGAGATGGTAACTGCAGGCCAAAAGACTGCCGGCTAAAATACTCTCCGATGCGTGCGAGAAAGAAGGTGGGGAGCAGTTCAATGGTTGCTTGCTTCAGAGGATGTTAATGTTCAGTTAAGAGAATGTTGTCAGTTACAGAATCGTGCGTATGATATACAATGATACATATATAATATAATATATTAATATAATATAATATAATATAATATATTAATATAATATAATATAATATAATATAATATAATATAATATAGTATAATATAATATAATGTATGATTCATCATTTGCATGTAGATTTATACTTATACACATATCCTGCGTGTGTATCCCTCCCTTCCTTTGTGTCATGTTGGCTATTTCAGCCTTTTTGACAGCCTCCTGGTAGGTGGTTTTAGATATCCTGACGGATTTCCATCATTTTCGGCCCCTTGTTGGGGCATGGATCAAAATTGGGCGCAACTTAAAACTGGATTCTTTCCAAACATGACCAAAACCTGCGGTCTCCTGGGCCGTATACATGTTGATCCATGCCCAAAATTTGGATGATTGTAATTGATTGATGCTTTTGAAGGGTTGAAACAACTAAGCATCTCCGATTTGCGCAGCAGTTTAGCACAGTCTCATTGCGATCAATTCGAATCTACAGCGCAGCCATGCAGATTTTCGTTTCTTGACAGAAATATTTGCCTGGCGGTACGCTAGTGTGGTTCAAAATCATTGAGCTGCAAATTTGGTTGTCTGATACTAATGTGGCAAAGCCAAAGCCGGCGGTGCCCCTTTTTCTGGGTATGGGCCACTCCTCAAGGATTCCGTATCCATCACTGGCATCGCCGGCCTGGAGGGTTCCGTCTTGAACCTCAACAACTACATACCAACTACGTCAAGATGGTCCATTTGCAAATTTAATTAATTTATGTCAATTTGATAGTTTGAAGATGTTTGAAGGGCTAAGATAGTTCAGCTCACCATTCGGAAAGTGCTTGAATATTGGTTTGTTGCGGAGTAGCCACAAGACTTGGACCGGAATTGGAGGTGAAAACCCTAACGGGAAAGACGATCACCTTGGATGTGGAGGTGGGCTCCGGGAGAAATCATGAAATTCCCAACTCTGAGGAAACCAATGGCAAATTCAATAGCACATTGATAGCATCCAACAGTCCAACAGCATCCTATCGGTTTATTATCACATCATCTACAAATCGGGTTCCCAATTCCAGCTGGTAGATGGCAAGTTCGTTTTTTTTCCTCCTCCGAACATGTGGTTCTGGAGAGGCCTCGGATACCATCGACAACGTGAAGGCTGACATGTTTTGTCGTTTTGTAAGGCGTGTGTACTTGCAAGATGCCTATCCGAACCAGATAGGGCAGAGAAGATCCTTCAAGTCCCCAACTGGCTGCTGCAGCTGCCCAAATGGGAGAACTGGATAGAAATGATAGAGCTCGGATATCACTATTGGGCCAAGGTCTCATGATGATTGATAGAATCAATTTCAATCTGTGCATTTTTTGGCAGGCTAAGATCCAAGACAAGGAGGGTATCCCCCCAGATCAGTTGCTTGGCTGAAGTTGGCCCGATGCGGGGATGCCCCTTTTGGACCTTGTGATGCCCCAAGGCAGCGTCTGATTTTTGCCGGAAAACAGCTGGAGGACGGCCGCACCTTGTCGGACTACAACATCCAGAAGGACTGCTGAAAGCCGAAGCCTTGAAGAATCCGTCAGATTCCTACAAATTTCCAACAACATTCTATCTATCTACCTATCTGACATATCTATCTATCTACCTATCTATCTAAATGTAGATTCGAAATGTAAGAGTTTCCTGCAATTTGTCCCTCAAAGCCACAGGAGTCCACCCTGCACTTGGTGTTGCGTCTTCGCGGTGGCCATTGCCAAGTTCCATGCGGTATCTTCGATGATCCCAAGCTGGTGGCGGACGTCAAGGAGGCCGTTGCCACCATCAAAAAAGCCATGGTGCAGATCGGCGAGTTGTCCGTCAGAGGCTCAGTGACATCATGACATCATGCCTCGACCTTTGGTGGGGGAATGGGTAGTTTAATCATAGTTTGATCCCTTCGAATTTTTTTTGCTACACATGGAAAATCAATGAAAATCACCAGCCAAGCAGCAAAAGATTGCCATTTTGTCTGGACTATCAAAGATTGACCGTGGGATGCTGCGGGCATGGTTGACCAAAGTTGAGATGAGGCCAGCATGACTCCGCTGAATATCAACCAGATGACGCGCTGGGTCAACACCAAGGCCATGCCTCTTTTTTGATCTTTTTTGGATGTCTGAGTGAGATAAGATGCTGACACTTTTTGAATAGATGGCGTGCATTGGCGTTCGATTTTCCGTGAAATAATCATGAATAAATAACATGAAATAACCATGTAAGCGGCTTAAACATTTTTCCTTCACTCGTAACAGTCTCCATGGGCTCAGTCATTCCCCATTCCATTCCCAGGAGGAGCATGCCAGCAAGATCGTCACCCTCATGTCCCTTCAGTCCGCACTTGGCAAAGCTGCAAAAACTGGAAAACATGACCACCATGTCACTATGACCTCCAAAATTATACAGGAAGCAGCTGTGGTTCATGGCTGTTGATTTTGGGATATTTTGGGAGATTGGGGGATCATGAATGGCCGGGATTACTATGAAATCATGGGGTCTGCATAATTCAAGGAAACTGCGCTGAACTTGGGGCCTGCTTCGGTGATTTTATACGATTGCATATGAAGTCTACGTATGTCTATGCGATATCTGTCAAGGTGGAAATACGATGAACTACGTGTGTAGCAACCATGGCTCCCTGCTGCAAAGGTCTGAGTATTGCTTGTGCCAGCGCGTGAAGCCCGTCAGTGACCCAAAGACACCCTTCGCAAGTGAGGCAGCTTTGGTCATGAGAGGGAGACGAGTTGCAGCCTTGGGTTGAGATAAGGGAAGGCCAACTGGTTCGGTCAAAAAATCACCCCCAAAAAAAACAGCATTCCTTGGGAGGGCGATGGTAAACCATGGGATTTGAGGGTGCTCAAATAAATGAACCTTCCGGATGGTCCGTGACTGACGCAGGCTGACTACATTGCCGCACTTCAATCCCACCACGCGGTACCTTAAGATGCACGTTATGAGAATAGCAAGTTGGATACAGGTCCAGTATGCTTGACATTTCAACCTATGGTTATGTGTGAATGCGTGTGCGTACATGTCCACAAACAGACATATAATGTGATATGCCTGATATGCCTGATATTCATAATATAGGATTTATATAGGCATTCACACGTCCATTCTCACAAGCACGCAGCTGCATGAACAACGCCCTCTCACAGGTCTATAAACACATGCCATACACTTTTCGATCTCCAAAAAACTGCCCAGATGGAGACATATCATCCCATGCATATCCCATGCAGCAGTGACTTCCCAGGTGATGCTGGCTGCTGTGAAATGCAAGCAGAACGTGGATCCCGCTTTGGCAGATGCCCTCGATGGCGCTGTGGCCGAGATGAGCAAGATGCAACTTGCCACCCATCGTTTAGCCATGGCTGGAAATCCCCTGGAGGTTTTCATGGGAAAATCATCGTAAATGGATGTAAATGGAACATTTTCTGATTCATTTGATGTTTTTTTTGGCAGTAGATTTGGCAGTAGCCTGTACTACCCTTTCTCTTTTTCATGTGGCAGGTACATGAAGTGAGCCCAGAGGCGGTCGGTTGCTTCGCAATGGAACAGCAACAGTTTTCGCCTCCCAACAGAGTGGGGTGTGAAATTTCAAGGGCGGTCACCTAGACCCCCCCAAAAACACCAGACTTAGAAACCGTGGCAAAAATTACCACATCCATTGGCATTGGGCTTTGCGCAAGCTCGACAGAAGACCGAAGCTGCCCCTGCGCTTGAGCCAACCGACACTGTAGTTTTGTTGCTCAAGCACATGGGCAGGCATGATTCTATTGCTGTGTTGGGGTTGGTCGATGGTAGGTTCCTTTCTGTCAGTTTTTCTTGATCCTCACTACTTGGAACTACTTGAGGTTGGATGTTCATGGATGTTCCATGATCTTCCATGATATCCCACGATGTTCTCACAAAACAATGGCATCTGGGTTTGCCTTCCGATTGCTCAATAAGATGTCGTCTCGCTGAGCAAAGCAGGATTTTGCCAGGTGGCGGGGTGTGTTGCATACTTTGCCGAGGCTATGATTGTCATAGCAGTTGGCTGTCTCGATGTTGGTCCCCTGCAAAAGTTTTTTTTTTTTAAAAAAACTGATGTTTAGAACAACCAGTCATTTGATTGGAATCGTTCTTGGAATCCTTCACTTCAGCCTTTCGGGAAGGGAAAGATTCAACTACTATGAGAATCTATGAAGGCATAAATTGAAAACTCATACTAAAACCTTGGTATCTTTTTTTTTTTAGCTTGTTCGGTGCGCCCATTGGCTCAGATTGGTTTCCCAGCCATGAGCGTTTGTTTTGGCCGACTTCGCCAGTCTCTCCCATGGAGCACTTTCGCTCAGTCCTTTGCCAGCAAACCATCAAAACATCGACCGGCCGCTCGGACAAAGCCGGTGAAAGCGGTGAAATCTGCCCCGGTGATTGGCACTGAAGTGTGGCTCATTCACAAATCATATACCCGAGTCTTGGTGGCATTTGGATGTTGATAAACATCGATACACAACGACCACGAGGAACCTGCAACTTGTGTATAACACTCTGAAAAACATAGTGGTGAAGTACTGTAAACAGTATACATTGGCAAAGAAACCGCTGCATGATATCTAGGTGTCACTTGACATAGTCACGTGTTGGCAGGTGTGCGACCGCTTTCCAGCATCCCTGAGACGGATGATGTTCACCTACTCACAAAAGAAATGCGACGATACATAAGTGAGTACAAGAGGAATGGCGCTGAGCCCTTCTTTCATCGGAAGTCAGGACGCGTGGTCCTGTCTCTTCTGCATGTTGAGCACGAAGGCAAGGACCAGTTTGTCAGAGGCATCAACAGCGAAGTGTCGCTACCCACGGGCTCCGTATGTGCGGAACGGACTGCCATTGGCAATGCCAGAGCTTCCTTTCCAAACATCATCCGCAAACAGATGAAGGGCATTGCTGTCCTGGAAGTACCCCTACTGAACAACTGGGACGCAGATGTGAACCATGACTTGTTGAATCCCTTGCCACCCTGTGGAGCATGCAATGAGTGGCTCCTGAAGATCGGAGAGGAGAATCCTGGTTTTTATGTGGTGACCTTTCAAGATTTATCCCTGGACGTTGTCCACGAACGTTTCTAGTGCAAGAAAATGAGATTGTTCATTTCGTTGACCCAAAAGAACCCGGGATATTTTGGGATGGTGTATAGCTGTTGAAAGTTGAACATAGTTGAACTACAGAAATACATAGAAATACCCAAAAAACACATTAGCAGCACTATAAATATTATAAATCAGCAATATTGGGCAGACACTTTCACTTACACAGACTTACACGGAGGTCTGCCCAACACCCGCGAGATCCAGGTTTCCAGTTTTGGTCCAAAGAGGAGTCTGCCACCGCCAAAAAAGAGATGGGCGCCTGGACCTGCAGAAGCTGCAAACATTGGAACGTGCCATTGAGCGTGATTTGTCAAGGCTGCAAGGTGCATCGATTTTCAGCCTCCTATCTCCACCTTCAGAAGGCCGTCTTCTTCGACGTCCTTCAGGCGATAGTGATGGCGATGGTTATGTCAATGCGGGTGAATGGACCGGGATTTTTCCGTCAATGATGGGCGCATTTCCATATCCTGCAATTGCCCTGCTATTCTTGTACTAGCAGGATATTGAGATTGGCCGTGAGGAATGGGCAAAACGTGTCTATATAATTAACATATATTAACATTAATTCATAAATACAAATAGATCATAATAGATCATAATAGATCACATGTTTGAGGTGTTTTAAAGGATGGGTTGCAAGGCTGCAAGGGTCAGTTCCACATTGGGCCCCCAGGCTCTTGAGGGTGGGCCGCTGGCTGCGCCGGAACTGCAGAACAAGATGGAAATTCACAAGAAGCACACGATGAATATCAAACAAATGCGAACGGTGCTAAGGAAGTTGGGACAGCGTCATGCTGATGTTCACCCTGTGGTAGCGAAGAATCAAGATGGACGCTATCATCTTACGGAAACTGGGCGCCAAGCATTGATTCAAAGAAAGAAACTTGTGAAAGCTCAGCGGCCGAGACATAGAAGGGTTGAATGACTGGGAAAAAATGGAGCCATCGCCGTCTGGAGAATTCTTCAGAAGATTCATGGGCAGGGGACAATGACGATGTGTTTGGGATTTTCCAGCCTCAGTTCCTTCAAAGGAACTGAAATCTCCGGTCATTGGTTGTCAACAAGCTCCAGATGGATTGATACAACCCCATCCATGGATCATCCAAGCAGTGAGTTTGCCCGGAAGGTTTCATCCACAATGAAGTCTGCATAGACCGTTTCTCCCTGCCTCTTCCCATCCTTTTTGGAACACGGCCTGGTTAATACTCAGCAATACCTCTTGTAGATATATATGACAAATGTATATAAATATAATATATACATTATATATATATATGTGTGTGTGTGATTGTCCCATAGGGAAGATAGTTTCCCCGCAATGATGTTGTCACGGAACATGGTTAGCTTGGATTTAGCTTGGATTTTTGGGATCTTCGACTTGGACTTGGCCAGGGATCATTAGACATTGCTGGCATGATTTGACAGTCTTGTCATTCTTACCCCCCCCTTTTACCTCCTGAAAACTACGATTCCCATTGTGGAGCCCAAAAACATCCAGATTTGGATCATGGTGTTCCAAAGAGGGCTACCTGGGGAGTGTTGATTTCTAGGCTAAAGCCATGTTTTTTTGGAGGAAACCATCGCCAGAAATTCGCTACTTTGGATCTTTGGGCCCTTTTTGATAGTTTGATTTTGCCGGAAATTTCGGCACAGGCCTGTAACGATCTGCAGTGTGTCTCCATTTGTCCTTTCCCCCATCTGCAAAGACATGTGCACGGATCTTTCTGGATAGCTTTCCTGGTCCAAAGCCATTTTTGCTTTTTTTTGGTGAAGCATGGCGGTAAGTACTTTGGGGCAAATGATATTATTGGACCCAAGAAGAATGCCCCACCTATACAGCTCTCACACGACCACACTGGTGCGGCCAGGCGTGACAATTGGTACATCGTGGCACCATGTCTCACTGATTGTTGTCACCAGCTGCGCAGAGTGTGGGAAAATGACCTGCAGTGCAAAGCGGCAAAGCGCTCGCTGTTCCTTGCTTTCACTGCATGAAGGTGGTCAAAATGAGGGGGTCAAAACCTATATTTTTACCATAGTGGGGTATTGTTACCATATTTTTGGGGGACTAAAGATCCATTCACATCCATTCACATCCATTAAGCAGCTATATGATAGGCTATATGACTTAGGGTACCATCCGGGTGCCAGGGTTAAACCATGTTGAGCCACTTGGCGCTGAGGTCAGGCGCGCGGTCGGACCTCGGAGCGAGGTCTGGAGCAGTCCGGGGCCCCATGTTTTCGCGGTGACTTGTCCTTCAAAAGGCGTTTTTGTTGGGACATATTGGGGCAAAAGCTACCAAAATGGAGGGTGTACAACTACAGTCATTGGTAATTAAAAATCTCAAACAATGTCGAAAATGTCGCAGGCACAATGTTTAATTGCAATGTTTATGACGTCAGCTGTTTGTTTTGCTGGAATCATTTCACGATCTCGGACTCTCGGAGTGGCCACAAGATACGCTTGTTTCTCAGCCTTGATCCATCATTTTTGGGAGGACGTATCCAGGAGACCAGGCATGTGAATCCACCAAACTTGAGATGGTCCTAGTAGAGTCTTGAAAGACATGGCAATTTTAATCCGACAGGCTGCCAGTTCCAAGAGATCCCAAGATACCACAGCCGCCCACTTCTCGTGGCCTGATGACTCGACGCACGTTCCTCGGCGTAAGATTTAAGGCCCAGGCCCAGGGTTGACACCCAGACCCCAGAGAATGAGAACCCAGGATATCCCAGGATTAGGAAACCCAGAGTTTGATCGTAATGTGTGTGGCGGGGGCCCGGGGTGCTATTTATCATGCAAACCCACCCGGGCCCCCCAAAGGCCCAAGTGATGGGGTTATTGGTGGGGCACCTTTGGAGGAGCTGAATCCCGATGAATCGTTTTGATAGGCTGCAAGGACTCCAGAAAAATCATGTTTCAAACCCACTTTCTTGGCAGTACCCTACCGGTTATTCTGATGAAATGCCAACTACCAATTTCATTGTCTTTTTTCACTGGGATACATGGTATTGGCATTACACATGGATTGCGCCATCTTAAGGGTAGCTGCAACCAAAAAAAAGATACATTATAGCCAATTATAGCCTATTATAGCGAGAAGCCTGGAAGATTGATGAAAATCAGTCATTTTTCGTGCTTTTGCATCTTTTTTTTATCTTCATTTACCAAATTTAGCACCCCTTTCTACCTAGGGATCCTAGGGATCCTCGGGTGGGTGCCTATGCCATCCCATCCCGAGGTTTAACCTGCCAAGGGCTGAGTCGCCGGTGCCGATTCCGCTCCCTGGCCGCATTGCATAATATTAACATATATTAACTATAATGATGATAGATGATAATAGCAATACTTACAATCATCATGATATACATTACCATTATCATTTAGTTTCTTATAGTAACAATTCTTACTTATTGTGATTTTCTCTATATATATATCTCTCTCTCTCTATATACACATCGATCAATGATTATATATGAAACCCAACATCTCACACCCACACACTAGAATAGAAAATGTCCACTGAAGTGATCAGTTGGGTGTTGAATCCCATGTAAACCAAACATGATCACCGAAGCTATGTAAAACAACGAGGTGAATCCCCAAAATCCTGAAGAATTGCCATTTGTGACCACCAGCTATGCAAAAGCCGCAACAGCATCCAGGTGTGGTACATGGGTCATATGCAGGTCCCATATCCCACGATATCACCCAGCATTGGTCGACGCCCAGGGCAGGTCGGCCGACACCCGGTGTTCGACCGGCGCCAACCATGCGGCAGGTGAGTTGGGGATCAACGGGAGTGCCATGCAGGGCCCTATGGTTGTTCCCAACAAATCCTTCTCGGAAATTGATGATGAAAAATATGACAGATGATCAAGCCGGGTGAAGAAATATGTCGGATAAGATACGCATCAAAATCTATCAAAAGACCCTCAGACATCCCATGTTGTCCTTTAAACATCTCCAAACTGATCCGTTTTCGCCCACTTTGGCAGGTGCCACATCGACCTCCAAGGCCATTGGCAGCCACCTTCCAGGAAGGGGAAAGTGCTGAGCTTTCACGGAGGTGCCCGCTGAGATTGATCTTGGATTTGCTGAAGATGATCTTATATGTTCCCAATGGGAAATCCACTGTTTAGGCCTATTGGGGGAATCTACAGGCCATTTTAGAACATATTTTATTTATTTTTATTTTGTGGGGAAAAAGTTGGCAACAGCTTTGGGAGTGCTTTTCTCTATATTTTATATTTGACACAAAAATTGCCCATATTAAAATCCTGTGATATCGAAAAAAGACATAGAACCTCCTACAAATTGGGGATTGAGGATGTTTCCCTGTGGCATGATATGGCCCTTCGTGGGGTGTAAAAAAGATGGCTGCTTCACAGAACGGTCATGGTGAATGATTGGTCCACATATCAAACAGCAACACACTGACCGAATATCAACGTGCACATCCCAGTTGTATTGGATGAATTTATAGATTTACAATGATTTACATATATTTACTGTACCATGATTTATTTTTACATTTGGGATTGTACTCGTAACAAAGACCTGGGTCATGCTGTTTTTTTTGTGAATCTTAGGATCTTAGTAACATATCCAGAAATGCACGTCCATTTTTTTTTGCATCCCATATCCCATAACTCCATCATATGCCATCTAGATAAATCATGATAAATCCATAAATCGGTAAATCGACAAAGATAAATCTGATAAATATATGCAAATTTAAATAGATAAATCCATATATATATAGATAAACCCACATTAGTGAATCCATCAAAATAGGTAAGTCCACAAATCAGTGATTTCACAACAATCCCATCCATCAAGCACAGTTTCAGATGGCCAGGCGTCATCGATCCATGTCAGTGACACCGCCCTCGGAAAGCTCGGCCTCTCGAGCCGGGTCACAAGGTGAAGGCGATTCTTGTGACCTCACTGTGCTGGAATCATAGTGGGAATCATCCCCAAATGGCCCAACATTGGACACGGGCAGGATCGGAAAATTGGTGGCCCAACATTTCAGGTTTTCGTGAAATATTTGAATTTACCCAGATCAACCAGGTGGCTGGTTGCAGGGAAATTGAAACCGACACCCCCTATACTATCAGGGTAGTTGACGGTCAAAACTTAAAACCCATGGTTTCTGGTTTCGATTTTCCCTGAGAAGCCAATCCAATGACATGAGATACATTGAGATACTATGTCACTATGTGGCAATATGAGAGAATACATGAGAATACATGAATATGTCATATATACATATATATATATGTCATATATGTCATATATGTTCACTTCATATCAATTCATGATGGAACATGATGGAATCCCGAATCCCAAAGTGGCCGAAAAAGGTGAGCTGGGCCGGGATCTGAGAAGATGCGGCAGCAGAGTCACAAATGGGGCACCAACTATCACCAACTGACCCAGAAAATTGACCATGTCTAGGACATGGGGCCAATCATTTTTGTTGGATCATTCAGGGGCTTCCACATCCAAGGACATGGATTAATATGGATTACATTATGCTGGTGGTTTCATTTTTTGTCCAGTTCTTGATCCTATTTTGGGATGGTTATTGCAGTGAGGCCCCGCACGTTCCATCTTGCGGAGCTCCAATTCGACGGAGAGGTGCGTTCCAACTTGAGATTGACCCAGGGCTCTCTGGTCCCATCACAGCGGGGGATTACCATGTTGCCATTCTGAATGCCATTTCAGAGGATTGGATCATCAAAAACAATCGCGGAAAAAAACGGCGTCTCTCTTCACAGCTTGCTGTCGTGGCTCAAAGCGTGTCGCTGCAGGTCTCATCAAAAACGGGTCTCCTTCTCCAACGACTGCAAGTGCACTGCTTATTTTCAGTGATTTCTCAGGCGGCAACTCTCCAAAGATGGGCCCCCTAAGAGCCGTACCATAGCCATACCAACTGCTATGATATGCTATGATATGCTATGATATGCTATGATGTAAACTGGCCCGTTTGTAGATGATTTAGCTGTCAAGTGTGGGCTTTTCCCATACTAGTACTATGTTAGATGACACCAGAGCCACAACTAGATTATGATCCCTTAACCCATAGTTGCAACATGTTATAACCCCAGTAAGATCCGATTATAACCTGTTTATCACTATTTAGGACTTGCCTAACTCCACAACTTAACCCTAGCTATGCTAGTTGAAAACCCCCTATGCCAGTTGAAAACCCCAGTAATATCCGAGGCGGGCACCCCCAGCCTCCATGGCTGACTTGATTCGAACTTGCCCCGATGACTTGGTTCCCTGGCTGCATGCGCCATGCGCTGGTGGTGGGGAATGGCTGGGTATTCTTGGGGGTCCAAGGGATTTAAGGGAAACATTTGGAAAAAAAAAACGTATAGTACACCCAGGGTTTTCATGGATTTTCGCCAATCTTTAGGGGGCTTCCCAAGAAGGAAACAGAATCGAAAAAGGATCAGTTCCGGCACTGGTATGACTGGTTGATGCGGGCTGTGGGACCAGTTTATAGTCAACCAAGAATCTTGGAACATTCTTGGGCGGAACGTCATTGGAATGATGCTTGGTATATTGGCCGAACTTTCCAGCCTGTTGAATTATTGTAATAGATCCAAATCTTCAGATCATGGCGTCGCTTGCGATTTCTGTAGGAAGTGGTTCCATGTTCAACTGGTTCAACTGACCATTGGTGCCTCCTATGGACATCTATGGACCATAGTGTGTCAAGGACAAGAGAGAGACCAGTCCAAGCTCTCCAAGCCGTGCAGGCAACGGGGCAACGGAAGGGATGGAGTAGCCAGGTATGCCGGAGATCGAACCTGGCAATGTGTAGAAATGACATGTTTTATTCTAATTAAATATGACGGTACTCCATTTCCGGATTAGGTTGGAGGGCGGACACATGCCATACAATGAATATAGGATGTAAGATGATTCTGGATGCATGAAACAGGAGCTGAATTTGAATGGTCACATTGGTCAGAAAACAAACTTGAAGGATAGCCAGTTCATATCATCACAATAGGAAGCTTTTCCCTCGTGCCCTCCGCCGTTTGAAGCTTCCAAGCCAAAGCGAACCGTTCTTCATATTGACCGGGTCCATGCCTCAGATCGGCCATGAAAGTTGGGGGGGATACCTCATCTTAACAAATGGCAACTTTCAGGTGGGAAAATGATGCCATACCATGAGGTGAATGGTTTTTCCATGGTATTTTTCACATTGTATCACATTGTTCTTCATTCAATGGATTGGTTTAGGGAAAAATCTTAACCCGAAACCATCGATTTTCCCATGAAATATGGGGCTTTCCGGTTTCAATTTTCCCTTAAACCAATCCATTTTTCTTCACATCACAGACCCCAGATGTCTCTGCGAATAGCAGGTGCTTGGTCGCGCGGATGACATGGCTGAGACTGCTGCCTGTCCTCCTTGCTGTGGCTGAGCGAATTGAGGAGTTGCAGGACTTTCCACGATCCATTTTGGGGGTGTCCTAAGGGGCTCCCCAAGTCACCATGGCTGAACCAATACATGATTTGGGTGGCAAAAATGACTGGGATGATTTGGGTTACACGCATTTTAGGACATCTCCATTTTAGGACATGGGTGAAAATAGGGCTTTTCCCCAAGACCCAATGGATATGAACGGACGATCATCATTTCCCTACCAAAATGGCTATTTGGGGACATATGTCCATGTTCAGGCAGACCCATTTGATTGCTGATGTTTGAAGTTTGCTGGTCAAGACGTGCGTAGCCCTCTTTCTTTGATTTCCGAAGTTGGGCCATTGGGTAGATCAATCTCATGACTCCTGACGTCAACGCATCCATGAGCGCTTGCTGGGCTTGCTGTATGTTTTTTTTTCTCCCTGATTTCTTCAGATTGGTCAATATCCATCCTTCCGAGTTTCACGTGAGAAGCGGGATGGCCCCGTGCTTTAAAGGATACACCGCACCTGCAGCTTATCCAGAGGCCAGAATGTCAAAATCTTTTGAATCACATACTGCTGCCCTTGCAATGCTCATGTCTTTCACTAGTTTCATCTATGTTCAGTATCTTTCTCAAATTTCATCACGCTTTCACACAATGTCAGAATCATGGTTATGTTTGGTTAGGGCTTACCCTCCGGTACTCATTGATGGCTTACTGGAAAACACAAGGGGCATTTCCCAGCCTGTTCCCAGCCGATTTTTCAGGCAGTTGCTGTTGCTGAAGCCGAGCCAGAAAAACCGATCCTGGGACGAGGCCCATGGGGTCATAGAATGACAGGAGTAGACAGGAATAGAGATAGGAAATGATAGGAATGCGAAAAACAGCTTCATACCTTAAGGTCATTTTGAGGATGCGGCCATAGTCAGCCATAAAAAAGATGTTCTGATCCGTTTTCGCCTGTTGTTCTTCCAAGGCAAGAGAGAAAGCAGCCAACGTGGTCTCGGAGCTCAACTTCAATGAGCTCAATGGCTTGTTGAGAGGCTCATCAGGGTGTCATCTCTGCCCGGAAAAGCAAGATGGCTGGAATGTTCTAAAACATGGGAATTCTTATTGGGACAGACCGTATATGTGAGGTGAACTCGGACAATTTTTTGAGTTTTCAGTTTGGATAGTGCTGTTCGTTTTTGCTGATTATTGCGGGGGTTCTTAGTAGTGAACAAAGATTTTTCGATAGACAACAGTTGTCTCCAATGGCCAGTGCCCCACAGGTGAGCATTTTGCTATGACTGGATCCCCGGATGAGGGTTACTACGTGGGCAACATTCGTGGCGTCCCAAGGCTACCTGGTGGCAAAACCCGATCAGTACCCTGCTGTTCACCTTTAAATAGCTGGTAGTTATGGATGTTGATCCCTCCATTTTTTTTGTAAATTGTGTAGGTCCGCCCTATGAAACCCCATCAAACCACACGAAAACGCCATCAACATCCATAAATTCCACACACAAAGATATATAACATAATATAATATAATATGATATATGATATGATATAATTTGCGCGTTTTCAGAAAGGCCTGTGTCAGCCACACACAAAACCTAGCAACAAACAACTTTAAAAATCAACAATGTTCTTTTGAAACAACTTTCTTCTTTTGAAACTTCTTTTAATAGTACCCGAAAGTTTAACAACAACTTTTGAAAACAACTTTTTGTTTAAAAACAACTTTTGGAAAGTTTCTGAAAACAACTTTTTGTTTAAAAACAACTTTTGGAAAGTTTCTGAAAACAACTTTTTGTTTAAAAACAACTTTAAGAAAATTGTTAAAACATTTACTTTTATTTCAAAACAACTTGTAGAAAGTTGTTAAAAACTATTTTTTGGTTAAAACACTTTTCTAAATTTGTTCATTTTTCGCATCCGAAACAATGACAAAACACAAATCACAATGTATTTCTGAACAAACGTTCAAGTTCATATGAAGCAGCCCTTCAAAACAAGCCTGTAACATGCACACCAAAAACAAACAACACATTGCAACATGCTGTAATAAAGTATGTTTCACAAAAATGTTTGGACCATGATTAATCGCAGTAAGTACACTGTTGGCATGTGCAGTGGAGCGGGTACATGGACTGGCCAGCTTGTAGCATGGCAGAATCTCTCTTTGCTGGGCGTTCTTCACTGCAGGGCTCAAGTTTCAACTTAGTTTTGGTTTTTGCATGGCAGCCTTGGGGCTGGATCAAGTCTTGAATTTGGCCCAGCAGTATGGCGCCAGAGATGCGTTGGAGCCAAGAGCACCAGCCGTAGCAGTCGCCAGGGGGGGGGGTCGCAGACCAGGTGGTGGAGGCCTGGGGCGGCACAACCGAGCCCGAGGTGCGGAGGCTAGACAAAGAGGGGCTCGCTGGGCAAGGAAGCAGAAACAACTTGTTTTGCAGAGCAAGTGCTTCAACAAGACCGGCCATGCCCGAACAGCAGATCATCGGCTACCAAGCCAACAAGACTTGAGTCGGCAGAGTGTGGCAGGCAAAGGGAAATGGAAGACTTGGACTCCAGAAGCGATCTTGCGCGCAGGCTTTGGGCAGGAAACTGCAACTTATAGGCAGATAGCAAACGAAGTGGAGGGTGCTTCCTCCAGCCAGTCAAGGGCCGCTAGATTTGCGTGCGCTGCCGCAGTGTGCAAGTCTCAGGCAGAGAGCTGTGAGAAAGTGGTTGCAGAGGCTTCAGAGGAACCCCTCAGATTCTTCATTCAAAATTTGATGTTTGACGAGTCAACCTTTGACCTGAGAGTCGGCAAGGATGCCGCCAACAGTTGCCCTGTTCTGTGCTCGCACTCTCAATGGACAATGGGCTTTGCCCCCTCTTTGGAAAGCGCCAGGGACGCCGTCCGGGATGAGCACATCGTGCGGTCTCCGCAAGTCTTGGCCCCGATGAATTCTGCAACTATGTGGAAGACTTTATCCTGTCATCCAGGGAGTATTGGAGCTTGCGAAGTGGCCGCTGACCATGTGTGCACCCTTACCACATGCGATTCTTATGCGGCGAACTTAAAAATGTTGAAGCATTTGGACACAGTCCTCCCATCAGACCACTACTTCCTTCCAATGTTGTGCACTCAGCACCGGAACGGAAACGTTCTGGAGCAGTTGACTCATTTGCTTGGAAATCTGGGCCGCTGTTTTTGCGTTTCCCGAGTTTTGAATTCGAGGCACGCAGTGCAAGCGCTCCGCAAGAGAACGGCCGCAGGCCTGGAACAGCATCTGGCGGTGCTCCAGGCTGAGCCTGCAGGTGTTCAAACTGAATGGGAGGAAGCGCGGTCGCTGACCAGGAGTTTCCTGAAGCTCGAAGCCAGTTCGAAAGAGGCGAAGGAGTCCGAGGTGGAGATTGCAGAGCCTGCTGCTGATGAACTTCCACCTGGTTATTCTCGCCTCTTGGGCTTCTTCAATGGCCCTTGGACAGGACCAGGGTGGGGGGTTGTCAGCGCTGTTGGTTTCTGTCAGTTTGCGCAGCTTGGGTCGGTGTGCGCCTGTTGTTGTCGTTGTCGTTGTTGTTGTCGTTGTCGCCTGGACCAACCTGACAGATTTGTTGAACATCCTACAAGACCCTGCCAAGCGTTTGTCACTGTTGGTTTGGAGGTTTGGGCCGCTGGCCGGGTGGCCACAAGCAAGGAGAAGAATTGTGAGAAAGAGCATCATGGTCATGGCAGGCCAACTTGCGAGAAAATTGATTTTGCCATGGCAGCAGTATCCTTGGTGTTTATGGCCACTGGCCTTGAAAGACGCAAGCCAAGAAGACCGCAGGTCATGTGCTAAAGCTTTACTCAGCAGTAAGCCTTGCTGTCTGGACAGCGGTTTTTCACAGCGGCTCAAGCGCATACACCGCACAGAAGAAGAACTCTTGAACTCGCAGCTCCAAGTCTTTTTGCAAAAAGTTTTCGAACGTGTTGTGCCAACATCAACTTTCATTGAGCGGCGGTTCGCCCAGTTTGCCCATTGGAGCGACCAGCAGCCCAAGCTTGGCACTTTGGCAGCCAAGCACGTGACTAGTTTCTGCAAGGGCGCTGCCCAGGCTTGGAAGCAAAACCACCCGCAGCACCAGAAGCGAAAGCATTTGTCTCGTCCTGGCTGGGTAGAACAAAAGCAAGGAAGCCGAACCACAGGATACAATGTATTTCTGTCTGAGTTCAGGAAGAACGATTCAGCGCAGCAAGTGGCCGGAGATGAAGGGAGGCAAACCTTTGTTCAAGAGGCTACAGCTGCTTGGAGAAGACTTTCTCCCGGAGAGAAAGCGCCTTACAGTTTCAAGGCGCGTGGGCTGAACAGTCTGCGCAGCAGAAGCTCCCAGATGTCAGACAACGAGGCTGGCCCTGAAGGCCGAGAGACTGGCGGCTTGTGGAACACATGCCTGCTGCAAGATAGATGGCCGCTCCGAGTTGATCTTTTGGAAGCTGCCATGGGGGAAGGGATTGCGGCTTTACGAAAGATCTCATCGGCTTGGGAAGAGGCCAGGTCAACAGAGCCATCATCCACCATCAATTTTTCTATATTCAATCATCATCAATCATCACTACCGCAACATCAGAAAGACAGGCCATAGTCATAGTCATAGTCATACTACTGTCTGTTTGCTTTTCCACTCCAACCCAGATATTTTTGGCTGGCATTGTTCATTTGGAGGAGCATGCAATGCTGGTGGAGGCGGAAGATGATCTGCCAGATGTGAGTGATAACTTGTTTGCTGTGTGCCCGCATGGTGGATGTGATGAGGAGCTGCAGGCAGCGCAGCGTCCAGTCTTTCGGGAAATCCACGATGACTTGGTCACTGCTGTCCGGGTGATTGAGCCTTTGAAGCGGGACTTGTCTGCTCACCCTTTGGTTTTGGAATGGCACTCATTGTCATTGCAGAAGAGAAGGTTTGTTGTGGTCGCTTTTCACATCCGCAAGCCTCCTTGGGACATGGTCCTTGTTGAGCTGGAGGAAGCCGGGGACTCTGAAGAGCTTCCTTTTTGCTTGGCAGTGCAGCTGGGCAGGCAATCCATTCATTCTGACATTGCATTTTGCCATGAGCTTGCCCGAGCCGCGTCTGACTGGGTCTTGTTTCGCTTGTCCATTGGAGATCTGACCGTGGACTATGGCATTTTCCAAGCCGCAGAGCGCAAGGAACTGAGCCGATCCGAGTTGAGACAAGCGGCTGCTGAAATGAAGCAAGTTATGCTCGCAGCAAAAGCAGCCAAGCATGCCCAAGGTTTGACCGCAAATAAAAAAAGGAAAAGCAGAAACTCCAACAAACGAAAAAGCAAAGGCAAGCGGTCGCAGACCCTGGCTCCAGATGTTTCGGACATGGAGTGGAATTCTGCCTCTGAAAGCGGGGGCTCCGCTTCTGACTTTGGGGCAGACACCGGCAGTGTTGCAGCGCCTGCTTCTTCGTCCGCTGGACCGGCTCGCAGGGGCTCAGCTTCAGACTTTGCGGCAGACACCAGCAGTGTTGCAGCGCCTGCTTCTTCGTCCGCTGGACCGGCTCGCTCTAAGCGTGTCAAGCAGTCTCGGTCCATTCCCTCGGGTCCATTCCAAATCGCGCCGATTGTTCCGGCCGCTGGCCACAGTGGTTGGGGAGCCATCTGCGGACAGCATTGCGACCGAGGAAACAGTTTGTCTTGCAAGAAAGCTATGAACCGTGGGTCGCTGACCGATGCGGAATGCGTCTTGCGTTTGAAGGTGGCTCTTGGCAGGCCATTCAGACCAGAACTGGCCAGTTCACAGGCGACGGTCGCACCATGTAGAGCTGGGTGGTAAAGGTCTGCAAGATTTCGCACAGGGAATGTCTGAGGAAGCTATGGATGCTTTGGTCGCTTCCTGGGCTTGAAGTTCTTTGAGTCATTTGACCGCACTTTCGTTCACCGTTCAAGTTTTCGCAGCCAATGCTTGTCACAATTTGTTTCCAGAGACATTTTACTATTTTTACAGATGCTTAACGTATGTGTATGTTTGTCTATTTATGGAAACACAAATGCAATTATATCAAAAAAAGTTAAGAACATTTCAAAAGAAGTTTCAATTTCACCGAGAAAGTTTCTGAATAAAGTTTCGTAGAGAAATCGATTGTTTCGTAGAGATTTCCTTTTGTGTTTATATTGAAAGCGTAGAGAAACCAAGTTGTTTCGTAGAGAAAATTCGGTGGAAACTTCTTTTGGAAATTGGCAACTTCTTTTTGAAACTTTTCATCATATATCATATATTCTTTTAATTTTGCGGTAGTTACCAATAGATGCTTCCATGCAAACAAGAAGAGCCAAGCCATGCTCTCAGTTGATCGCCAAAAGCGCAAAACAACCAGGAGCTGGAGCGCAAAGCAGAGCCGGACGCTGGTTCCTGTGAAAAAGTGCGCTGGCTGCAGGGTTTTGAACCTTGGACTGCCTGCTTGGTGTCAGCGCTGGCGGTGTTTTGCTCTGCTGTGGCCCGAGTTTGTTGTCCTGAAAAGGGTTGTCGAGGGTAAGTGCTGTCAGGCAGCTTGTTTTCCAGCAGGGCTTTTGGTTCAAACCTGAGCAGTTGTTCTTTACTGCGCGTCGCCGTCATGGAGGATGACCTAGTCTCCCAAGCAGCTTCCAGTGTTGGGCCCGTGGTGCTGGCTACTTTGGCAGTGTGTTTTACCCTGAGTAAGGCTTGTGCGTGCTGCCTTTGCAATGCCAAAAGCACTGACCCTTCTCCCTTGGTGGGAGGAGAGGAAGATGACCAGTATGGAGGCCGCCGGCCCTGGAACAAGTACCGTAAAGTGCGCCACCCTGGGTCGGACGAGCAGGTCAAAGTCCCAGAAGGGAAACTGTGCATGATTTGCTTCAGCACCTTCAGAGCGCTGGGTCTGAACTACAAGTATCCATCGTATGGTGCGTACTACAAAGAGATCGTCAATGACAACAGCAAGCATACCAGCTTCATAAACTCTATGAAAGAATGGATTAAGCAAAGAAATGAGGATCCCACTGGGCGAATGGACAGGGAAGCAGTGAAGAAGGCCCACACCACTCTGCACAGTGAGACCAAGACTGGTGTCAAACTCAAGGGTCCCAAGAGGGAGTTCGTACTCCTGGAACATTGGGACCCCAAGCTGGACGGTGAGCTGGACGAAGCACACATAGTGGAAGAAACTTGGCAAGGGAAGAAGGTGAAAGGAATCTGGAAGGCCAAAGGGCGTGCCGGTGTGCTGGAAGCTTCCCAGTATGAAGACACCAGTTTGGCTGAGCGCACTGAGGAGCACAGTGGATCCGGCCCGTTCGCTCAGCAAGCTTTAGTGACCAAAAAAACTGCGTTGCAGAAGGTGTTTGCGGATGCCGACGAAGAGAGGCAAAAGCACACAGTGGCCGCAGGCCCTGCATCACAGGCAGGCGATGTTCTGGCAACTTTGCAGAAAATGCTGCCAAACTTGAAACTTGCTGGTGGTGGGCAGGCCCTGAGCGCAGACCCAGAAGCAGATGAGGCTAGCCCTTCTGCACTTGTTGACTTGCACAAGGACGAGGACGAACATGAAGCAGGAGAAGAGGAGGAGGTTTGCAGCTCGTTGGCGCACTTCGGCCATGCCGGGCGAGCGGCGCGTGCTGCGAGCGCGGCCCAGCTTGGACGCTGACGGAGTGAAAGAGTGCGAGCAGGAAGCCAAGACAAGGTGCATTCCTGCAGATGCATTGGTGGATGGCTCTTGGCTATGGAACGTGTGCAGAGAGAACCTAGACCTTTGCAGGAGAATGGCCCCTCACAGGCCGTGTTGGGGAAGTGCAACTCTGACCTGGGGATCTTTGTGCTCTGGATCAGAAGGCCCAGCCTGGGTCATTGCTGCCTTGAACCAACTCTTTGAGCAGGAGGGGGCTGTTGACTTCAAACTTGAGCACGTGTTCTCTTGCGAGTTGTCAGCAGAGAAACGGAAATGGATCCACGCTTCCTCCATGCTCGCTGAGCCTGCTTGTGCAAGACTGGCTGCAAGGGTGAGTGGCCATGATGACGATGAACTGCCCGCGGTTGATTGGGAAGAAGTGCTTCGGGCCGCAGATGCCCCGTGCATTTTTTGCAATATCACCGACATGGGCGCTGCCCAGGCAGAGTGCTGGGAGCACGGTCCTGGAAAGTGCCATGTGAGAAGCGTGGACCTACTGGTCGTTGGCACCAGTTGCAAAGACATGTCTCGAGCCAATCCCGGTAGTGTCAGACAAGAGGTGGTGCTCAACGCGACAGAGTCTCGAGGCGGCAGCGCCCAAACTTTCAAAGGGCTGCTGTCGTACTTGGAAAGACACCGGCCTTTGATGATTCTTTTCGAGAACGTCGACGCGATGGAAGATGTGAATCTCAAATCTTAAATCTTAAATAGACTTTAGTACTTTAAAACGTTGTGTGTTTGTGTGTACGTACGTCCTTTCTTCGTTTTGCTGCATGGCAGAGCCCAGTGGAGTTAGTAGTAAGCAACCATGTCAGTGGCTGAGGCTAAGGCTCGCTATTGGCCATTGTCCATTTTTTTGGGGCGACAGCTTGTAGTAGTGGGGAATCGGACATGCGATCTCTGCTATATCATAGAGAATCATACACGCTGTGTACAAGCGGACGTTGTAGAATAAATATAATAAGTATAGAAGCAGGCCCATGTCATTTTCAACTGCGATCATATTGGGTCTCCAGCAGTCAGGAAGGCCGCTGGCCAGTCCAACATGGACGTGTTCTGGAGCCAGATGGCTGCCCACGGGTACGAGGGCCAGTCTGTCTTGACAGACAGCAGCGAGTTTGGTCTACCTGCCCGCCGCCGGCGGCTGTACGTCTTCCTGGTGCGAGTGCAAGGGAATCCTTTGCTGTCGTTTCAGGACCGCAACGTTGATTCTATTTTCACTACTTTGGTGGGCTGCTGTCTGGATGTTTGCGGCATGGACCTTGTGCAAGCATGTGCAAGCGACATTTTGCTCGAAGATCACCACCCAGCAGTTCTGGAAGAGTTGCAGCTTCGAACCTGGCGCAGGGAAGAGCAAAATCGAAGCGAGAAGCCCGCCCCAACAGGGGATTGGCCAGATCAGCATATGAAGCTGGCGCAAGCTTTGCGCTTGAGATGGGGCCAGGGGGCGCCGCCCGAGCTTGCTTCCAACCCTTGGTTTCAAACGTTGACGGCCAGAGGGCAGGATGCGCTTCCACTCCTGCAAGCCCAGATGCCTGCAGAAAAGAGCATGATGCGAGATTTGTCTCAGAGCATTTTCCGAGCAAATGCCAACACTTGGAAAACTGATGCCCAGAAGCATTTGGCACCCACCATGCTTCCCAAGATGAATGTGTGGATTGAGCCCGTGGGGCATCATGTGAAGAAAGCTCGAATGTTGCTTGGCCGCGAGGCCCTGCTGTATCAAGGCTTTCCGGTTCTGTTGTTCTTGGAGACATTGCAAAAGATGCAGCAGGACATTGAGGCCGCTGGCCGGGCCAAGCCGATTATCGGCGATGAGCTTCTGAGGAATACTGGCGGCAATAAGAGGCCAAAATGGAGCAGTGACAAGCCAGAGCCTCGGGGCAGAGACCTGTTGGTTAGCTGGAAGCCGACCGAAGCGTTGCTGCAAGATTTGGCTGGCAATGCCATGGCTCTGCCAGTGGTGATGACGATGCTGCAGTGTGCTTTTGCGTTTGTCAGTTGGCGCCCCAAGGACCTTGTCGGAACCGCGGCCGCAGCGCCAGTCTCGACCCAAGAGGCCTGGGAAGGGGCCCGGTTTATAAATTCCTGGGAGGTCTGTTATGTTGTCAAAGGCTTGAATATTTCCACGTGGCATTGCCAGAGAAGCATGTCAATTTCTTATTTATTCTATTTACGCCTTTGATGACAGAAAGTTAACATCAGAATCATGAATCATCAATCACATCATATCATCATATCATGCCATTATTTTTTCTTTGCGCAGATACGAATTGAAAAGCGCGGGTTTGCCTTTGGCTCGGGGCTGCCTACACACGCAGGATGTTGCCGCTGCGCTGGCCGCAGTCCAGGGCCTCCACTCAGAAGATTCGGTCGCCGACCCGGTGTCAAAACCCGCTGCCGTGAGTGCTGGAGTAGCAGTCTTGAAGCGCAAACTCAGAGAGCGCAAGTCGCAATGACCAGCTTGGACAGGGGAAAAAAAAACTTTAGTTTCACGCTTGGGCCCTGGAGGGGGAAGGGTGTCTTATTTTCACACTACTGGGAACGGTTGCATGGTGAGGGCGTTGATTTCACTTGATGTTAGCCAGGAATGAGTAAATCGATTTGAACACGAATTGACGATGTGGTGGCAGATGTTGCTTTGTTGTCCGATTGCAGTGCATTCAAACACAAGTTTGTAGGAAATTCTTTCGAGTAAATAATTTGATGAAACAAGTTTTCAGAAACTTCTTTTATGTAAACGATTTATGGAAAGAAGTTTTCAGAAACTTCTTTTAAATCAATTATTTGCTGAAAGAAGTTTTCAGAAACTTCTTTTTAACTACTTTTAATGATAAAACAAGTTGAAAGAAATTTCTGAAAACTTCTTTTTAACTACTTTTAATGATAAAACAAGTTGAAAGAAGTTTCCGAAAACAACTTTACAAAGAAGTTGCAATTTCGCAAAAGAAGTTGGATTGTTTCAAAAGAAGTTGCTAAAAGAAGTTGTAAATTTTGAAGCTCCGTAAACACTACTTTTGGGGTACAGGCCACAGGCCTTCTGAAAACACCCAAGATATAATATAACATAATGTAATATAATATAATATAATATAACATAATATATAATATAACATAATATAATATAGTATAGTGGTATATGGTATTTATATATGGAAGGTCTATCTCCAATATTTTCCAATCCAGTTCCCATTTGTTGGGTTCGGAGTTCGCTCCAATAAACTACGATTTTATCTGGAAAATCCACCATGAACGTAGATCCTTTTCCAAACAGGAATTGCATAATTTCAAGTCTATATTATTTTGATGGAGGGTAAAACGTGGCTCCCACAAATAGCCAAGCTCTTTCAGTTCAACTAGACATATTGCACTAGTTAATGGGGTCAAACTAAACCAATGGACCAAACTTAGCTAATAAATCCCAACGGGTTAAATCATTTAAATCCTCATTATTTTGCAGCTTAACTCAGCATAAACAGAACTGGAGGGCAGCACTTCGGGTCTTGCCTGAGGTTAGGCATTCCAGACTTGAAGATGCAGGACGCTGCGCAAGGCTTTCGGGCCACGCAGCCCAACACGGGTGGCACCAGCACGGCCTTTCCCTGTGCGAAGCTTAGAGCGGTGGTGAAATGTCACCCGTGAGCCCCAAAAGGATAGAAATGCATCGTAGCACTATATCACTGTCAGTAGGATTTGTGCAATTACTATAACTCTTTTTTTGGGGGGCTATCTGTGAATTTTCTGTAGCTATAACTTGCCATATTTGGGGGGATGAACATACAAAAATAAGCTCTTTTGAGGTAAACAGCAGGGTACCGTGGTTTTGTTAAGGAACAATAAATGATAGAAATGGGCAAACAGATGGGCCGGGTAGATGTAAAACCACCGGAATAATGTCATGAATCATAACTTCAAAACTGATTGGTGGTTGAAGTGGCCTAACATTTTAACCATTCTTAACTACAGCGATTCCATCCCAACCCGGCTCCAACCTGGGCCCTTACGCAGCCTTGAGCCAGGCATGCTGGCGTTAGCTTCAACCTGGGATGAAAATCTCGTTGCCTTAGTCGCAGCTGCCATTGCCACCGAGTTCAAGGCGAGAGCGGCAGCAGAATTGGGACATAGACCCTGCCAAATGCGCGGTTGGAAGATGAGCCTAAGAATTTGCTATTTGAATCGATTCCCGGGGTCTATGTTAAATAACCAAATGGTACTCGCTATAGGTAGGGATGAACTCCAGGATTTTAGGGCTCCAAATTTCTGAGACAAACCCAGTGTTTGGCAGGGGAAAGGTGCCAACGTCATCCTCGGGCCATCTGTGAATGTCCACCGCGGCGCCACCGGTGGCCGGAATTTTGAGTACCTCTCCGGCGAGGCGCAACTTTGGACGTTGCTTCGAGTGTTTTGTTTCTCCAAGAATATGCCCACCCCCTTCGAAAAATTGATAGTTTAGCATTGGATCTGATCATGTTGGGACTCATCTGCAAAAAAACGCAATTTAACATTAGGGGGAATGCATTACGCATACTATGCAATCCTTTAGCTTGTAGCTGGCCCAATATCTCTCAATTAGCCTGCCATTAATTCAACTAATTGATTCTAGTGACACTACATGAACCGCGTAATTTGAGCCTGTTAGCCCGCAGAATTGGGGATCCATATCTGTAACATATGTTCACATTTGTTTGTGAACCCCCAATGAGTTGAAGAAAGGGTCACAGTTCAGACAATAGTAAAGCCCAAGGAGATAGAAAAGTATTTCACCATATTTCACCCATTTTCAAAAGGATTTAACTTTTCTATCTTTCGGGGGTTGCTATAGTTACTTGCTGTGAGACTGTTTCCATATTATGCAGGTACCAAGCTACCCAGAAGTCTCATGAAGTCTCGACCCGCATAGGACCCACATTTGGGATTCCGCTTGACTGCTGCTTATGTGAAGGCAGTTCAGGAGCTGTGCCGCGTTTACAAAGCTATGTGCAATTGAGCAGTGACCAACATAATTCATCATAATTCGATCGAAAATTCTCGGGGGTGATTCATACTCCCAGGTTCAAGGTGGCTTAGTGTTCAATGACCCAGTCTGGGAACTCCCATCAACCAGTATAAATGGATGATTTTTGGGCTTTTGGGTGGAGATTCAAGAGACATCCAGGATTTTAGCATTGCGCCAGGATCAAGGCATTATGGCAGTTGCCAAGCATTTTGCCTACAACGAACAGGACGATTATCGTTGATCAGCCCTCCTTTTTGGCCTGAATTGCCATAATTACTGTGGATGCAAAATCCTACAGTTGGTAGATGGTTTATCCCATTATCCAATGGTTTTCCAACTGTTCAACGGTTTTCCAATGGTTATCCCATTATTCAATGGTTTATCCATGTTTATCCCATGAAATAATCCCATCTTTTCTCCGAGCTCAGAGTTTTCCAAGGGTTAAAAAACCTTCCCGAAGGAAACCAATCGCATGACCATGGACGCCAAAGCATCCGAACGCACGGGCATGGAGCTCTACATGGGTCCCTTCAGGGGAGCCGTTGCCGCTGGAGTGGGCGCCCTGATGTGCGCCTATAACAAGGTCACGTCGGATGCGCGGTTGAAACGAGCGGTTTCCACCTAAGAAGTGCGGAGAAATGGATAGACATGGTGGATTTATATAAGATGATTGATGATTTCAGCCCTTGTGGCCGATGGGGGTTCTGGGATTGAACAGAGAATCATCCCACTTCAATGGATTGATGGGATCTAATGACAGCGGCAAATACTGGGAGTTGGCTTAGTCCATCTTGTCACTTTAGTCCGAGGACTGGGGATAGATCGGATAGACCATCAACTTTGGGGATACCCAATTTGCCAATTCAGACAACGCTTGATATAGGGGTTAGTTCCCACTTAAACAGATGATCAACCGTTGGGTTCTTCGGAGGTGAACCACACCTATGCATGTCACAACGCCGAGCTGCTCACGAAGGCCACGGAGAGAGGATGCCAACTGGGGCAGTTTTTTGGTCAGAGATGGTCGCTGGGTCACAACTGTGTTGACCAACATATATCTCCATATATTTTTTTGAAATTGTTATGTTTCATGACATGTACTAGCCAATATTCATTGGATATGATATAATAAAAAAAAATTGGGGATTATCATATCCCATGAGTATCCCATGAGTTGGGAATCCCTATCCTCTTCCTCTCGATTTATTGTGGGTGCGGAACTGCATGAGGACCTGCGTGGCACCATGGGATTTCAGGGCTTTGTGATGTCGGACTGGTTGGCCATGCATTCCACGGACCGGGGATGGTGGGAGATCTTGGGAATTTCTGGGATGGGCAACCAAAAACTATCCAACTGTCGTGGTTTTGGGGATTGGATCCCAGTTATTGACCCAGATTTTCCGGATGGTTGGATACGATTGAATCTGAAACACCAGAAAACATGTGGGCATTTCAGGACGCTCTAGCAGCTGGCCTGGATCAAGAACAGCCTGGTATCATTCAGGTCCTGGCCCTCAGTGCAGATCGGGAGATCATCCCAACACTTTGTTTGGCACAGCTGCACAGCAGCTTCTCCGTGCCCAGTTGCCGCTGGGAAACAAAGTGGGTGTGCTGATCGACAAGGAAATCAATAAAGTGGTGCTGCACCCAGTTACTCAGTTCAGCCACGAAACTGGCACCCCTTTCCACCCAATAGACCAGGAACCACCGGTCGCGCCAAGGACAGAAAGGTACGGCAAAACGCGGCGAAACATGTCCTCACGGCGATATATCGTTTGGGATTGGATCATGAACCTGGCTGTACGCCTCCCAACTGCACCCAGGACATGGATTTGACACGTCGCTATTGAACATGGCCATTTGGTTCGTTGATTTACCCAGCTATAAAATGGTGATTTTCCATAGCTATCTGGTTGGTGGTTTCAAACATTTTTATTTTTCCATAATATATGGGATAATCCTTCCCATTGACGAACTCATATTTTTCAAGATTGTTAATACCACCAACCAGGTTATAGTTGGTTGATAACCCCATGAACACTAGTGATATCCCCCAGCAACTATGGTGATTTTCCAGTTCGTTATGTAAAGGTTTGCCAGAGGCTATGTCAATTCCCAATGACTGTTGGGGCACCCCACTGATCAGCTTCGACCAGGAGCTGCTGTCGGATCAGACCAAAGCCACGACGCGGGGACAGCGGCACGAAGATATCGCCTTCCACGCGGCAGCGTGCGCCACGGAAAGGGGTCGAATCAACGGCAGCCACTGGAGATTTAGTGGATTTATAATGATTATAATGGGATTTAAATGGATTTAACATGATTTAAATATCAACCATTTTCAACCATGAACAACCATGGGGATGGAAAAGAAGGAAGTAGCTATTTATCATTCTTTTGTTGGATAAATTTAAACCTGCATCGGATGGTAAGAATACCATCAAATTCTGTTCGTATTGAAGTGGAAGAGGGTTTGGTTTGAAACATTAGGATTTTTTCAAAATTGGGGACCCCCCAAATCAGCAACATTAGTCATGCTTACAAAGAATTCCCATGGTTCAGATGGTTGAATCCTATCATTCAGAACTGGCAGGGACAACCTGCAGGAAACCCACACATATTTTGGGTCTACAAAGCCATGACTTGCACACACATGTCCTTTACCCTCTGGTAAACTAACATAACTATGGAAAATCACAATTTTTAATGGGTAAATCAACTATTTCTATGGCAATTTTCAATAGCTATGTTAGTTTACCAGAGGGTAAATCCTTTGAAACGATAGATTGATGTGGATTGATCTCCATGTGTCATGGCAAATGTAATGTATCTATACTACACTTTGAGTTCTGTGTTTGACATCCCGAATGTTCCCGTTGTTTCTTTTTGGAACGCCTCATTGGTTTATCATGTTTATCGGTCGCATCCTGGCTGTATCATGACACACACGTCATTTTTCTTAACTATAAATTATACTTAATCCACCTGAATCCCACATGTTAGTTGGTTATCTATGATTATCTCGTATCATCCCAAGTACGGACAAACACTTCACTTCTGCCAAGGTTACCTGCTTACCTGCCCCCTCAGCCAGAGGTTTGTCCAGGTTAGGTGATGTCCCGGCGCTCAACCAGAGGTCCTCGGTGATTTTGCTGAAGAACGATGGAGTGCTCCCTCTGAAAAATGTCAAGAGGACGCAATGCAGAAATGGAAAAACATGGAAAGACCTGTTACGCCACATCGTTGTTTTAACTGTTTCAACTCTCTCTCAACATGTCTCAATTGATCTTAGATTGAACATTACTAGGCTCAGTGGAGACATGCTAAAAATTAGTAGATTTACTACATTACATGACTACACAATTACAGATTAAATCTAACTGACCTAGTGGACCTAGTTTCAACGATTCTTTAGACGCTGGGCAACCGTAAGCTTGATCTTCGTCTCTTGATGAGCTGCCAGTGCAGGATTCTAGTGCTGGGGGAGGCAGCAGTTGATGAAGCGCACAACTCCTACATCGGAAAAGGCCTGGGGTTGGGTTTTTTAGTGGTTAAATGTCCAAGAAATCTGAGCACCATGGTTATAATTTTAATCCATGCCTGAAAAACCGGATAGTCGGATAAACATAGAACATACAGCAATATCAGCAATGAAACCGGTTATAACCACTTACGATTTGCCTTTGCTTCCATTTTCCGATGCCCCCGTTCCCTTGAACTGCAAGCTCTCTCCGCAACGGGCAGGTTCCGGTTATGTACAGCCCGATTCGTCTGCTAAAACGCCACTGGCAGCCATTGAGGAGCTGGTTCTGATTGGTTATGGACCTTGGGGTCCCAAAATGTCCCAAAGTTTCTCCGAGAATCCAGCGCTGCAGGAGAGGGCTGCAAAGGCAAACATCACTGTGGTGAGACCAGACAGTCATAGCCCAGCAGAGGTGACTCCCTGGCACGGCAGAGTTGGAAGATCACAACAGACATCAGCAGAACATGAAATTGAGTAGATTTCAGTATGCAATTTTGATATAACCTGATAGAAGTTATATAATCATATTAAAGATGGTTAAGATTGTTAAGTCGGTTCAGTATGGTATTTGAAGTGCTTTGAGCTCATACCTTTGTACCGTTGCTGAGGCCAAGTCCCTCTCTGGCACAGTGGATGCCATCATCGTCGTTCTGGGCCTAGCCTCTTGGTAGCATGCGGCTAGTTAGAAATGTGGTAGACCCAAGAATAAGCCATCCGGGACCATCCGCAATATTCCCCAATATTGCCATGAATGGCCGGTAAAACAAAAACACATCCTCAAATGGTAGGTTGGTTTATTATTGGGTTTACTAATGTTTATATACCATAGTATGTACCCCGAAACTTGCAATTTCAAGAGGGAACATTGCCACTACCCTCTGGTAATTTAACATAGCTATTGAAAATTGCACATTTGGTTCGTTGATTTACCCATTCAAAAAGGTGATTTTCCGTTATGTAAACGTTTACCAGAGGGTAGGGCCATTAACCCATTAGCCATGTTTTTTTTGGGGTACCCCATTTTCCACACACAACCCACCAAGGACGCCACTGAAGGGGCTGATCGATCCTCTTTAGAACTTGGACCTGGAAGCATCTCGCTGGCAGCTTTCAGCTTTCACCTAAAACAATTTTTTGAACCTTACCTAAACACAAAAAAGACACGATTCTCCAACTATGGCTGTAGATAATTTGTAGTAATTTCAAAGTAGTTGAGCTGCCTCAGTCTTTGTATGGTCACTTCCAGCTCCGTCCTTTCGCAGCTTCTCAAGGTGAAAAGCTGGTTCGAGCAGCGGCCTCGAAAGCCCCAACCATCGTGCTATTGCAGATCCCTGGTGCCGTGGAATCCTGAGATCGCTTGGATCGCTTGGATCGCTTGGATCGCTTGGATCGCTTGGATCGCTTGGATCGCTGGGATTTCGACGCAGGACACACCAATGACACTTAAAGTGCACCAGATATACATAGATATACCAGAGATTCAGCTGAATCGAAGGCGAGTGGCCAGCCGTGTTGGCTCAAAGTTTCCGCTTCCTGAAGAGAGTTCGAGAGGTCACCATAAGACATCAACATACATCAACCAGGGTTTGGATCAGGATCATCATGATTAATCCCCCTCCCCCAATATTCAACACTCCCCTAATTGGCCAAATAGCTTCATGATTTTACTGTTAGGGGGAAGAGATGACAACCGTTTCCACACGTTGAAACTGTCCAAATCCCACCTGCCCTGGAGCCTTTCTGGAGCCTTTCACACCATGCCTGTAAACCCACAAATCATTCATCCCCAAAGTAACCATAAATGGGTGGTAACTATCATTCCCAAATGGTATATGAACTTATGGCATTGGGTTTCCCACATTTGCATCATATCATCGTATAAGATTCTGCCAACACATGTCGACAACAGAGACAGAACGGTCGATGTTTTGGATTCCAGGGCCCTTCCTGCCCTATGGAGCCGGCAGCCGGTCGGCTGCAAGCGGTGCATGCGGCTTGTAACTTGGAGGTGTTTGGAAAGTTTGGGATGATAATCTCTAATGTGGGAATAGACAATCCATTTGGGAATGGTTTATACCACCTACAACAATGGTGATGACTTGGGGATGGTTTATGACGACATTGTACTCACATGAATGCTGCTTGATTTTGAAGAGTCGAAACCGGTGCCCTTTTCGGAATGGACCCATCCAGACCCATCCAGGTACTCTGCAGTGCAAGCCTTTTTTACAGAGGCCAGGCCGCATGTGACTTTTCTTCGGAAGGTCTGGGTTCATTTGTTGATGAAATCACCACGATGTCGATAAGTTATAAATGGGCCAATTTCCAGTTCATTATCATGTCAATTCAAATGATCATATTCAACTTATCCAAAGCTGGGTTCATCATTTTAATTCAATTGATTATTTTCAATTTGGGATCTTTGTGGATGGCACTTCTTTCTAAACCTGACATCTCCTATATAATGTAACATAATATACTTGTATATGCCCTAATCATCCCTAATCCTGAAGGGACCTCAAAATGAAGGCCTTTCATGAGGACCTCCCATGTGAATCATGGGCTTTCTACGGCATGCTGAGGCCGATTCTGCTTGACTATAGTCATTTTCATGGTGCCCTGGTGCTATAGATGACATAGAATAAATTCATTCATAAGATGACACTATATGACACTCAGGATAGAATAATTTCATTCAATAGTCGATAGTCATCATTGAGCCCCCAGCATGGTTCAGCCCCATCCAATACACTCCAGGTGCGGCAGTAGCTGTCTCCTGTGCAGCTGGCGAGGGATACCTTCCAGGCGATCAGTAGGGCCTTTAATGGGATACTCCCAACCAACCCACAGGAACTTAACCAACAAATATGGTGACATAATGGGATAGTTAATGGGATAGTTAATGGGATAGTGGGTAGTATACCTCCAAAAATGTTCAGAACATGTTGAGAAATGTCAGTTGGGGCCTATTAAGGGCTAGCCACCAAGTCCACAAAAAGTTCTTTTTTAATCAACCATCTATTGGGGGGATCGGAGGGATCACCGTTGGAGGTGAATCCCCTTAACACAGCGTGTAGAGTTTGGTAACATGTGCAAATTATTAAGATAACGCGATTAGGAAATTGCTCAATCTTGAGATTGAATCGGTTTTCGGTGTCAGACTAATTCAAAAATTTGAAAATGTGCATTCGCTGTCACTACTTTGTCTTGGCAAGGCAAGGCGTGACAGGAAAGGCCTTGCATGGAGATGAGTTGGTGAACTGATGATTTGTGTGTGCAGAAACCCTAAAAGGTGGGCCCCCCGAGTTATAAGTTTGTTTGTAAACCTATCTAACTATAGTTATATACCATAAACATCCTAACCATAGTCAAGTTTAGTTAAGCCACTTATATCTCAATTGAACGCTATCTTGGGGGCCCCATCCTGCACCATCAGATGTTGAAAATTTCCGTAGAGGTACCACCATTTGCGGCCAATGTCCTGCTGGCACGTGGAGCGGCAGTGGAGACATTGTTTGCAACAAATGCGGCAGCGGCAAGTGGAGCAGTCAGGAGTTGATTTTGTTGATTTTGGTCCAGTGGAGCTGTCCGGTTTTTTTCTGGATTTTTCAATTTTCTGAATGGAAAAAATGGTCCTAGATAGCCCAAGATGCTGATGCTCCAAGGGGAAATTGACCCTTGAAACCATGGATTTACTCAACAAGTCTTGGGCACTTCAATGTCAAGCTATGCAGGAGGCGGCAGCCACGGAGGATGCGCCTCAGCTGCACCACCCATGCAAAGATGGGAAAGGATAAGCTGGTTCCGGTGGGAAACCCATCAACTGGCTGGATTTGCTGACGTTTTGCCCACTGCACTTTCTGCCCTTACCTTCACAGCAAAGATCAGCAAGTATATGCAATTCATGATCACAATGTAAATATTTGGTGATATTCTGTGATATTTGCCACATACATGCATTGATGGCAGCAGTATTTGCCAATATTTTGGGCAAGAGCAGTACCCAAGCAGTACGCAACATCGCCATGGCGCGGTCCTAGGTATGTCAGCCCTGTGCTGCTGGCGCTCCTGCCTGAGTTTGTTAAAAATAAAATCCGACATTCTCCTTATGTCATTTTCACGTCATCTTATGTCTATGTGGGAACTACTTTGAGATCAGCTGCCGGATGTGCCAGGGAAATGGAGCACTCAACGGGGGGCCATTGACCAGGCGGGATCTCGAAGAAAACTGCTTAAAACCCAACGTCGTTGTTCAACAGTTCATGCGGGAAACATTACTATACCAGTATGTATGTATATGTCACATAGTGTATATATTACAGATAACACAGAAAAGGATATAATATGATGTGGGTATATACATTTAGAATGATAATTAAACATATTATATGACCATTTGCCAAACATAGTTGACAGAAGTTTGGTACCAGTTGTTGATAATTAGTGGACCTAGTGGACTGATTTTACTGTAAGAAAAAAAATAGCGGTATGCATCCCAACAATATAGTACAATGAGAAATAACAAGTTGACTAAATCTGTTCTAATCTAATCAATCTATCCCAAGAGTTTGATCATCCCATGAAATCTGATAGGATGCTTGCCAAGCCTGTCCTCCCGGCCGTTGGAGCGACCGGATGGCCGCGAACTCTTCGTCTTTGTGCACTGCTTGCGCTGCTGGAAGGCTCTGGACGAAACTGCTGAGGTCCATGGCTATCCCGAAATCATCCATTTCTGAGAAATTCATCCCGCATTCTCAAAGTGAATCCAGAATGTTGACTGGAAAATTCATCCATTTTAATGATTTTTAATGGGATTTTCCAGGGGTAGCTATGGAGAAACACTCCATAGCACTGCGCAACGTGCATACGTCAGGTGGAATGATGCTGCAGGCAGTGTGGAGGAATCCGCTTGCATTCCCTGCGAGCCCGGCCGGTGACTGGATGTGCTGCAGTCCAAAGGTGGAACTAATACCACTGCAGTAGGATTTTCACTTGCCATGTTGTGGTATGTTTATATAAGTATGTATATGTGATGTATATTCAATATATATATATAATATATTTACATACATATACATATATATATATATTATGCGTATATATGCATATGTATATTGATGTGTAGTTAATGTATTGGATGCCAACTTCCTTGCACACCCCGGAAGGACCAATAACATCCAGGGCGGAATTCAATTGATGACTGCTATCTACTGGCACTTGGTTGTTTCACCCTTGTACAATCTGAATCCAAAATTAAAACCTATTTGTTGCCACCACCCCATAAATGACCGAAATTATCCTACATCTCGGTGAATAATGGTGAATACCGCCATAAATTTACCAGAATGCACTGTACCATGCATGGAGCATCCGCGTCAACCTGGCTTTGGTAGGTTAATGGCTGCCTCATCAGTTAAAGTAAGATGGGTGGCCCTCCATGACTCGGGAAACACAATCTATCAGTATCATAATCTATCCATATGTTGCTTGGTTGTCGACCCGGAAAAAACAACATATTCTTAGCTTCTGTACCCATCCCTTATTATCTACCACACTATATGATAACCCAGAAACTACAACTATTTGTAGTCATCTATAGTATCTATAATATATATATAGGTAAGTGATGATAAGTGTATATTATACGCATTCTGCATCCATATATTGTTGATATCCCACATGTCGACCGCACCTTAGGTATGCACCTGGCACCGGACATATCCATTGGGACGCTTGCCAACGCTGTCCGCCCGGACGATATCGAGCCAGAGGAGGTAACTGAACTGACATGGAATCCATGGGATATTACAGCAACTATAGTTAATGAATATATATAATAATAATAATAATAACAATGATAATAATACCCCTAATAACAATAAATATGTATATATAATTATAATATATATATATATCACCATGGTAGTTTGATTAGATCAATGATCACAACTTGTTGTTGTTGTTGTTGTTGTTGTTGTTGTTGTTGTTTGATATTGACGCTATTCTTTAATCATCAATAAGAACAAACAAATAGCTGGGATTGGAAAACCAGAGGCAAACTATCGTCAACTTTAGGAACATGGGATTTACCCGGTAAAATCATGTAAAACCACTGGCCAAAATGGTGACAGAGCGGGTGATTTTGCCAACAAAAACGGGCAAAAAGTGCGGCAACTGCCACGGAATCGGCAACGCTTTTTGTTCAAGACGTGGAGTTTCAGCTTTTTCTTGACCATGCCTGTTGCTATTTATTGTAAGATCATATTTAGATCATATCTCGATGTAAGTATTTAGATCAAATCATCAACAGTCCTGATTGAGAAATATGAAATATTGAATGTACATAACACACACACAGAGATAGATGAGATAGATGAGATAGATAGATAGATAGATAGATAGATAGATAGATAGATAGATAGATAGATAGATATATAGGTAGATAGATAGATAGATAGCTAGATAGAGATAGCTAGATAGAGATAGCTAGATAGATAGCTAGATAGATAGATAGAGATAGCTGGATGGATAGATAGATAGATAGATAGATAGGTAGGTAGATAGAGATAGATAGAGATAGATAGAGATAGATAGAGATAGATAGAGATAGAGATAGATAGAGACAGATAGAGATAGATAGAGATAGATAGAGATAGATAGAGATAGATAGAGATAGAGATAGATAGAGATAGAGATAGATAGATAGATAGATAGATAAATTATATACACAGTAATTATTGGAAAACCGGTGCGCTGGCAAAGGCACGTCCATTCCTTTATCCAAACCTGTCGGATGGGACATGCTCAGGTGGTGTTTCTGTTGATGACTGCGAAAAATGTGGTGTTGGGACATGGAGCAATTTGAGTGGTGCAAACGTCTTGGGCTCAGACTGCTCCGCCTGAGAGTGGGACCATGTGGGACCCCAATGCAGAGCACATTCTCTGGTAACGAACCTGGCAGCCTCGAATAATTTCACAATATCATGACATATGGTTACATGAATACATACTGTACACACACATATATATATATATATATGCATATGCAAGTAAACATGCGAGAACCATCGAGAACGATACTATATCATACTATCATACAGAACATGTATACGCAATATTACGCAATAGCAATCACAAACACAAATGATAAACAATGATAAACATATAAGTGATGATATCAATGTGTGACTTCCCCTTGGTTAGATGACCAACGGGTAAATGTGTCCGCCACGTTTCTGCCCTGCAGCTAATCAAGGATAGTGCGAGCTGCCAAAGTTGTGGTCTGGGAAGATGGAGTGACATTTTGGCTGCTGCAAGCGAGACCTCTTGCAGAATCTTGGCTGAAGCCATCTGGCAGGGCCCCACTTTTTTTTTGGGTTTTGACATGGGCCAAAAATGCCCAGATCGACCAAAGATCAAGAGATTCTAAGAGATTGGACATGATTGGATCCTCAGAGGTTAGGTACTGTACATTGTCGATTTTTATCCAGGCGGTTGGCACAACGCACAACTACTGAGGACTCTGCACACAGGGCCGCTTCAACGACCTGAAGGGTGCATCCAGCGAAGATGCATGTAGACCTTGTGCGTCCCTTTGGCCGTGGCCGGGATGTTGGGATCTGCCGATAGATTGTGGGGCACAGCCCTTCGTATCTAACATGGCACGGCAATTCTACCGGCGGATTGTCTATTTCGAAAACACAAATTCGCGAAAGTTGGACGTGTTGGAACCCCAAATCCATCCAAATCCATCTTGATCGTGGCATTTTCCGAGGCGTGGGCGCTGGTGGCACGAATTGGGTGCTTCTGCAAGCACGGCTTGTCAGCCCTGTCCTGCCGGTCGCTACCAGCCTGCCTTGGCGCAGGCGTGTCATCATTGGTGGGCTTTGCAGAATTGCCATGAATTGCCAAGACGCCTATTTGATTCGAATTATGTGAAATCGTGGATGAATAGCCAAATTTATGATAGTTTATCATCCAATTTTATGAACATTGGGGCAGAAATAGCCAAATTTATGATAGTTTATGGAGTTCATTTGGATTCATTTGGGGGATCTGATTTTCTGGAGGTTTGTACGCTAGGATTTTGTGGGTGTGCCTCAAAGTCAGCAATTCCAGGGATCCATTTCCGTATTCCGTCCATTTTCCATTGAATGTTCCGTTCAAACAATCCATGGATTTTTCATCCGGTAATTTTTCAGATGGCAGTAGAAATTTCTGCTATAAATAGGAATTAAAACGGCAAGAGCATGGAACAGGTGGGGTTTTCCAACCATGAAACTGATGAGGGTTCCATCGCATTTGACCCATCGAGCCGGTGAGTCTCCTTTTTCGCTGGATAAATCATCATTTTGTTTATGTTTTGCTGTTTACGCTCTGGTAAACTAACATAGCTGACATAGCTATATTGAAAATGGTTCATTTATAGTTGATTTACCTACGAGTATACTAAATAAACTAAAAGTGGTGATTTTCCGTAGCATCTTAGTTGACCAGAAGGTACTCTGAGTTGTTAAAGTTGAACGATTTCAATGAAATGAGCGTCCCAGCTGCGCGCACGCAACTTCTAAAGTTGACCAATGTTGCGTCCAGCTTGTGTCTAGCAAGTTAGTTTTTTTCAGTTTTTTGACTTTTTCGTGGGCTTTGCATTGCCAGCGACTTTGTGTGACTTCGTATTTTGGTTGTGTCTATACCATTCTATACCATGTTTTCATGATCGCATGAAAGGACAATGAAAGGACAATGAAAGGACAATGAAAGGAAATGAGAGGAAATGAACGGAGAATGAAAGGAAATGAGAGGAAATGAAAGGAACATGAAAGGAACATGAAAGCAAATGAATCCAAAGGTCTGGGTTTTGATACCCTTTGACGTTGTTCGATACGTCGTTCGGACGTCGTTCGGACGTCGTTCGAAACAGCTAACCGTGTCCCTACAGAATCCAACAGGTAAAAGCAGCTTTTCTTGTGAGCTTTTCTTGTGATCACTTGCAATCTACATGTGGTGAATCACTGGCGTCCCAATATGACACGAGTGTTTTATGTTGTATTTAATACCACTTTGAAGATGTTTTGGGAGTTGCGTCCACAAGGTGTTTCCTCATCTTTCACACAGCAAAACTTGCCAAAACAGAGTTTGTCGTACATCGGCGTCCCATTGGGGTTGACCTTGCTTTTGGTCAACTTATTTGACTTCCTGATCCAACGGCGTCCCAATGAGATTTGACACAATTCTGTTAAATTGGTCGACTTTAACGGTTCGGAGTAAATCAATGATATCAATGTAAATCATCATTTTTTGCTGTGTACATCTTCATTTTTCCAGGTTGCGGCTAGCAATTGCCTTCCCTGCGCCCCTGGCAACTTCAGCGGTCCAGCGGCTGCCTCCTGCAAGCAGTGCAGCCCGGGACGCTATGCGGCCTCCCTTGGTGAGACCAGCTGCCAAGCCTGTGAGGAACCAGCAATGTGGCACAACATGGATCCACATAGCACAAACATTTGCTATTTGCTGTTTACATCTATTTACTATCTATCTACTATAATAGGCAATAGCTCACAAGATTCGGAAAGATTCCAGATCATGTTTCCACCATTTTTTTGCTAGTTTTGATTTGCTATAGCAACTGTAGGGTGTTTCGGCCCCAATGGATCAAATGTGGGTCAGCCATGGTTAACCATAGACGTATCCCTAAAGGTTAGTCTTAGTCTTACAAAGATTCTATCTGAAGCCTATGAGACTCACTGAGGTTTCTTTCTGGTTCAGTCGTCACTTTCGGCAGGACGGATGGAGTCGTGTACCTGGAGCCATCAGTGCAGCCATGTGCAAAGAGTGTGGAGCGGAATGTGCGGCAGGCGCGGTCAGGTGGCACGGAAATGCATGGAATCCCCCATCAGTGCATTCTCCCAGTGGAAATGACGTCCCGGCATTTCGGCCCTTCTGAATTTTTCGGCTGCAACCTGAGGTTGACGGTTGACTTTCTGTTGTTCACAAAGTTGCCATTCCGGGCCATTCCCCGACAAATTCCCCATTTGATCCAATCAAAAGCTGGGCTCCAACTCATGTGAAGCTGTCATTGCAGGGTCAAAACGCAGGTGCCAATGTGACCATCATGCTGGAGACGCTTAGCCAAACGGTGAGATCCTGGCTGAAGATCTTGGAGGATTAGCCAAACGGGAGCCAAAAATGAACAGAACCCCCAAAGAAATCCCAAATAATACCCCAACTGGAGTCCTGGAGACTTCCATTTTCCCCCCAAATGCGAACAAGTCATCCATTTTAGCTTCTTTCCAAATCAGCTGCGCTCACTCCGAACCTACAAAGGATCGAACATCTGGACTGCTCTGAGTCTGGGCTGCACCCGGACTTCGGCTATGCCAATACATCCCAAGACCATCCAACACCTAAATTTCATCAATATTTTGACCGTTTGACCCTCCAAGTACCTAGACAAGTCCGGCAATACACAGTATTTTAAGCAACTTTCAGGCATTTTTTATATTTTTTGATGGGTACCAACCCAGCTGGTCTAAGAACCTGACGGCGAAGCAAGCGGAAGACCTGGCTACGGCGTATGCGGATGACATCGTCACATCCATGGGCCGCGGCCCCGGCGGGCGCATCTTCAGCCTTTCGGGTGAAGCATCGCAGGTGCCGGTCATGGAGTTGATGAGTTGTATATTTGCATATTAATGATATCGGATATATCTATAGAATCTATATGATAGTATAAAGTTTGCGATGTGATAGTAACCATAGTTGTATATTTGTCGGCAACTATATGATCATTACTTGATGATATCTATATGATGGTGATATTGGAAACCAAGTAACTAATGCAAACCTTTAGCTGGATGACAGGGAAAAAATGGTCAAACAAATAAAACACAAATGTGTTTGATGGAAGCAACATTTGCTCATATCCGGGTGGATATATCCATAGGCCTTTTTTTGGCATTTGAAACTGTGCCCAACTGAAGAGCTAACAAAATCGCACGCAATGCATTTCTGCTGTGGGATCACTTGGAGGATCCCAGTTAGATCCAGTGGTTAGCAACTGGCCTTCATTGATAAATGGGAATAAAATGGAATAAATATGAATCTGGTTGGTGGTTTGGAACATGTTTTATTTTTCCATATATATATAATTATGCATGTACATTGGGAATTTTATCATCCCAACTGACGAACTCCATCATTTTTCAGAGGGATTGAAACATATTGAAACCACCAACCAGACATGAAAGATATGAATAAATCCAAATCAGAGACTTCCGATCACCAGATCTATGGATCCAATGATCCAGGTGTCCTTAAGACCATTGCAGACGTCGCCTTCGACGGATTGCAGGGTGGAGTGTCTGATGACTGTCCCGGAAGGGTCGACGCTACAAGCGAAGCTGGGCAGCTGGGGGATTGCCGGAGTGCCTCAAAAATGGCCATATTTTTGTGAGAAAAATGGTGGGTTTCGTAAAATGGGGGATCCCCAAAGCCATGTGATTCAATATTAAACTGGTCTAATGACTTGGATGATTTAAGAGCAGCCCTATTTTAGGAAACCTCCATTATGGGGAAGATGATGTAAATGACGGTAACATTCATCGACCACGGGATTTGGGATTTACATCTTCAACCTCATAAGTTGGGGAGACAATATGACACGATTCATATGATAGGATGATCCAATGCAAACTTATATATACACGTATCATATCACATTGTTACAACAAAAATGATTATATCCTTTTTATTGCAGTATCACAGGTTGCAATGCCCTCCTTCCCAAGGATTGCAAAGGAGCAAAACGTGGCAATGCTGCAGGAGCTCTTGCAAGGATCTGCGATCCTTGCGAATGCTGACGGTGCTTCTCTACAGATCGACTCTTGGACTTCGAGGAGTTCAGAAACCGTCGAAACCGTCGGTGGAAAATGATTGACCTTAACGTTCTTGGGGGCTAAGCTGATGAGAGGGGGATGGAATAAATCGATAGAAGATTTGCATATGTTACAAGGGTATGAAAGGGATGGATGTGAATCGAATCTAAATGTGCTAAGCGAACTTTGAGCGGGTTGGGAAATGATTTGACCCGAGGTGCAGATGACGGTTGGGAACTCAGCCTGGCAGCGATGTCTCCAGTCTGGCGTCAAATATCATGCGCATGAAAAAATACAACTGCATACAACTGCTAATATCATCACATACTATCACATACTGACATGCTTACATAAACACTCACGCACACTGTAACACACACATGACATACAAACACACCATATTAGATGTAATGTATATTGAACAATCAAAACAGACACAAAGTCCACATATATCCAGTTTTTCTCCGCATATTGTACAATCATATATCAACATATATCAACATGCGCCAAGATGTTGCCAACCTCCGGGATAGCTACTACGATGCCTACGATGCCTACGATGCCTACGATGCCAACGTCCGGGGCAGCGCTTGCCACGCCAGTCACAGTGCCAGTGACCACCACGGGGGTTGCAGCAGGACGGGGGGAAGATCACGTGGAGATTTTGATGCTGAAAATAGGGGAGTTCCACTTCCATGACTGGTTGAAGCGGATGAAATTAGTAGCTGGTTTGAAACATACCTAAGAATCCACTTCCTAACGGTCCTAAGCCCTAACGTGTTTTTTCAAAACAATTACTGGTCAGGTAGTACATAACATCATTAAAACGGTGATTACTACCATACCATTGTCAGGAGTCTCTAGCATCGCAGCCCCAACATCTCAGCTCGCAGCAAAGAGGCGGCATCACTTTGACGGTCCCCAGATGCAGTCGGGTTGTGAGGGCATTGGGAAAGATTCGCTGAGCTGCTGAAGTGTTTAATGTTAGTATAGTAGTAATGCAATAATAAACCACTCAGCCCATATCTTGATGGTTTATTAATGATTTTAATGTTAGTAAAGAACTAGTTTGGCTGAATTATAGCAGCCCCTGCGATGGTACTGGGATGATGGTTTTTATAGGGGCAAAACTATCCCTGAAAAGGCCCACAATTTCAGGTTTCTGAATTATGATTTATAATGTATATAGCCAGAATAATAAACCATCCTAATTTTGTGATGATGGTTTATACACAGAATTTATGGTAATTATGTAATTGGGGGTGGTTTACTATTGCTTCACTATAACATTATTCGTGGATATTAGTGGCAGCCTCAAAACAACATTACTGTTTTAAAAAATGAGGGAAGACCTCACTTAAATTCTCAATGGGTTTTGCTTTTATTATACTTAACTTATTCAAAGCCAGTGATCTCTGGCGTTGCCAATATTGTAACCAGGACGTGGTGCCTATGTTTGCAACACGGAGTCCAGGCTAATTTATTTGACGAGTTAGCCCATATCAAATATCAATCTCAGACTCATTGACAGATGCCTTCTCACAAGTTCAGACCCACCAAGAAATCCCCTGAAAATTACCTGACATTTATATCATTTATGGGAACTCGTCATGTCATCTGTGAATTGCAGGGCATGTCATGTCACCAATCCCACTGAGGTCGGACGGGTTTCACCCTACTGGTGACCTTCCTTTGCTTAGCGGCCTGCCTTTGCTGCGTCGAGTTGTGGCATGTTGCGACTCAGCTACGAAGCCGGTCATGGATATTGACGATCAGATCTCATTTTCATACAAGGAAGATACCCATATGCCATATTAGTAATGTCATGTAAAACTACAATGTAGAGAATATACGAGAATATGGTATTATATGATATATATATATATGCATATGTATATGTATATGTACACATGTATGTATATGTAAGCAGGGTCATAGATAGTATGTAGAAACCAGCGTGCAAGTCTTTGATTCGAGGTTTGGAAGCGCCGGGGAAGAAGACTGATGTCACGGAGCCTCGGCCAAGCTGGTTGGTCCATCGATTCCCAAACTCGGTGACCCGCAGAACCCTGGGGAGTGACCAGTTGATGGGTTTTTCCATGGTTTTTCCATGGTTTTTCCATGTTCTTATGGTCTTAATAAGTCTTAATTAATATATCTTAATGATGGATGTTTCAGATTGGTTGATCAACCATTGCTGGAATTCAAGAAGCCAATGGAGCCCTCCAGTGAACGCAGTGAATCAGCCTGGTTGTGGTCCCACTGGTCCCCACGAGGTGGCTGAAAACCGGCCCGAGCGACCCCGAGAACTCCGAAACAGAGAGCAGCAGTAGCGACAACGGGGAGACCGGCTCCACTTCCCATCGGCTTTGAGATTCATCCAAGGGGTCCGCAACGGACCTCTGTTGATGAGAAATGCTCGAAAAAGAGAGAGCTGAGCAGAAAGCAAGGGTGAAGTGATGCAGTTTATACAATTATTTGGATATTGGATATTTGCATGTCAGTGTGAACCCCAGGCCGCTTGAAAGCTGAGGTGCTGATGCCATGGAAGTCGGAGGCAGGATGCAGGAATATGCAGGATGTTATCAGGATATCTATTTTCAGATTTTCCAGAGGGCTGGGTGCCTCACCCAGGTGGGGGCTATTGCCAGCATCTTCATGGGAGGAGTGGCGTGCAGGACTCAGATGACTCTGATGTCACTGACTTCGATGTGGAAGTGTTGGCCGAGCTAAGGACTGGAGCTGCTTGGGCCAGTTTCATCTTTGGAGACACCCCACCAAATGGAAGGCGGCTGATCATGAAGTCATGACTTTTTGGTGGTTGGTGGCATTGAATTTTTAGAGTCTATACTGCATTGGTATCATTGGTTTCAACATTCAACCGATTTCCACCCTTCAAAATCTAAAATTGGGACATAACTTTTCCCGGTCTTTGAAGTCACAAGCACCTCGACCACCATAATCTTGTGAAAGGCTGCCCATCATGATGCCAGAGACGGCCAATGATACCGTTCAGATCGGGAAAGATGCTGAAGTGGAGTATTCGGAGGCGTTGAGAATGGTTCGGATGGAGCCAATGATGGTTATAGGTGATTTGGTGTGTTCCCATTTGGACAGACCAAAATATCATACCATGAGTTTCACACAGATAATTATACATTAAGATAAAACGATGAATGAATACATGAATTAGCAAATAACACAAGTATAACACAAGTAAATTGAATAAACAGTATACATTTCAAATCTCACCATTTCTCTGGAAAAATTACCAGATATGATGTTGGGACAAACTTCAGGTGCCAATGTGTCCCATGCCAGGGCTTGCTGACTTCCTATCGATCTCCACATTTCAAGGCGCGCAAACTGGAAGATATTAGTGCAGATCCTGGCAGTTCCAAAGCTTGTGGGAGAATGAAAGTTATGGTTTGTGCGGGGGCTTGGCCATGAGTGTCAATTTCATGATAGAAAACAGATTTTTGTGCCATGGTCTAAGTTGGTTACATGGTTGGCCCATGGGAATCCAACCTTGGATCGTGGCATCGTGGAGACCAAAATCATAGGGAATTGGTGCCCAATAGGGATCCAGATTGGGATCCAGAGGTCTTCTGTTGACCTTGGTCTGGAGGCTGCTTTTCCCTTCGGACATGGCTTGACCTACACAACTTTTGAGCCGCTCAGCAGCAAGCTGTTGGTGGAAATCTTGCAGTTGGTATACCATATCCAGTGCTTCTGCCGCAAAATTCCGCACAATTTTGTCCATCTCTATGCACATCTCAATACAGTTTCATCCAGCTTCAAGCACCTAATGCTGGATTTCAGGGCACCCCTTTGGCACCAAGTGCCCAATCTAAGCGCACCACGATCATCACGAGGTTCTCCGACGCGCAGCAGACGCACGCAGAATGCGAAGCGGCCGCCTGTGTGGCCGTGACGGTGAGAAATACCGGGCAAGTCGCAGGGGAAGAAGTGGTGCAGGTGTCCAGGGGGGATGGGGGTGAAATGGTGGTAGAATTCATGAAAGAGCGAATGGATCTAATTGATGGATATATAATGATATATTTACATATATATAGTTTTAAAGAGATAGAGATAACCAATCAACCCTTTTAAAACCATTTTATGGGGATACTATGGGAATCAACTGGCTTCATGTTGTAGATCCACTGTCATAAGCCATCCCAAGTACAAGTCATGGCTTGTTTTTTCCTAACGACTGGTGGCCAGGCATATGTGCACTTCCCAGAGCCTACTGGAGGTGATGAGCCTCGACTTGCATCAGAACATTGTAAATCATGGTAGCAGCATGTTGGAACAGGAACATGGTTTCCCCATGATTTTCCCATGTGTGAGTTTGAAAAAAACAGAACTTCCCAGGTTTTACTAGGGTAAGGCCCTCGCTTTTAGAACGCAGTGCCGACCCATCGCTTTAGAACGCGCTATCAAGCATCGCTTCAGAACACGGAAGATGATCCTACGTCATCTACACAACATCTTCTATATCTTTTATATCACCTAGATCATCTACATCAATTTCATCTACGTTACATACATCACTGCATCTCCTACATCTCTCCTATATCCTTTACATCATCTACGTCTTCTACATCTACACCACGTACATCCTCTACAGCATCTATATCAACTTCATCTACATCACATACATCATCAACATCATTTTCATCAACTTCATCAACATCAATTTACATCAACTTCATCAATACCACATGCATACAGGACATACATCAATCTACGCAAGTTCTGGAGTTGTTATACATGAGTTGTGACACAGAACCTGTTCTACAGGAGTTGCTTTATAGGAGTTGTTACACAGGAGTTGTGGGAGTACGTTGTCATCCCACCCCACCTCACCCCATCCCACCCCATCCTCCCTTACCCGGTGTGACTGGACGTCACCAATAGAGGGAATAGATGATCCTCTGCCCAGGAGAGATGGGTCCAGGCAACGCCAGTGACTTGGTTGAAGAAATCCCATTTGATCCCGATCCCCACGTGAAAATTTCCATTTGTCATCAGATGTTCACCTAATTCTTCTCCATAATTTCCTCATATTTCCTCCCAAAAAATCAATCAAAAAAATCTCACCAAAATTAACCCTCCCACACGGTTCCTTACATGTTCTCCCATGTTCTCCCCAAATTTCGTCGAAAATCGGAAAATCTCCAGGGATGATCACTGGATCCCTGGATCAATCCCGAGGCCAAAGCTCTGAAGGGCTTCAAGCGCACCTCAGTTCTGAAGCCCAACGAGATGGAGATCATCGAGCTGAAGTTCACCACCGGCGACTTCTCCTTGTTCTCCTCGGAGCGTCCCTTGGACGAAATCATACGAAATCTATGAACATCTATGGACAAATCTATGGAATATATATGACTCATGACCCATTTAGCCATTGAATGGTGATTTTCCATTGCAAACTGTTAGTTTACCAGAGTTACTATTGTGCTACAAAACAGTGACTGGAAATGGAGATGGATAAATCGCATATATATATAATAGCTGCAAACATGAAAAAAACATAAAAAAAACACAATAATAAGTATATAATCGACAAAATTAGCTAAAAACTAAAATAGTAGGGATTGGACTTGGGATGTTCAAATTTGTGTTAAAACCTTCACAGCCGATAGGGGGCCACCCACTTGCCATGTCGCGAGTAGCAACTGATGGGTGAAATCCGGTGGTTTCGCGCCTGCACGCGGCCCAGGTGGCTGGGTTCCTTGGCTTTCCCTGACCGGTCACAACTTGGTGGCTGTGTAACCAGCCATTCATAGGGGTTAATATATGTTAATACATAATTGTTAATATACCTATTGGTAATTCGTAATATAATCATTATATATTGTGATATAATATATATATATATGTATAACTATCGGGATATATATTTATAATATACGTATATATATATGTATATATATATATGGGTGTGTATGTATATACATGTGCGTGTGTGTGTGTGCGCACCATCACAAATTGCATGGTCATCAATCCATTAGGCATGGAGATTGATATGCCCATTCATTGGGGGATCCCCAATGAGGGGTGTGATGGCAGGACGAACATAGCCTAGGCAGCCTACTACTCATTTCATGAATTCGACATATATAATTCGACCATGCCACACACGATGGGAAGTGAATTGAAAGAGGTCCAAGAGACTTGTTTGTTGTTCGCATAGCCATTGCATGATACCATGCTCGTTTTGCTTGGCAACTGCACATGGCAAATGTCGCGTTGAGTCAAGGTGCAGCAGACGAAAGTGGAGGTATTATTGGGTGCTTCTAGCCAGGATATTCGGCAAACCGTTGAAGTAGAACCATCCAACTGATCAGCGCAGGAAAAAGAACCGGTGGAGTGCGTTGACTGCCGTATGACATACATCTTGTGTCAATGCATCACCTGGCTGTGTGGCTCTAAATTCACTAGACCAGCCTTACATCTAAATGAACTAGCCTCCAGCAATTTAAGCCATGGAAAGTTGTATAAAGTGGCCCATTGAGTTCGATGATTTGCCTTAACAGCCTGGCATGGTTTTCCCATGGGTTTTCCCATGGGTTTTCCATAGCTACGTTAAATCAGAGGGTTTTTATGTCCCAACATGGTCCCCCGCGTCATCCCATCTACTGAATCTACTGGCATGTATGCACTCGATGCCAGGGACACCACCAAAGTTGGTGCTGCAGTAGATGTGGCGGGCTCAGGTTTGCTGACATGGACATGTCGGAGGCGCTAAATGAGTAAATCAATATCCCATATATATATAATCATACATATATATAATACATCTCGCTATCTGTATATATTTATATTGGCTATTATAATTGTTATTATTATATGCATATGCAATACGCACGTATTTACAATTTATGTATGTGTTTGTATACATTTATACGTCAGCATTGATATATCGGAGAATACATCATAATATATCACACGCAATTCCTTCCAAGGTTAGATGCTTCCGTGATTCTCCGTCGAGGGGCAATGTCGCCATACAGTTCCACAGCAAGACTCCCTGCGAGCCTTGCCAGGTAGCCGCACAGTACAGCGTGAACGAGTCCTGCGGTGGAACTTGATTTGAAAATTCTTGGAACGTGATCTGGTTGGTGGTTCATTGATGTTCATTGTGTTTCTCAACAGGTTGAGTTACCTCTACCTGGACTGATGACCCACATGCTGTATCTGTTTTCAGTCGGCTTGAAATGACCTTCCGCAGGATTGTTGCACCCCATGCAGCCAAACAGCGGTAGGGCGCTTCGCCGCAGGATGCTGTAGCGTTAGGAAGGATGTTTCGCACAGAACGGGTGATTTTGCAGTCGCTTGAATAAAGAGTTTCAAAATCGTGCAGGTGTGTGAATGGATGTAAATTGTCATTAGTGACTCATTAGTGGCAAATATTGATGTGGATCTGGGAATTCAGACTTAGAGTCTACCGGCCGGAATGATGATCATAGACCTTAACAATCCCGATGCATGCGACAACATCCCATTGCATGCCCATTCTTGGAATGAATTCGCAATGTACTGCTATGGCAAATGAAGAAAACCTTTGAAAGTTATGTACAGGGTGCAGCACAGTTGCCGGGGATGAATTGCCATTGAGATACATTTTTTTTAAAAACTGGACCCAGCTTGTGATTCAAGGGCGTCCCCAGGTGCAACAGATGTGCCCACATTTTCAGTAGGCCAAATAGGCAGAGGCTTGGTAAAGACCACCAGGTCGGAGCTCCGTTGAGCCCGTTGAGCGACTTCAGACCGCCCTCGATTTCGGCCACGAGCCGTAAACCATCTGCGTTCCTTCAGGGCGGAAAACCTCATAGCCTATAACCTATAGCCTATAGCTTATAACCTATCCTATAACATCCTATAACCATATGAAGGAATAAGGCAATACATGGCGATACCCAATCATAGTCCCAATATGTCCCAATCATGTGATTTCTCCAAATGTGTGTCCAAAAGACCCGTCGTTTGGTCAACTTCCAGTGAAGCCACAGCCGTGCGGACCAGGTGTTTGGATAATTGTTAGAGGCAGTCTCTGTTATTCTAGTTCTTGTTTATATCTACTGTACCTATAGTGTTAATGTGGCAAAGCCAATAGTAAACCTATGGTTTCGGGATGGTTTATACAACCCATGTATGGTGATTTATGATGATTTAATTCAGAATGGCATGTTTTAAAGGACGGCAGTTTTTTTTGCTTTGACCAACCCGTGAACCTTGTAGCAGGAGTTGGTCATACATTGCACACATCATCGCCAGTCACATCTGGCCCACCTTGTATAGACTGGATGGGCCCAGCTGCGACATCGACAGCGGGACACTGCGAAAGAAAGACCCGCACTGGATCCGGTCTGACTGGGTGATGGCCACATGGCTGTTCCATGGTTGACTTCAACACGGCGTTGAAGTGGTCGCTGCATCACCTTGCGAGGAGGAAGCAATGAATCCATTCCTAGCTCGATTCAGTTGCTGCCTCAGAACTTTGTGTATTCATGTTGAATCTCAGTGGATGATTATTGGATCAAGATGTATCAAGGATTTATCATTTGAGCACGAGGTGTTGAGGGGCTGTGCCATGCCCTCAGCGAAATTAAGACTCTACCAGTTCTTCCGAGAGCAGCTGCCGTGCTGCCCTTGAAGCACCTCACAGTTGAGCCTTGTGCCAAAAAAACCGTCAGCTGAGAGTGATGGTGATGGTGATGCAGTGGAGCTATCGTGTTTCTCTGAATCTCATATTGGGAAGCGCCGGATGAACATCGAGGTGGTTTGACCGCCATCGGCAGGAAGAACACGTCCTTTTGGCCGCGAACTCACCGGCTCACTGGTGACCAAAGACCGACCAGCGACTGTGGATTCTGCGTGCTGCAGTTGTGAATATAAAGTTTGCTTTTATAATCTTTTATATGATTTTATATAGGTACAACATGGCATGGTATATATATAATATAAATATAATTATATATAATTATATATGATATATCTAAGCTTAATGTGTTTACAGTTTCATATATGGTCATATCATGTCGTAAAATCCAATAATAAACCATGCCATGAACTAACCATTTGGGGGTCATTTTACATCACCCCAAAGAACCGGGTATACCCCATAAATCCCAATTGGGTATGTTTTTCCCAATATTTACATTGGTGTATATATATATAACTACATATAACACAAAATGCCAATAGCAACAGTACACACACACACACGCATACAATCAGGTAGTACATTAATGCTGATGTATTTACTGAGCCAGTTTTCTGGGCTTCACCAAGGTGCCCTTGGCTGAGCTACTTGCCGTTGTGGGCAGGCAGCATATGGCCGCCTTGACAATGGCACCCTCTGGTAACGGTTTGCGAACTGGAAAATGGCACATTTAGTTCGTTGATTTACCTATTAAAGTAAAGATTGTGATTTCCCATACTTATATCAGAGGGTATTGTTTTTGGAAAGCTAAAGGCTCAGCCGAAACTGGCACTAGAACTGCATCATCTCATGGCGGAAATAAGTCTACACATGTCTACATCTTTTATTTTTGCATCGACGCCCCATTTCGATGAGGTTCGGGAAGTGAAGCTTGATTCGTAATCCTAAACCACAAACATGTATCAAAATGCCAGCTTGCTTTGACGCTACTTGGGATTATGTACCTTCATCCCTAGTTTTGAATATTCTCTAGATAGTTTCAAATCAATATTATAGAGAGAGAGAGAAAAAAAAACTATATACATATATACTAATATATATATATATTGTACATAGACATGAGGAATGAGGAATAGAAGTCCTTCATTTAAAAAACACTGCGGAGCCCATGGCACCGGCTGCCTCTACCGCACGCTCGAGCTCCAGCCTGGTCCCGGTGGGCGTGCGGCGTCGAGTTTCTTGGCGAAGGTCTCTGCAAAAAATGGGCAAACAATGGTGGAAAAGTATGGAGCAGTGCCAGTTTAATGATGGAAAGTTATGGAAAATGATGGAACATGATGGAACATGTCAGTTTCATTGGGAAATGATGAAACATCACAGCAGTTTCTTTTTATTCGGAAATGATGAAACATCATAGTAGAATTTTCACCCTAGAAATGCAAGTTTAATGATGTTGAACAGGGAAAACACACGGTTGGATAATGATGTTTTCAAACCAACCGTGAAGCTAGGCAGATCTGGGCATATTTGGGTGGCGGGATGTTGATTCTGAAGGACTGGCGATTGCCACCCACACAATTTTGGAGCAGCGTTTGATAATTTCGTCTAGGTGGAACATTTGGTTGGTAAATGTTGGTAATCTTCTTGAAATCATGGGGAATAGGGAACATGGAATTGGGATATCACCATTCATTTATCATTATTTGGGATATCATTATCATTCCCAAGTTCCAATAGATTATTGTCGTTCTCACCACCTATCATTAGCCTATCATTTGATGATAGTTGATGGGGAACAGAATCTTCATTTAATGTGGAACACTATCCCAATGTAATGGCAATTTGAATTGGGAAGAGCGGGAAGATGTTGATAACATGTTGGAATTCAATTCCCACATTTGTCCGAATGTAATGGGCAATCTATGATTCAAATGGATCATCATGATGATTGCATGGGGCATCCTCAATCATTCTCATTCAATTGGGGAATAATATATATATATAGATATACATATATATTTATGTGTGTGTATATATATATATGTATGTATATATATAATGATTATAATGGATGGTCATTTATCACCTCCGAAATCCCCAATTTCATTCTTCCATATTTTTTCCCAATTCCAATAATTCTCATCAGAATCGCTGACTTGGTGACACCCCACCAGACCGTCCCGAGATGTTCCGAGATGTGCCGAGGTATTGGTCACAGCCGCAGCGGTGGGACTGGCAGCCTTCGGCTTGCGGGTTGTGGCAGTGAAGCTCCAAAATGCTCTGTCCCTTGGCCCGTTGCTGGTCCCAGGAATCCCAGGAATCTCAGGAATGGATTGGAAATGACGATGAACAACCATCAAGTATGGGGCTTTATGATGGTTTATATATGGTTTATATATGGTTTATAGATGGTTTATATACATGGTTTATATACATGGTTTATGTGGTTTTTAACTATGATATGGGGATGATATCATCGATATCTTGATGGCTGGTTGATGATGCTAGGAACAATTCAGGCCGACACCCCATATAATTATTCTGGTAAAAGCCATGGTTTCCGGTCAGATTTCCCCCCTCCCAATCCATCGACATTGAACATCCAGGGATGTTCCTGGGAAAGCGTAGCGAGGACTGTACGCTGGGACTTGAAATACTTTGAAACAGGACCATCTGAAAATTTTGTTGACCTAATTGATCTGGATGTAAACATGGCACATGGGCCAGTTGATTTTCCCATGATAGATATGATAAGATATGATAAGATATGATAAGATATGAAAATATATGATAAGATATGATAAGTTTTGATAAGTTATGATAAGATATGAAAAGATATGATAAGTTATGATAAGATATGATAAGTTATGATAAGATATGATAAGATATGAAAAGATATGATAAGTTTTGATAAATTATGATAAGATAAGATATGATAAGATATGATAAGATATGCTAAGATAAGTTATGATAAGATATGATAAGATATGATAAAATATGATAAGGTATGATAAGATATGCTAAGATAAGTTATGATAAGATATGATAAGATATGATAAGACATGATAAGATATGATAAGTTTTGATAAGTTTTGATAAGATATGATAAGATATGATAAGGTATGATAAGATATGATAAGTATTGATAAGTAGGGTTTCTCACTTCTGGGTTGATGAATCCCACCGCCAAACGCTGAGGCTGTACCACCCGCGGCCCATTACGGGCGACCCGCTACTTGGCCCTTAGAGGTCCCAGCTGAATTCCATTGATGTGGGCTATAACATGATATAACTATTTTTCATTGGGGTTATAAACCAATTTATAAACCAATGATAGTGATTGAATCGGAATAATTAGTGTTGAAGGGCGTTCTTGTGGGGCTTCACTCGATGCATTTGAGGTATTATGAGAAGGTAGTGTCACAGACTTCCAAGCAGCTTCAACGCCGCGGCTACAAAATTGAGGACATATCAGGATGAAAACACAGCTCAATCTTATCCTTGGATTGGTTTAAGGGAAAATATGCAGGAAAGCCCCATATGTCATAGGAAAAACAATGGTTTCCTGTAGATTTTCCCTTGAACCAATCCAATGGTCTTGCCTTTGTGATGGTTGGTGTTTCAGACACAAAAAACCATCCACTGTTTCTTCCGAACGTTGGCCCATCAACTGCGACACGTCTCCACTGAGCCTGCGTCAGGAGTTTGCATACAGCGTGCGCAATGAGAAGCAAAAGGCGCTTCTGGTACCTTGGCGCAACAAAGTGACGATGAAATTCCGTTCAGCAGCTGGAACCAGCAGCAATTCAATCCCCAACTAATTTCAATGCTCAGTTTTAGCAGCAGCTTGGTTTTCCAGACCCGTTTTCTTGGACTTTCCATCGATGTGAGGTGAAACCCGAGCAGGCAAAGGCAGCACCTCTTTGGGTCGTTTTTGGTGGCTGCCTCAGTTGACCTCTTTGAGGAGATCTTATGATATTTTGGGCCATTTATATAGAGAAGTCTATAGAACACACACACATACATATATATATATATATATGATATATGATATATGTATGAAAATATGACATACCTGGAAGGTCTGAGTATGTCTGAGTTGAGCTTTGCGGCTTGAAGGCTTCTTTGTCATCCCTAAGCCTTGCTGTGCGTCAGGTGGCAATGCTATGGTATCGGCTGATTGGCTGCCATTCTGTGAAAGCATTCTCTCGTTGAAGGATTGGACATCATCAGGGGACGGAATGGGAACCTGAAACTGGTTTCGTTTGCTTGGATTGTTGGTTTCTCCTTGGCCCTCTAGTAGTCCCGGCAGCCGATATCGGCTTGCTTTCGGACGGAGAACACCCCAGAATGGGTTGGTTTGAAAATAGGGTATCCCTAGTTCATTGATTAGTAAATATTAGTAATAATCCTGTTCAAATGTCAATCTGGTGCCTCATTTTCACACACTCCAACCAGATTGTTAATGTATCCCATCAAATCCCCCAACAAAAATCCCAGGACTCCAGCGTGGCGGATCCCATCTTTCTGTTGGTGGACTACCCGGGCTATGGCGACAACGGTGGCAGGGTTCAAGATGTTGGGTTTACTGCACAAAAAACAGATGCTAAGTAGAATTTGAACAACTGCAAAAACTGGATGTTAGAAGTAGTTTTAAGACAGACAGATACGCACACACACACACACTCATATATATATATGTATATATATATATTATATGATGATGTTTATACGTATATCAACACATCTTGGTAAACGACAGCGAAACCACAACCACATCCCCGTAGCTGATCGTCAAGAGGAATCATCCTCCAGATCAGGAGCTACTGTAATGTGCCCAACAACTTGCTTGTAACCCCTCCTGCCTGGGATATAATGGGTTTGACCTGGGTATGGCCCGATATTATCCCAACTTTGCAGATTGTTTTGTTTACTACGAAAAGCTGCCATTTTTGGGGGCCCATTGGCCATACCCATATTGACCGAAAAGTTGACAATTTTTTTTGGGGCTCCATATTTGGTAGGGCCCCATGTGTTGCCCACAAACGACCTGGTTGATGATGATTTCTCCTCTTGAGAGCCATAAATTTTGGGCCAATCCGCAATTTTTGGACAAACCCACGTCAAATCATGTCATATCGCATTGTTAGTTGTATCCCATAGTATTTACATTCTGAATATATATATATACATTCCCCCATTGTAGTTGGCTTTAGGCTCCAACTTGCTACAATACATCGTTTTGTCACCATGCTATGTTTATGGATTAATGTTGTCTAGCCAATAGTGATATGTTGTCAATAGTAGAAACATTTTTCCGCAACTCCAATTTTTCTCCAATACTAAAAGTCAATTAGCTCCATTTACTGTTAGTATTGCCAAAAGAGTCAAGTAAAGCAAATCCTTTTCAAAGCAACCTTCACTTTTGATTAGCAAAAGCTTAGATTCCAGAAATCCAAGAAAACAGGTCCACAAAGGGTACCCCCTTTGCAAGCCCCAGAATAGCAATAACAAACCTGCACCAGGCATGGCAATAGTGGAAACTTTTTTCCGCAACTCCAATTTTGTTGTCCTCCTTCTCCTTCTCCTCCTTCTCCTTCTCCTTCTTCTCCTCCTCCTCGTCCTCCTCCTTCGCCTCCACCACCTCTGCCCCCACTTCCATGATCCCAGCTATAAGGTTCCAAAAATTTACTATTGGAATGCTGACCCCCCCTAAATTTGTTAAAATAATTATTTTATTAGGCAGCCTACATTACTCCTTTCATGGCTATTACGCACTTTGTATCCACAGTTCATCACTTTTCAGCCTTGCAGGATCATGCCACTTAGATAAGCCATGAATGCCCAGTATTCACCATCATCAACCATTTTGAGCTTTTAAATTATTAACCAGTATTAACTAAGCTATTAAGAATCCATTATTAACCATTATTCATTATTATTAACTATAATTTACCATGATGAAGCACTATTAAACCAACATTTACCACTATTAAATACTATTAATCATGATCAAGCCACTTGTATTGCCGAGACCTGTGGCTCTGCAGGTGGTGAGCCTTCTCCCAGCAGCGCGCTGGAAGCCTCGCATGAGGCATTGGAGCAGTTGCTGCGGCAGCTGAAGGATGTGCCGCTGGGACATGTGGAAGATGATGATATTACCCTCCAGTTCACATAGACCCTGGCAGGGGTTGGAAGATTCGTTTCGACTAAAAATGGATTGTTTTCGGGGTCTGTTAATTTACCAGAGAGTAACCATGGTTACCCTAGTCAATGGATTGGTTGAAGAGAAAATCTTGACCGGAAACCATGGTTTTTACCATGACATCTAGGGCTTCCCGGTTTCAATTTTCCCATCATCCAATTCTGTGACCTAGGGTAGGCTGATATAGATGTGGAAAACTCCATGGTTTAGTTTCCCGAGGAAAATAGTCTATAAATGGTTGATTTTCCACATCTATGTTAATTTACTTTAAGGTAACACCTTTGTTATAACCATGGTAAGCACCTTGGGATAGTGATGGTAAACAATGGTTAATGATTAATGATTAATGATGGACTATCATCATTCCCAATGGGATATTAGTGTGCCAAGAATGGATTAATATTGTGTAGTAGAAAATGGTGGATAATCATGATAATTCCTGAGTGATTTGGTTGAGGGGTACGGCTATGGTGATTAAATCGTGATTTGGGAATATATAATATAATGGTAGTACAATGGGAATAGAATGACAATTGTTTGGGGGTACATGTATTTCTTAAGTTTTTCAACCATTCAATCGGCATGATTGGCTTGGATGGGTTCAGACCACCAATCAGTGATGCTTATGGTGGAGCACTGAAATGTTTAAATTTTGGAAGGGAACATAATGTGCAAAGATCTTCAAAGCATCAAATTTGGGGCTGCTTTTTTGGCCCCAAGTTCAAACAAACCCCTGTGATGCTAATGGAGGATGTGACAAAGTTGCTGGTGGATGAGGATGGTGATGAGAATACAGCAGATCACCCAAAGATTGAATTACAGCCATATGGCACCCTAGAATAAGCAGTTGGTTCGAGTGGAATTTAGTCTTCATGCTGGGAGCAGGGGATTCATGGTAATGAATATTGAATAATGATTGACATAGTAACCATAACCATGATAATGATAGCACAGAATAGTAGCCCGACCTTCAGAAGATTCAGAAGAGTCGCTCTTCTTTACTTCTACACAGAAGTATCAGGTGAAGCTGGGAAACTTTTTTAAAAAGGCGGAACAATCCAGGAATCAAGTTTCGACTAACGCGAATTCTGGCGACATGGCGCTCATAGCATTGATATGATGGATATTAATTGGATATTACAGCCTGACTAGTTTCTGCTAACTAGTGTAGACACACGCTGGCCTGGATCACTTTTCAGCACATTCACATGCTGCTTTTTTTTGGCAATGTTTGAGCTTGTGATTTTCCAGCATTCCTTGTGCATCAACAATAGTGAATATGGACGATTGGCCAGCAAGAAGGGTACATTCTCGATTTTCTGCAGGAAATTATGCACATAAGACTTAAGCGCCTTCAGGCCTGATACTTACTAGCTGTGGCTCTACAAGAACATGGGTCAGACCCTTTTTTCCCCCTGCTGTTTCACCGCAAAAAATGTTTTGGATGGTAAATGTCCGTCCCAAAACTATGGTATAACTATGGTGTAGATTGGTATAGTTATATTACAAATACCAAATTATAGGATGTTCCGATGTTCCCCAAAACTATATAGAACTATAATACAACTCCATATAGAACTATAGAATTATAGTATAACTATAATATAGAACTATATATATATAGAACTATATATATATAGAACTATAATATAACTATAGTATATACATATATATATTATATTATATATATTGATCCATCCCCAAGGCCTCCTTCCTCCGTGAACCTCTTCGGGCACAGCTTGGGCGCTGCCGCGGCCTCGCAGCTGGCGGCCAAGCTGGCCAGGATCGAATGACTTGAGAACTGGGGATAGCCAAATGACTTAGGAAACCTCCACATATAAATATGTATGCATTATGTATATTTACACACATATATATATGTGTGTGTGTGTGATGTATATTAATCATATGTAAATCAATAAATAAATAAATGTATTGTATTAGATGCATAAATAAATAAATAAACAAATAAATAAATAAATATAAATATATATATATATATATGAGCAGAAACCCGAGATCATCTCGCGCCAAATCATATAGATTAAGTATGCTAAGTGACCAGTTACTAAGTGGAAAGATCCTCCAAGTGGTTGGTGGGAGAATGGGACAGTGGGATGCAAGGGGGCATACCCAAGGCATATCTATGTGGTAAAACCTCAAATGGTATAACTGTGTCGAAGCAGTGGGAACTTGAGAAAAAAATTGTTGATTGTTGGGATATATTGGGATTACGTATGGTTTATTATTGGGATTTGGATTTTTGGCTTTAGTGGATTACACGCACATATCAATGAAAATCAATGAATCTGAGTTGATATTTCACATGGCATGTCATGGTCACGCCTGGGCCTGCAGCTCTGGGCAGGTCAAGGGCGGACTTTCAGCCAGGCAAACTGGTGCTGTCATCGCCATTCCTCAGCATTGATGTGCCATGGCATGCCCAGAAAACAGCCCCCTTGGGGAGAACAGAACTGCCCCATTGGTATTTGACTAGGTCTCACTTGCAAGTGCCCTGAGATGCCGTGAGAACTCATGTCTCCGGCCTCCAATGCCAATTTCCCAGAAACAGTTTGGATAATATGTTTGGATGCACAATTCCCGCATCTCTTTTTATGAGCTCTATATAGTTCTATGAGGTGTATCCCCTGTATTCCCCTGTCACGCCCCGAGAAACTCCATTGATTTTTTCAGGCGATGGCGGCAGTGCTGTTTGGAAACCTCTTCCCTCGCTGGTTGCTGCGAAGCCTGGTGACCCATCGCTGGAACAATGCAGAGATGCTGCCCACTGCTGCCGCAGCTGGCTGGGAGGCGACGGCATTGCGGCGGATCCCCCAAATTGACGGGATTTATACGGGTTCGAATGATGAACAATGATGAATGCTGAAATGCTGGAAATCTTGATGCCCCAATGCTGACCCACACATCTAGACAATGCGGGCTGTCCAGTACCACGCCTATCCAAGAGCGAGTTCGCGCAGGTGTCCATTATCCACCCCAAGATGGACGAAATTGTACCTGTTCAGCATGGAGAGGAGCTGCCGGTCCCATTGGGTCCTGACGTGACACGCCATGGATTCAGCCTTCATCGCATCAGTCGCACCCAAGTTTCGACATTTCCTGATCTGCAGGAGCTGTGCGACTCAATCCAGGCACAGGGAAAAATCTGCACGCTCACCAAACCAGAGGCCCGGCACTTGGGATGCTGAACTTGGTGACATCTCACCAGCAAAACTGGATAAACATCCGTACGGGGTGATAACTGCACCTGATGTTTGATGAAAATGTGCATTTCGCTTGGCCAGGGCAGGTCCTACTGAATGTCAGGAGGATATCAAAAATGTGATGTTTTATGTTGCCAACTGTGCTAAAACCATCTAAAACCTATGTTTTGGCACATTCAGTCACCCCAGTAATGTGTTTGTACATTCATTTGCATTTCATTTGCCTGTTTTGTTGAGCAAAAATGAGCAAACATTTCTGTGAGACATAACTTGTCTCCATTGCCATTGCCATTGTTTGACATTTGTCATGAGCAATGAGTTATCTCTCTTTCGGCCCAGTGTCTGCAATGTTGCGGCACCATATCTTTGGCCAATTTCCAAGTTGCATCCACGGTTCCCGTGTGTGCTTGCAAGCTTGAACGCTGGCGCCTAGCGTAACATCAACGTTGCATCATAATGAACGTTATTGCCACACCCCACCCCACATGACTGACGTACGACATCTCTAGCGTAACATCATTGATGTATCAACATGAACGTTGTTGCCCCACCCCCCGACCCCATGAACATATGAAAATAGGGTCCGGTTGTCACCCAGTTAGCATGGGATATCTCGCCCATAGGATGATTTCACCAATAAATCGCCACAAAAATGGCACCCAGATGGGCTGTTTGCCTACCACCGTACCAGGGCTGTGGCCACAACGACGTGGTCTTCGCGTCCCTGCGAAGCTATGCCAAATTCTTGGGATTGAGCCGGCTGTGATTAGCAGCGGCGGCAAAAATGAGAGGTTACCATGGCGGCCCTGGTGATTCAAGAGCGACTTCCAGTGTTTAGATGGGAGAATCACTCCAGCACCAGTCGGAAAGACACATCCCCTCTCAAAGTCCCAAAAAATGCTGGATGATGGGGCTGGCATTCTCCCATCTGACCCAACTCAACAATTCCAAGGGAATCAAATGCATTGATCAACCTGTAAAGTGGGGAAGCGACTGCACAGAAGTTTGGGAGTGTTGTGATGGGAAAAAATGCACTGGAGGATCAAGCAGCTACTTGAGACGATGATCCAAATTGAATGGGTGAATTGCTTGAGCTCCCCGTGTTTTGCTTGATTTTTTGCACGATATCCTTATCATTACTCCAGTTTGAATGGGTGTCTCAACTACCAAGCAGATATTTACAAGCATATATAAACATATGTATTATCCACATATATGTTGAAGTTATATGTGCATATAAATTGCATAGATAAAATAAATACATAATAAATAAATGAATGAATAAATAAATACACACACACATATATATATATATGTATATACATACAGAATTGTATGAATATAGACGATATATGTGATATATATATATATATGTGTGTGATTATGTGTGTGTACCGTATCTTTCTCCGTTGTTTTCCATGGCGTTCCGTTGTGATGGTCTGGTTTGTTTGGTCACGGGCGCTACATCTGGCATTGGCAGCGCCTGCTGCCGAGTGCTGGCTGAAGCAGGAGCCAAAATTTTCGCGGTCGGGCGCAATGCCGCAGCAGGAATCTGGGTAGCACAAAATGCCTTCTGGGTTTGTCTGAAAATTGGGTACCACAAAATCTATTGGTTTATCTATTGGTTTATCATAATTCTCCCATTGGATTAGAAAATTGTGGGTAGCCCCAACTTTGGTGAGCCCCAACTTTGGTGCCCTTCAAGACATACAGACACGCCCTTTTAATGCACTGAAGTGCCACATGTACAAATTGGCATGGTTTCCATCGCCATCTCGTAAAAAGATGATGCCTTCCTCGACGTGTTGACATGATAACTACAAGACTACATTGTACCTGTCAAGTATCCGAGTAGCTATGGAAGTCCTTACAAATCCTCAAATATCCTAGGAAAATTGAGAAATCAAACTGATCAAAGCCCAAATTTTGACCAGTTCTGCAAGAATCCATGGCCGCCATGGCCCCGAGGAGACGCCATGATGCAGGAGTTGGATCCAGCCTCAACTGGACAGGCCAAGTTCCATGCAGCGGATCTCAGATCCAAAGAGAGCTGTATCTCGGTGGCCGAGGCCGCCTGGCACTGGCAGGGTCGCGTGGATGCCTTGGTCCACTCTGCTGGGATCTTTCCATCTGCCCCGCTGGTGGAAACCACGGATGAAATGTGGGCAGATTCCATGCGGCTGCATGCAGATGCCTTTTTCTATTTGAGCCGCCATTTGGCACCCAAGATGGTGGAACGTCGGAGTGGCTCCCTTCTGGCCATCGCCTCCAACTACGGAGTGGTGGGAGCAAGTCATGCCACCGCATATGCTGCATCCAAAGCCGCATGCATTGCACTCTGCAAAAGTATGTCATTGGAACTTGCCAGCTACAACGTGCGCGTGAACTGCGTTTGCCCTGGTGCCACTAATACACCCATGGTCGCTGGCAGTGCAGAGGAGTATGCCCAATGTTCTCCCAGTAGGGAACTGGTACAGCCAGTGGATGTGGCCAATGCTGTGCTGTACCTGACCAGTCCAGCTGGACGAATGGTCCGAGGCATTGAACTCTTGGTGGATGGAGGGGAATGCGCCGGATTTCAGCAGGGTCAAAGAACCCAAGCCATCCCAAGCCCCATGAGTGTTTAGAAAGACAGTTCTGCAGACTGCATAGGGATCATAGGGTTTTACACCCAGAAATCTCATCCTTGCTGTCAGTTTCTGATTATGATGGACTCGCCAAACATTCCCGTAAGTTGCCAATTATTCCATCGTAAATCATTGAACTGATTCAATGATCAATGATAATCAAATGATGACAAATTGCTCATGTCATGTTTCCATTATTTATTCAATCTATATTTCCATATATAAATGGTCATTTAATCATTTGATGGGAACATAACCATTTCTTGCGTCGCTGCAGGCCTGGCAAAAAGACCAGAGCTGGAAGGTGGAGCCGGTGTTTTCCACTTGACCGGGCTCCGGGAAGGTCCTAAAGGAAAGAAGAACATCATAACCAATCGGAATATCATTAATCAGAATATCATCATGAATCATAACATCATAGTCAATCAATGTCAATCACAGTATCATTCTATTTTTTCTCAGACAATCAGCCATACAACAAACACACACACACAGACACACACGCGCATATATATATATATATATATATATATATACATATATATATATATACATATATATATATACATGTATATACACACATATATAGATATATACACATATATATATATACACACCACCAAAAGCACCCCTAACAGAGGCATATTGCATGATGGTTTTACCAATCCCGAGACATTCGGACGAGGTCTGACTGGTACCGTTGTTGGACCCGATGGCCAAGGCATGAACCTGGCGTTTGCGTTTACATAACTATGATATTAGTATGGATTATGTTAGGATTATGTTAAGATTATGTTAGCATAATGTTAGTATTATATTAGTATTATATTAGCATTATATTAGTATTATACTATCATGATTGTCATTGCCTTTATATATAGTTTATTGTTTGTCCCGGTTATAGTTATAAGTTATATGCATATATATATATCATTATAACTAATACATGGCAATAATCCAGATCAAAGAGGTTCACAGTATGTTCGGTTTTTTGAATTTAAAGGCCGGCCAAAGAGCAAATCACTTTTTGTAGATGCCATGTCCTATCCCTGAAAGGTCAATACTGCTTGAAGATGATGCTGACAATGGAAAGTGAGCACGGGCTGCTGTAAAGACGATGTTCCGACAGTGGCCTCAGCAGGAACTCACAACATATTGCAGGGGTTGGTAACTGTCCCATTTTGGGTATATTGGACATCACCTTATAGTAGCCATTATAGACCATATACCTAATGGCTGGGTGATGTTCAATGGGGACATTTAATGACCCATGTATTGGCTGATCAATGGCTGATCAATATTCCAGGTCACGAAGCCAATACCGTAAACATCTAGGACTGATCACATTGCAATTCTACGGCATCAAAGGGAAACTATATCCGTTAGCCAATGCCCAATCAAACAATACCAGCACAGAAAACGGTGCATCAAAATTCTAGGAACATCCATTCACATATCTATTCATTCTATTCTAGGAACATCACAGAACATCATCCAAAAATGTTCATGGTGGACTGTCCATTGCCACAGGGTACACACCATGTCTCAGGAGGGGGAGCTCGACACCGTCATGGCGAACGCAGAGAACATCACACTCCGGGTACGCAGAGGCAGTGCCGCCTCCAGATCATCCTTGGTCATTGCAAGATCATGATGATCATGATGATCATGATGATCATGGCTAGCATTCAAGGCCTAAAACACGTGTGTTTTTCACATATTTTTCCGCCTGCAGTATACTGAAATCACAAAAATATGTAGTGTTTTGATTAGAGAGAAAAAATGGTAACCCCTGGTGAAACCATGGCTGCAGGGAATCCCTGAATTCTCACCATTTGGGAAATGTTGATGGTTGCATCGTTTACGGTTTTTAACGGTTATGAATTTTAATGGTTATGAATGGTTCTTGATAGTTATTGATGTTCATGGTTTGAGTGGTTCTTGATGGTTATTAACATTAGTTAAATGTTATTTGGGTACAACAAGTCTTGCCCTTTCCTGGATACACATTCTTAAGACCTTAGGATCTGCATTCAACCGTTACTTCCAGGCCCCGCCAGTTGTGTCTGAGGAAGCAGCCCCACCCAAAGAGGTGCCTAGTGAGTTTCTATGGCGTTTCTACAACAGGCATGCTGTTCAAATTGCTGAATGACTTTGATGCAGGGTCATTTTGTTGTTTGGAAGGGTCTCACTGAGCGGTGGTTCAAGTTGAGCGCATATTTCCACACCATGAGCGGCTTAACCATTAACCAGCTGATTGGCTCATTGAAGTTATACACCGCTGAATAATCGTTGGTCCAGAGCATATTTTCTTTGATTCCCCAGATGTCCCCAGAAAAATAGATGAGACAAACATCCATTCCAACTTTTTGATCTCCATGCTATATCATACTATTCTGAAACATCCAAGTATCGTTACCCTGGTTTCTGTGCAGTTTCAGATGGGAGGTGGCACAAGATGCCCAGCACTTACCTTCGGAGCAGGCCTGGTGCGAGGGAGAGCTGCGAGCTGCATGTGATATCCCGACAATCATCCGAAAATTGGGAACCAGGTGGGAGGATATTCCAAGCAGGTGGTAGCTGTTCAATGTTGTTTATTCATGTTTATTTGGGTTCCAAGATGTTTTGCTGAAATTGGACAAACAAATTCACCACGAACTCGTTGGGGTCGCCAACTTTTGGCTCCCCAGGCCCCATTTACTTCACAACCAGATCAACCTGATCCTGTAAGGAAGCTCAGTTGGATGAGCCAGCAGCCGACCAGACCAGCGCTGCAGCACGGCCCAAGACGAAGCGAATGGCCAAGCGAAAGGCCAGTGGTTGTAGCAAAATTGGAGATATTATTTGGAGATAGGACATGATTTTCACATGGTTTTCACATCAATTTTTAGATGAGTTGACAAGCCGTCATGGGAATTGTGTGTCAACATCCCTTCTATGGCATTGGCGATGCTGTTTAGCGGCCTTCGGTCGTGCGAGGCGCGAGTCAGTCGGCCAGCGCCGCCAGCGGCCAAACCCTCCAGACCCTCTCGCTTGATGAGTTTGTCACCGCAAGCACCAGCCGCGCTGGTTGCCAGACCCCCAGATGATTTGTTGGGGGCTGATCGGATAAGATCATCAAATTGCTGATGGCTCTTCACATAAAGATAAACTGAGACCAGCTGATGCCAACTATTGATATACAACGCTGCGCCAGATGCCACGCCAATGTCGACAAAGCCAAGGCTGCGGGTGACGTGCCAGAACATGCCCTGACCAAGGTTGGCAGGGCAGCTTTCTGTCGACCCCGTGCCCTTATGATTTCCATTGTTTCCCCACAAAGACAGAGATATCAGAGATGAGAACGATGAGATCAGAATAGATTGGCCAATGCCCATTTCAAGTCCCCAATCTGTTGGCCAAATGCCACAAGGCGTCACAAGGCGTCACAAGGCATTCTCCGCAGATTCGGCTCAGATTTCGATGATGGAGCCGTTTTTTCAGGCAGCTGAAGGGGCGCTGTCGCGGCGACATCCCAATGCTCGCAGATATCGATGAGGCATCCTATGATTCGCTCGAGAGTCACTTGGACCCTGGACGTCTTGGATGTTGTGGAGGTCCTGCATGTCATTGACGTAATTCGGTTTTGTCTCCAACAGAGACTTGATTTTGATGTATTTTAAAATGATTGATGATAACTTGGAACTTCTTTGTTCCCCCGCATTCAACCAGTTATAATGTATTCACATTTCCCATTTCCTCTAAAGCTTTTACTCTAGTCTACTTCTTCCATGAACTCTGAGCTTTTTAGCATAAGCTTCCATCCTTGCCTCCCAATTTTTCCCTCAATACAAATATCATTATAGTAATATTATATATATATATAGATTCCGTTGCTACGAACATGTCCATCCAACAAGTTTCCCTTTTATAGGTGACTTTCCCATTCTCTATCTTCTTATATATCTTGATGACTTCCGTCCTTCATTCCCAGGTAAGTTTTCCGTGCTTCCATTTTTCCTCTACGTTTTTGTAACGACTTCCAGCATCCCTTTAACGTTAGTGGAATTTACAGGGGCCCCAATGCCAGGACCATACTAAGATGATGGGTGTTTTCAGGTCGGTCTCAGAAAATGCCATGGGAAAATCCTTCCCAGGTGATTTCCTATGGGTTTTTCCTATGGGTTTTCACCCACATCCATTGATTTCCTATGGGTTTTTCCCCACATTTGACATCCCAGGTGAGTCCATCCATCAGCAGCTCCAGAAAGACCTGGAGCATTGGAACTCGCTGGCCCGGCAGCGCCTGGCAGCCTCCAAGGCCGCGCGGCAACGCGCCGAGGCGGACGTGCAGCTGCTGGCGAATCGCCTGCGGCTGCTGCGGCAGGAGGAAGCCAAGTCGCGGAAGATCATTGAGGAAGTCACCTGGTGATTGGATGGGAAATGATTTGTAATGATATTGTAATGATTTGATGTAGAGTCAGCGATTGGCTTCTTTAAACGTGATTTATGGATATTTATGGTGAATAGATGTTGATATCCCAACAATATCCCAACCATTAATATATCCCATTTCTGGTTGGAAAGTCAGTTTTTCGCAACTCCAAGGTCAGGAAACGCACACAGGAGGCGTCCGGGATGACGACGGTTCCGATTTTGTGGATTCCGATGGACTGTGACCATGATCATCCATGATCCATAGCCGCATCATTGCCTGCTTAAATGGACTCTAAATGACTTTAATATGTTTGGGGGAGCTTGGAACCAGCTTGGAACCAGTCACCAGAGCCAGGTGTTGGAGACACGGATGAACCAGCAACAGATGTTGCAAGATCAAAGCAGCTTCAAGCAGAGCAACCAGCAGGCGCAAATCGGATGTAGAACTTCTGGGTTGATTTCAACTTTGGCAAATTGAGGAAATTCTTCAAGAAGTTGAGGCTACCTCAGTGAATCCAACATCCTGCAGTGGTATCACATGGTATCACGGCACTTTCTGGCTTTCTGGTCATCCTCGCAGGCCATTGAACAGAAGAGGCAGCAGAACAACTGGCGCAGGGTTCAAGCTCGCTTTGCCCGTCAGCAAGCCAAAGAGGAACGAGTTTGTGCCAACCGTCGTGCCCTGGAGAACGAATATTTTTCCATTTCAGGCATTCAATATACTACTTAGTAGATCTTAATAGTCACAATGATATTTTAATATCATGGAATATCCCCAGAAAAGTTTAGAAATTGGGATATTAGAATTGGATCTATTAGGATATTAGATTATATTCCAAAACTAAATTGGGATATTGAACTATATTCCAAGTCTAGAAACCATTATATATTAATCATTATTATTAATGGTTAAGAATGATCACCAATGAATATAATGGAAATTATGGTTTAGTACTGGATCTAGACGTTGGGATCATTTTGCTGCACCTCGCTGAGGATGCGTCTCTGAGCAGCGCGCTGAGCAGCAGCAAAGGGCGGCCCTGGCCGAGCGCAATGATAGGCTCGTGAAATGATGTGCATCCCACTTACTAAGTGGCTGATAACACTAGAATATGCCGGCTATATATATATATATATGTGCATACAGACACACACACACACACATACACACACACATATATATATATATACATATGGAAAATTTATGGAAATATCACCTATATATGGCTTCTAGACCATGAACCATTGGAACGGTGAATTGGGGCTCCAGGAGTCCCACGTGGGGTATTCAGTATGATTGGGGAATAGGATCCTAATGTTTGACTGGAAATATCAAACCTTGGCAGGGTGTTGATGCATGGAGCAAGAGATAGTGTAGTGTCAACCCAGAACCAGGAAAATAGCTCCATGTAAGGTCATATCAGTGGTTTTGAACCCTCCTAAGAGTGATGCACCCGTTTTTTTTTGCTCCAGAATTTGAAAAGGAATCCCTTTCAGGTGTTCGCAGGGAAGAAGATTTTGACATCTTTTTTGAAGTTCATCAACCCTCACCCTGGCGCTCCCAAACTACTGGACCAACAGATTCAACAGATATTAGCAAATATCAACAGCTATCAACGGATATCAACAGCTATCAACAGATATCAACAGATTCAACAGATATCAACAGCTATCAACAGATAATTGAGACTATGGATGTACTAGTGGATAAGCCACCAATTGTTCAAGGGTTGTCACATCCTTCGCCATCCTCGGCGCTCCAGGCCCCCAAGTGTGGCGTGTTCCACTGCCGCCTCGGACGAAACCGTTGTTTCAACTTCTGCTCCGAAGGCGACGGATGGTGCTGGAGCTCCAGGAAAGCCACAAAGATCTAACAAGGGCAACGGGACAACCTCTATTTTTTTGCTGGAATATCTATAAGTAATATATAATTATATATCTATCTATCTATCTATCTAATCTAATCTATCTAATCTAATCTAATCTAATCTTATCTCATCTTATCTTATCTTATCTTTCTATCTATCTATCTATCTCTCTCTCTCTATGTATATATATATCATGTAAATAAGGGGAATTAATAGGAAATATATGGAAGCATCACGGAAGCTACTGGTAGAATTCAGAGGGCTGTTGTAGTTTGTTAGCGGTGTCAAGTGGCAATACCGCGGCTCTCTGTTTGCGAATCGGATACTCAATGACATGGGACGTGCCACCTTACCTGGAGATGGAAAATGAAGCCCATCAAAAGCATGCACAATGGCAATAAACAGACTACCATGTACCACATAGTACCAGCAAAAAAAGGTGGATGCTTCATGATGCTTCAATCATCAGTTCATCAAAGTCAAATCGGTGTATGATATATTCCCAGACTTCAGCCTGTGGTTGCTCCTTCAGGCTCCTCCCAGACGACCACCAGCACAGCCAACGTCTGCAGAGCTTTTGGCCGAAGAACGTGAACTCTTGGCGCCTGGGTTGAGATGAGGACCATGTAAATTGTAATCCATCAATTTTATTTTTTTGGAACCATTTTTCATTTTCACTCACGCAGATAGTCAGCTAGGAACTGTGCGGACGTGCAGAACAAGACACTCAGTCAATCCTTCAAGCCAAACTCTTGTACACTGTTTCAAAAAATGATGGCTTACTATGAAAGGTTATTGACCCAACTGGCTTAGTGAGGATTGTGAAGTAACCTTTAGATAAAAAGGAATACTTACTCACCAGTGAATATGGGGGATAGGTTGGTAGGTCTATTTTTCATGGCTCTACTAGTGAAGATGTGGTGACTTGTCAGTTTTTCTTTTGGGAATGGCTCGCTAAGGCGCGCCTGCGACGATCGGACGCGTCTGCTAGGCTTGGAGTCAAGGGGAAAATCATCGAACTATAGCTGGTGAATGTTTTTCAGCTGACCAGAGGGTAAGATCAAATGGCGAAAAAACTGGGCACATACCCTCTGGTAATTTAACATAGCTATTGAAAATGGCCATTTATAGTGGATTTTCCCATTAAAAATGGTGATTTTCCATAGTTATGTTAAATTACCAGAGGGTAGCCATCTTTGTTGCAAGTCCTTCCAGCTTGATGTTTGAAGTTATACCGTCACAGCCGCTCCCTGCTGTGCAGGGTACGACGACCGGCTCTGCCACCGGTTGCACTGGAAGATGAAGGCTCAAGCTGCGACTCATGTTTTGTTGATTGCTCCTAGCATTTTTGGATCTCAACAGGAATCCAAGCAACTTGTAACAGCACTTCGTTTTCGCCAAGTACTGCAAATATCAGTTGATGCATTAAATGTCAATGCGGCCTTTCCTTTGATCCGCTCAAAGTGGATGAACTACACTAACTACACCAAACTGGCATGACATCATGGATTTGTGACGTGTTTTCCATGGGATGCCATTGGGTTGCCAATGCCCTAGGTCCCATCAAGGCGGCTCTTCGTGAGGCCAGTTTTAACACGCCTCGGTAGCTGAATCTGAGCGGGTGAACGGCATCCTATGCATCCTATGGCATCGTGGCATTTGAGCCATCCAAAAGAAGAAATCTATGTACATATATAATTCATATATATATACACATATATATACATATAATTATGTGTATATATATAATTATATATATATGTGTGTGTGTATGTATATGTATATATAATATACTGATATATGCTGCATATGCGTGTAAAACCAACCAGATAGGAGCTAGGGAATCCATGAAGCCCTTCAAATTGATATTTCAATGTTGAGCTGTGAATCAACCCTTGGTGCAAGATTGGAATCACAGCTATTTAGCCAATTCCATCCGTGCAGGGCATTGCAGGGCCCATGGCTTCTTGTGTTACAAGAAGTAGCGCAGAAGTCACGGTCGGGGCACAGGTAAATCGCCTGGCCTCAGTGCATGATCAATGCCAGTTCAGGTGCTGCAACACAGCGGGCCATGGAAATAAGGTCCGCATAAGCTACGCCACGACCGGGTCAGACTCTGAGAAGAGCAAGATATCACGTGGTTTAAACCATGGACAATGCTTGACCAGAAATGTCTTGTCAGAGTGAGGATAGATATATTCCAGATATTTCCCCAATAACATGTTCAACTCTTTTGTTTCTTTTTGGTGGTCCCCGAATGCCTCGGCACGTGCTAGTTTGCACATGTCGCAGGTGAGCTTTCATGACAGCGAGCGGGATCGCAAGTTTGAGGCTTTGGATGAAGAGTGACGAACTGAGATTCGTGCAATGGGACGAATTTCTAGATTATCTATCTGCATTTGTACAGTGCATTTGATGAAAAAATATATATGTATACATATATATATATATGTATATATATATACATATACATATACACACACACATATATACATATATATATATATACATATATATATACATATATGTATATACATACATACATATATATATGTATATACATACATACATATATATGTATATATATATGTATGTATATATGCTCTAGCTCATTAAATGCATATGTACATGTTATATATTATATATATGTGTGTGTGTGCGTTATGCAAAAGCTTGGACTCACCCCTGATGAGATCCATACCATGCTTGCCACTGCACAGCAGGACACCGCCACAGAGGGAATCGCCATGCACCTCCAACATCTCTTGCGTGATATGATGCACAACACATGTTTCACCATTCAAGGTCTGAACCGCCCATGCCAAACAACAGATGATAAAATCATTTACTTCCATGTTTTTTTTCTCGGCCAGATGCGCTGGACAGTGCTTTTTCCCTCCTAAATTTGCCTGAGTGGGTGATTTTGGGGCTAGAATGGAAAGGAAAATATCACCATGACCATGAAGAATTTGCTACTTACAGTGGTGCCCCCAATGATCAACAGCTCGAGGGTCACACGGGTCATTTGACTCAGGCATTGGGTCCTTCGGCGGAGAAAATGCGCAGTGCAGCCCTGCATCACATAGCAGTGACTCGCTGACGTTTTTTCATGTCTTGTAGACGGCTCAGAAGGTGGGACCTCAGGAGGGGCTTGGGTCTGCCCAACCATGGCTGTACACAATGCTGTCCAAGACTGAGAATGTAGATGCGGCATATGTAGAAAAAATTCGAACATCATGGAACATTTTGCCAGAAAAATTGGAATGTCGGAATGACCCCAACCAAAAAAAAAAAAATCGCGAAGATTATTGATCAACTCACAAGGATCGGAGCAAAAAGAGGCTGTGGCTCTTGCAAGACATTTTCCGCTTGGAGCCATGCAGATTCCTGCAGAATTTAAGTGCTGCGTTTCTCGGCAACATCCGGCAAACTATGCTATCATTGTTTTGTTCCATGTCATTTCATGTTGTTCACTTTGATCTCAGGTAGTTTTGCGAACTTGCATTACCTAGAGCTACAAAGACCCACGAAATTGTAGGCCCCGTCAAACAAATAGAGAAACAACTTGTGTTTCATGTTCAGTGATTTTATGTAATGTTTAGAAGGAACAAGTATTTGCGTTTCTTCTTGATCTACTTGCGTTTCAACAAAGTATATAGTTGATCAATACCATGGTGAAAAGTAGAACTGCTCCAATTGCGGGTGCTCCGCAAGTCAGAACTGGATCTGATTTGTTATGCCAGCAAGAGATTTCTGTCTCGGATGTATGATGGCCCAACTTTGTTCAAAAATGTGTTGCGTCCAAAAGTGTCATATTCAATTAGCGACAAGGGCCGCAAATCAAAACAAAATCACAGCATGATGTATCCAAACATGTTTGAATGTGGGGCATGGATCATCTTCGGCACTGGTAATTGGCGCTCATATGTGCTGTCCTTTGCACCGAGTCGAAAAAACTCAGTGTCACAGCCACACATTTCTGGAGGAAAAAAATCCATAATATGTGTACCTGGACATCCAAAAGCTGCATTTTTTTGGTCTGGACTGAAAAGCAGTGAGCGACCAAAAATCGAACAATTGCTGATTTTGCCTTCTGTCAGTCACATTTGGAAGGACCAAAAATATGACGCAAAATGACGCAGAAAAGATGCGAAAGACCAACATTTTGACACCAAAACTGTGTCATTGAATCCATCACTCTTAGCCCAAAAGTGATTTTTAGGCCTGCACCGAAAATCCACAAAGATCGAAAATTATGCGGCTCAAGGACTGTCCAGGTACAGGTTAGTATGGGTTAATTATGGGTCTACGGGTTAATTTTGAGTTCTCAAAAACTTTCTTTTTTCTCCTCTCGATTTCCAAAATATTGGTTTTATGGGAAAAATATGGGTTTAGTACGGCTTTGGTTGACCCGAGAAATGTAAAACCCATCGAAAGTCCGATAAAACCGCGAGATTTGAGGATTCCCCATTGAAAATTCGAAAAAAAAACGTAATCCGGCCGGGAGTTCAAAATTCCAGGCCGAAAATTCCAGAAATAGACAATTCCCGGCCGGAAATTCATGGAAATTCCAGAAATATAAAGTTCGGCCGGAAATTCCAGAAATCTAAAATTCCAGGCCGGGAATTTTGGCATTCCATTTGAAATATATAATTATAGGTAAGAAACATGCTAACAAGACTCAAGACAACATATTCTCCTGTGGTCAGATTTTAGGCACGAATTCTTCCATTCAGGTTTTCAGAGATTTGGGTGATTCGATTACCATACATGTGTTCACTATTTCGAGAAAAGGGTCATCACTCCACAACAAATCCCAAAAGGTTGCCATAAGCAACCTATGAAATCATATATTATATGCCCAACACTCCGAAAAACCGTTGTTTTTTTGAAAAACCGTCTTTTTTGGTAACATGCATGGAAAAATCGGGTTTCTGAAAAACAAATTACAAATTTGTGGGTCCATGTTGCTGATGGTACTCTTATCATCACTGATCTTGTTGTCCAACAACAATCTTGCGCAAGTTCTTGGCGCTTTAAACTCCAACATTTCAGGTTTGCCTCTCAGTGCCAGAAGTTCCGATCAAGTCTGACTGTCGGCAGCTTAGATGTGCGTCAGCTGTGCAGCACGGGTGACTGGTCACGGCTGAGGTACTCATCATCTATGCAAGCCTTGCGCACTCCGAGGGTCGCTCGAAAATTGCCTGCCGCTGAGACTGGTGCTGATTGTTGCTGTGTGGCGGAAAAGATGCAGACTTCAGCACCTGGCAGTTGAAACCGCTTTCCCATTTGCTGGTCATTTTTAATCCCAATGTCAGCTGAAGTGGGTGGTATAAACATGTATAAACCTCCAAAATTGGAGGTTTTCCATTGTAATTTACACAAATTTACCACACCACATCAGCGTTTTCGGATGTTTTCGCCCAAGGCCCTGTTTGCAGCCAGAAGCTGGGGCAGGAAACCGATGAAGCCTTTGCCGCAGAACTGGCGAAGAAGACCTTGCGATGCACGGCATGTGGCCAGCTCAAGAGGGGATGTCACCTCAAAGTGGGCATGGTCCAATGGTGAAGGTGAAAAAATGCCAGAAATGCGTCACGGAAATGTCATGAAATACGATCGTCCAAACCAAACTGAATTTATGGATTCAGTTTGGGCTGGGAAATCCTGGAAAAAAGCCGAGGAATGGGTAGAGTTCTTGCTGGGAAACCTCCCGAGTGTACGGTTCAGGTGAGCAAGACATACCGCTGTTGGACGCAGAGAGCACCTGCCTCAAAGCAGAGTTCCAGATCTGTATTGCCAAGGTCGTGGTATACATTTGTGTCTTGAGTATTCTTGAGTAAAAAATCAAAATCATCCATGTCAAGATCAATTGCATTTGGAGCCCACTAAATTGTACTGATTGATAAATTTTCTCTACAGTTCTACAGATTCATAGGCAGATTTAGATGGACTTGGATTGAAAGGCAGATTAGACGGACAGAAAGACATTACAGATCATATAGATAAAGGATACATAGATAATACATGTTCGCATCTCTCCATGTCACCTCTATCCCCCTCTCAACATTGCTCTCATACAGGCCATGGCTGTGGACGGCTCAAGAAATGCCCCAGGGTCGTGGAAGCTTTTGCTGAAGGCTCAACCGCAGTTCAAGACGGATGGTTCAGCCAGTATTTCTTCATTTTGAAACCAGCAATTTGGATGAAACGCTCTTCCCTCATCTTCATTTATTTTCATGTATATGTGATTGATTAATTTATCTTGATCTATCTGAAACTGATCTTTATGCTGGGCTTAGCCAGAAATCTTCAAAACCTGTGCTGACCCTCGCTGTTGGACATGTTGGACCGTCAGGGCCAAAGGGCCCCCAGGGGCCTCCTGTGACCAACAGATCCACCTTCAAGTGCCCGTGGTGTCAGGGCCTAAGCTGCAGATCCTGAAATCCATGGGGTTAATTCCCCCCAAAAAGGGGCAAGTTCGCCCCAAATTATGGCCAGTTTAGATTAGTTTAGTGGGAACTGATTGTCTATTCAGATCTATTCAGACTTGGCAAAATCCTGTAAAATTAATCCGGGTAAATTCCATGAAAGTGGATTGTCAATCAGTTTAATGGGATTTACCACACTGATCATCCAGGTCCAGAAGCGAATCTCAGTGCCCAATCCTTGTGCAAGTCTCAGTGGGGGAGCTTTGATAGTGGTTGATGCAGTCAAGCTCAAAATGACTCGCGCAGCGTTGATAGTGGAAATCAAGGCATGATGCGTGGCATGCAAATGTATATCTATTATTATCTATTCATGTACATTATAAATTATACATCCCATGTAATTAATCCATATAATCCATTATAATTTATAATGTATAATCCATATATATAATCCATATAATCCATGTAATCCCACATTTTGTTAGTACATCCTGGCATCCTCAAGGCTGGAGCACTGCAAGACCCACAAGGGCCCCGGCTGTCCTGTCTCTGCGGTGTGTCCCATTTGTGCGTCGATGCCGTGGGGAGATCCAAACTATGCATGGAGCTCAGGTGCTGATGGCTGGAGGTTATGAATGATGCCATGAATTACACGCGGTTATAACTACATCATTTTGATAATTATATGTATTATGTATTTTCATATAATATAACACCATCATATGATATCATATCATATCATACCATATCATATCGTATTAGATTAATCGATCTATCTATCTATCTAACTATCTATCTATCTATCAATCTATCAATCAATCTATCAATCTATCAATCTATCAATCTATCAATCTATCAATCTATCTATCAATCTATCTATCTATCAATCTATCTATCTATCTATCTATCAATCAATCTATCTATCTATCAATCTATCAATCTATCTATCTATCTATCTATCTCTACCTATTAATCTATCCATCTATCTAGCTGTCTATTTAATCCACATAAATGCAATATATTATGTGTATATATATATATATCTGTGTGTGTGCAATATGTGTGAGAAAACACCTGCCATATTTTTGTCTGAGATGAGCAGCCGGCCCAGTTGATCCCAAGCGGCTTCACCAAGGTCTCCCGTGAATTCTTGTCACACCTGGAATTGAGACATCGCTGTGATTACGCTGCCCGGATCCCAAGCGAAATAGAGGTTTCCAAAAAGAACAGGATCTACAAATGATGGGGTTTTCATGGGTTTTCCACATCTATTGTTAGTTTATGTGAAAAATATATATATATATATATTAGATATGTACACATAGACTTTAGATGGAGCTACCTTCAAGTGAACTAACAGGAGCTAGAACGTTGTGTGCACATGGTAACCCATATAGAAGTGCTTAGTGTTTCAGTCACATGTCTTCGCACCAGAGTGTAAATACAGCAACATACGGGGTCATGTTTCAAGAGCTTGGAAGCATTTGGAAGTTTTTCACGAGATACAGAGATCGTGCTACTCAAGCATGTGGATTTTTGGGGATTGCAATAAACCCACGTTTTTGCAAAACCACCTTGTTGTTGATGATTTGTAGGTTCCAGTTGGCTCCGCCTATGGTAAAGGTGGTTGATCATTGATCTATGTGTCCCAGCTGTTTTGTCCCCTAGACGACAAGGTCTTAACAGACTTCGAAGCAGATGAGGAGGTCCTGACTGTCCTGACTGTCTTTGCTTTCGTTGCGTGTATGCCACATCACGTAGACTTCATGGCTTACACTTCTGTTCCAGTTTCTACCACTGCAGTTGCTGTGGGGATGGGTCAAAGCCTATAGTACCATATTTGAGGATATGAACATCCATAAATCCTAGCTATTTTGGTGTGAAAACCAAAGTGCCAGGGCTATGCCAGCGCTTTGCCCCGTACACATGTTGTTTTCACCGCCAACTTCAACATGGTTCAACGGTGTCTTATGTCGTGTCTCAGGACATGCTGCGAAAGGCTCTTGAGGCCTCTTGTCAAGACGCCGGTGTGGCGGTTGACTATGAGGACACTCCATGCTGCGACAGTTTCGATATAGCGATGGGCCACAGGGATCCACAGCCACAGGGGCCACACGCTTCGCAGGATGAGCTGCAGAGAGCACTGGAGGACGGCTGCTGATGGCTGGCAGATCATTTAGGCTTTTAAACCACATAGACAACTCCTGGGAGCTTCCTGGCCCCAGGCTTTTCTGTCAGCTTGTGACAGGAATCTGCCAGGGAAGCTGGACATTTGCGCATGAGCTTTGCTTAGGCCCCAGCCAGGAAATCCCATGGCCAGCAGCAGAGCCGATACGCTAACAGATCTAACAGCCTTGAAACTGAGGCACCTAATGACCCAGAAAGTGATGAGTCAGCTGAAAGTGATGATGAGTCCTGAGCCCTAAAAACACCTGCCGAAAGTGGAAGAAATTGTACAGAACTACTTCCAGCCGATCAGCGACTGAAAAAAAATCGTGATGCAGTTGGCACAATCCTGTGCACCCTGGACAAGGCTGACAGATTGTGGGACCGTTGGATTTTGCTGCACATTTCTGCTCCATTGGCTCAGCAGTAGTTAGAAACTGCTCTTTTAGAACCGCAGTAGCTAGCGGCGTGCAACTGAACACAGTGGCAGGAGATTTAGCACCACTTCAGTGCAGAAGTTCCACGATTTGAGTCGTTGACCATTTGGATATGAGATCATATGAGTACATGCTAGTGGTCATCTGGATAAATGATGAGGTAAAGCATATAATCTATATCACATCATCTATATATCATCTATATCACATCATCTATATATCATCTATATCACATCATCTATATCACAACCACAGTCTTTTCTCCAACATATCACAGCTTCAAAACGCAGACCTAAACTCAGACCTCCCAGTTTTGCCCAAGCCGCTACGCTCTCGCCATGGAGCGCCCCATCGATCTGCTTTGCGAGGAGGAACGGCTCCGGCGGCTGTCGGAGCGGGTGAGTTTGGACGAAGGTCGGGAAGCCGTGCCTGCAGATACCGTAGATCTATGATGATCTATGTAGATTGGCTAGGCTGGTTTTTGGATGTTTTTGGCCAAGGGTCGAAGATCAACATGGCTCAAAAATGCGAAATATACATGTTATACATGTGGTGTCCCGCTCTCAGATCTCAGATTGCAGCAAAAATATGGAGGATTAATTTTTAAAAACAGGATAAACAAACCACAATCAAAATGGCTTCATGACTGTTATGACTTTATGAATTGGTTGGTGCAGTCCCAGGCGATGCAGCGGAACCGGCACGGCAGAGGCGTGCCAGGATCCTGCTGCAGGAAATGACCAATCTGGGGCCCAGACTTCGGTCAAAGTCCAGTGAGGACGGCCTGGGCTGGGGGCGCCCTACCCAGGAATGGTGACTGGATGGGGGTTCGTATATTGCTTGAAGAATCTTGAAGATGTAAGATATGATAAGATATGCAAGTAGGGTGTTTTGATGATCTGTTGTTGTTGTTGTTGTTGTTGTTTTTCGAGACGGCTGGTTTGATGGTCTTTGTTCAATTACTATAATTCAATTTCGGAGTTGATTGTTAGCTGATGCTGATTTCAGTAACAAACCATACCGACTGCAAAGCCACCAGGATTGGATTCCCTGGACCCCAAATGACGAGATCCAAGAAGATCCAATAGGAATTTGACTGATGGGGTACCCTACTCACATTGCTTTAAGCATCTTAAAACATCCAATTCTCAAATTGTATGTGAAAGAAATTGTGTCCCAGATGTTTAACATTCAAAAAGGAAACTTCGTGCGATAGTGCCAGGATCGTCGATCCAAAGCCATTAGAGCTTTGGAAGCGGGCCTCCAAGCACGATGGAAAGCCGTGGTCCACGAGATGTCGGAAGCTGGTGGTGGCCACTCAGGTCCCGTAGGTCGTCAGTCGGCTGAAACCAAGCTGCTGGATGCCCTGGAGACTGTGACGGTGCGCTCTGTGGTGGGGCTGCGAGGACTCACCGAAGTGCCCAAGGAGGTGGAAAGCGTAGCGCTGGCAGTGTTGACCCTGGTGAGTTCCTAGCTTGCGTTTCAGACATGTGGAAATGGCTTCGATTTTTTTGGGGGTCAGTGTAGCAGTACAGAAGAACGCCGACAGTAGCAGGTAGACTAGGATTGGAACTGCACGAGCCTGGAAAATGTGCTGGTCAAACCGGTCTAACCCACCTATTGTGAGAGGGTTGGTGAACTTTTTGGAGGATTGTTTTGGTAGTTCATGGTAGTTCTCAAGGGTCACCTGCCACCATCGTGGAAGATGATCGCTTGCAGTCACAGTGAGGTTCGGAGTACCTGGGCCTTGGTCCAGACTCAGAAACTCCTAGGACCTGGGAGGAAGCCAGAAGGGTGTTGTTGAAACCCGGGCATTTCGTGAGTTCCCTTCGCAAGTTTCCCTTTGCCGTGGAGCAGGGGCAAGTGTCCACCAGCAACATCAGCGTGGCGCATGAGCTGATGAGGGAAGTTGGGCCACAGAAATCCAGTGAGCTGGCAAAAGTTCATGACGGTGCCGGTCAGTTGTACAGTGGCTGGGCAGGGTTGATGGTTTTTTTCTTTTATGTATAATATTTTATGCTTGCACCTTCCCAACCAGTTTGATGACCTACCATAGGCTTTGGGTTACCTTTCACCCCTGTGGACAATCATTCCAACAACAGGATACAGACGTGGACACAGATATATATACATATATATATGTGTGTGTGTGCGTGTGTTATATATACAATATATAATATATAATAGATATTATTATTAATAGATGTTGATAGATATTAGAATGGATATAATACATATGATAATTATAAATTATAATATATATATGCATACACCACATGTTTCCCATTTTTCCCATGTTTTTTCTATGGACCCCAGTAATCAGCTCATTTCAGGTTGGTTGGTGGCTGCTTTGGACCTCACCTCCGCCTTGGGCTTCCGGTCCATCGCAGCCGCGGCCAGCCCGGCACGCGCCGCCGCGCCTTGCCCAACGCCCGAGGCGTACCCGCGGTCGGAACCCGGCTCCCCGGTGCACGAGTTGCACGAGGAAAAGGCGAAGAAAACGATCCCCGCACCCAAAGAGCCCAAGGCAGTTAGGCTGGATCTGGTTGGAGAATGGCAGCTTTGGATATCCCACATGATCATCATGATATTATCATGATCCCACTAAGGGTCAAATCTCTTGTCTTGGATGGTTTTCTAAAATTTGACAAAATGTGTGGCATGTCTTAAACTGGATTCCAGACCGATGTATTGCCATCTTGGGGCCAGGTTCCTATTTATTATCCTCTGGAATTTGGCCAGAGGATGTTTTGCAATGGTTGATGTTTTACGTTTCCACATGGGTTTTACGGGGGCCCACACGCCTTAAACGCTATTAGCACTGGCTTTCATGTACTGGATATGTAAGATGTATGTATATAAGCTGGTTTAGAACTCGTACGAGTGCTTGCCTGAAAGATGTTCAGTCATAAGTGCAAGAAATCATTCACTCTTGCACGAAGTCATATTTATTTTAATAAACATTAAATCATTAACTAATGAACATTCATTCACATATGTACAATATATATATATATATCAAGGAAGCATCTAGTGCTAGCTTTGTCAGGTCGACCTCCCCAAGAGTGGCAGATCGAGAAAAAACAGCAACTGCAAGTGGTCCAAGTGGACATTTGAAGGCTACAACTGGTGCCTTGGATTCCAGGAGAATTTTTCCGCATCTGGGCAGGTGATGTCCCAGCTGGTAGCAAATTGTTGTGTCCTGCACGTGATTGGGGTAAAACCGTAAGACAATTGGTTGATAGATGCTGAATAGAAATTCGTAGATTCCAGGTGGATTCCAGGTGGATGTGGCACCGCATCCTACCTTTGAGGTGTCTCCAATGGGTACACGAAGCCAACCACGACAGCCCCCACAACGACACCAGCTGCGCTGACGTCGTCAAGAAACGCTGGTTTCAACCTGCTGGATCCTAAGATAACACAGATTTCCCCATTGGGACTGGGATGATGGTTCTTTGCCAGTAGACCTCAGTAGACCTGGGCACACCAGGTTTGTTTTGATCATGGATATTCATGGATGACCCCCCAAGGTCCTGGTCCAATTTGAGTGGTGCTCCAAAGCCAGTGTTGCTTCAACGTTCCGGCCGTATTTCAGCAGCAGGCAGGGTGCTTGAAGCCTGTGTTCTCAATGGCAATTCTTAGGAAATGATGAGAAACTATGGGAGTTGGGGCCAAAAAATGTGAACCCCCAGCGGAATTTCCAAGTCATCAAGAATTAAAAAGAAAGCCATGTTCCAATGATTTCCAATGGGTGTGTGATTACTTGGTGTGCGTTTTACTTCTTATTCAGCGGGGTTTCTTGTTATTTACTATGATTTTAATAGATTTTACATGATTTTACCACATTGACCCCTGATCTTTCTGTACATTTAACCGATCATTTCCGGGCATCGGAGGTGTCAGTCCAAAGAGACGTTCCAGTCCTTCCCCAACTCCAAAGCCAGTGGCGCCCAAGGCCGGAAGCTCATGAGACCACTTGTTTCACTATCTTTGGGTTTCAAAATTTGGAAACCAAAACAACGTTAGAATCCATGGTTCATCATCACTTACCATCACTTACCTGTATGACTTATAGTTCTAAAAATTTGAGACAAGCCTGCCTATTTCTCATCTATGTGCCTGAATTTGTCCTGCGCTGACATGTGTGGGATTTTGCGTCCAAAAATTGAAACATAATCTCCGCCAATCTAGCCATGGGAAATCCTCCATTTGTGTCATTTTTACCCAGTTCCAGATTTAGATGTAAAGATATGTAAAGATATGTAAAGGCATAGGGGCCTCCCATTCCCATATGGCTCATATGCTCCCCACATATGGCATACTTTCCCACATTCACGCCAAGTTTGGCAGTCAACATTGGTACTAAATATAGTACGCCCTACATCTCTGCAAGTTATACTTGGGATAGCTTGGGATATAAGTCAGACCCCAATACCCAACCATATTATGGCTACGGCTACCTGGGACTATCTTGTGACTATCCCAACTCTCGGCTCAGGTCACACAGGTTAGCGCCAAATCGCCTTTGGCCCGTCCCAGGCCACATGGAAACTGGATCTGACTGTTTTTTTTTTTTTGGAGTTGGATGCAGTGGAACAGGCCCTAAAGGATCAAGCCATTTTTTTGATATGATCCCAGATGAAATTGAGTGATTTGATGATCAAATAATGACTTCCTATGGGTGGAAAATGCTGGAAACCGGCAATCATGACACAGATGTCATGCAGATCGCCAGGAACTCCCTCAATGGAACCAGCTCGCCGCAACCCACACGACCTGCGGCGAAATCGCCGGGTCCCTTCACACGCTCGCGGAGCGCGGGACGAGATGCTAAGAACCAAGAGGTTATGGCAACAGGTGCCATGGTGGGAATGGTTGGGCCATTCCCAAGCAGATGTGTTATTAAAACATATTAAAACGGGGATTAAATGGAATTAAAATATAATTCTTAGTATAAACAGATGGGTGTTCGGTGTTCTCTGTTCACCTTAATTTGGCGGATTCCTTTCCATAGATTGCCAATAATCCTTGAGGTTTGAGACTGTTTTTCATGATGCTTGCATCAGCTGTTCATTTTGAAGCTCCAGATCCTCGTGGTAACCAAGGCAAAAACAACCCTTTGTCCTTTGCGTCGATTTCAAGTGCTGCCATGCCGCTCTCCAAAGACTTTGCTGGGATTCGAATTGGCCTTGACAAAGAGAAGAAAGAGGCATTTGGGTTCCGACCCTTTCTATTTGCTTGTGACTCATGTCGGTTGCCACATGTTATCACCCACCATGCAATGAGTGAAAAGGTGCAGTTAGTTTTTACATGTTTTTACGCATTTCTGGGCTATAGAGCTTAGGCCCGTACTATCCTCAAGCATCTTAATTATAACTTATAACTATCATAACATCCCCCGGATCCCTTGGGGATCGCCATGTCAGGTACGGCAGATGAAGGGCATAGAGTCGCAGCTGAAATGGGACATGTACCGCGAAGAGCGCAGCCAAACCGAGGAGGAGCGGCGTGAAGAGGCGGAGTTGGGAGGGTTTGGCTGCGATTTTTTCTTGGATGATTTGTATGGTTGATCCTAGACCTATTCGATTTTGCTATGTTTGAATCTATATTTTATGCGTTTTGTTTTCAGATATTCTTTCGTTGGGTCCAACCAGCACAAGTGCTTCTAACATGCGGTGGGGATCTGAATATGTTCAACCCATGGATTTTGGAGGCCCGGCAGATCATGGCATGGCGAGACCGAGAAGCCAAAGAAATGCCTGCAACTCAGTGCCAAACACAAAAGAAACATGGGCAGTGCAGCAATGATGAGAGGATTACCAAATTTTGGCAGTTTGCGACGTTTTTCCACGGGTTCACTCATGTGTATTCCCATGCTGCATGGGTGGAATGTTCACATAGATTTTGTATGATCATATGGCTATTCTTTCAGATTCATTTGGCAACTTAAGGCAAATACAGCATTGATGGACCATCTATGATTGTGCTTGGCGTGGGTTAGTTGTCGGCCACCCTTTGGTAAACCATCCGGCAACCGAAAATAAGAGTAAATATACAGGTACCCTCATGTTTAAACAAATTACTTACTGAAAACTGGAATTTTGCTTTGCCATGTTATTTTCAGGTATATACAATAGATCACAAAAGATCTAATTACTAAGTGAAGGGCCATCTTCCATTTGGGTTGAGACATGTTTATGGGATGTTTTATGTCACCCTCTAGCGTACTTGTATTTTCGGCCGGAGCAGGAGGGAATACGTGGAGGGAAAGTCGCGAGACCAGCGTGCAATTGAGCTGATGGAGTCCAAGGTCAGCCGGATTCAGCCGGTGCAGGGAAGTTGAGGATGCCAGTGGTCACCCATTTCATCCGGCGCGCCAGGAGTACCAGGAGTTCAAGCGTGCTTGGAAACAAGCTATGCGAAAGGAGGAGATCGAGAGGATAAAGGCCTCAGGGATGTTGACAAAAGATCCCCAACTGTAGAAGAACAGGTATTTTAAAATGACCTTATATAGATTGTACTCCAGTAAATTAACATAGACCCTGCCAGATAGGGGTTGAAAGACTAGTTTCCACTATAAATTGGTCATTTTCAGGGTCTGTGTTAATTTACAAGGGGGTAGTTTGATAATAATGACAAACGGTTACCAAGATTCTGGAAGAATATATAATATATATATATCATCCAATGATCCAAACAATGGTTATGATAGTTAATTATCTGATTAAACCAAAAGTTATGATAATCCATTTATAGTTGATTTAATTACCTATTGAAAATGTTGATTTTCCCATGGCAAACGGGTTTTCTGTTTTCCATCAAGACACGGCGCTGTTCACACCTTGGCAGGTCCAGCTGGCCGAGAACATGGACAATGCTCAGTGGCGAGTGGACTTGCAGCGCCTTGGCGTGATGGACATCCGAAGGATTACGCGCCAACAAATCAGAAGGTAAGAATAAACAAGATGGATATTATTGTACATTCTTGGCATAATCATTACTGGTAGATTGGTAATTAACTGTATATTATTGGCAGTACTAGTCATAATCATTACTATTACTATCATTACTAGCATCCACTACATGCGATTACTATTTCTCGCTATATAGTCATAACTGATTAAATCATAATTATGCTGAGAATGCTGTTTATGATCTCGTAGGATTTCGTAAACAAATTGAAAGGATGTTGATGTCAATTTCCATCGGCTCAGAGGGTCCCAAGGTGCTGCTCCGCAAATTTGGTCGTTATGTCCGCGGTTGTTGCCTGTTGCTGAAGCCGAACACTAGCACCAGAACCATGCTTTTGAATCAATTCTCACCATGAATCATGGGTTCCAGCTGTTTCTGATAGAACTTTAAATTCAAACCAGTTGGTCCTACCAGTCTCAGGAAAGCTGTGGAAATTGATCGACAGCTTGCCCTGCAAGAGAATATGGAGGCTCAACAAGAGCTACGAGAGCCTCTCAGCCCCATCTTTGGTACAGTATTAGTTGGGTGTGTGGTTGTGATTTATTGATGATATTGGATTCAGAGATTTCAACGTCCTTTCCCCCTGTGTTTTGTTTCACTGATCAATTAGAAAATGACACTCTTGGCATCATTTCTTGGATAGCTACAACTTTTTGGGATTTGTGATCTGGATTTCTGATCTGAGGGGCTTTGCCCTGGGGGTTGGGGTTGTCATTCCCCCCCGGTTCGCTTACCTGCCACGGCTGCATACGAAAGGGGTTCCACATCTGAGGCTGAAAGAGAAGGATCGACAGCGGGAGAAGGTGATGCAAGACGAGGTGCGCCATCGAAAATGCGTGCTGGGTTTCAGTCTCCAGAATTGGGGTAGTTTTTATGGTAGTTTTTTTCTTTTTATTGACTCACTCATCACATTATATTACATATATATATATATATTATACTGCTATATATGTTATAATCCCGATGATATCCCATTAATCTCCATTAATCCCCATAAAACCTCCATTACGATATATTATCTATGACATAACTCGGAGCCTTTGTCAGTCCCAGGGCACAGACGCGCAGTGCCGCTGGTCCAAGATATGATCTGATATCTGTTGTCCATATCATCGTCCCATTGATATCCCCATTATATATATATATATATGTATATCAGATCATAATATATGGGACGATATATCCATTTAAAGGGATATCAATGGGATATATCATATTGATTATATCATATATGAATCCCATTATATCCCTTTAAATCCCCATTAATCGCTATGTTATCTAATACTTATTGTCCCACTCATATCTATCTAAATGATCTAATTTCATCTAGTCTAACCTAATCTTATCTTATCTTAATCTAACCTAACCTTATCTTAATCTAATCTAACCTAATCTTATCTTATTTCAATCTAATCTGATCTGATCTAATCTAATCTAATACATATAGCATATCTAATCCGTACTTATTATACCATTAACAATTTGCCCTCAACACATGACGCAGGAACGGGCGCGCGACCTGGCTCTCGAATATGCGCACCAGGCCTGGGGCGCCAGCGCCATAGGTTTTCAACCGTGGTAAAACCCTGGTAAACCATGCTATAACTGAGGATTATCAATGTTTTCAGGGGTAGAACCATGGATTCTGTAAAACCATAGATTCTCATTTTCTTTCAGAGCATGGATTACCGATGTTTTCAGAGGTAAAACAATGGATTATCCATGTTTTCAAAGGTAAAACCATGGATTATCATTTTTTTAAGAGGTAAAACTATGGATTATCCATGTTTTCAGAGGTAAAACCCGGAGTTATCCATGTTTTCAGAGGCAAAACCATGGATTATCCATGTTTTCAGTGGTAAAACCATAGATTATCATTTTTTTCAGAGGTCAAACCATGGATTGTCCGTGTTTTCAAAGGTAAAACCATGGATTATCATTTTTTTAGAGGTAAAACTATGGATTATACACGTTTTCAGAGGTAAAACCAGGAATTATCCATGTTTTCAGAGGTAAAACCATGGATTATCCATGTTTTCAGTGGTAAAACCATAATAGATTATCATTTTTTTCAGAGGTAAAACCATGGATTATCCGTGTTTTCAGAGGTAAAACCATGGATTATTTATTTGTTCAGAGGTAAAACCATGGATTATTTTGTTCAGAGGTCAAACAATGGATTATTTTTTTCCAGAGGTAAAACCATGCTATAAGTGAGGATTATCATTTTTTTCAGAGGTAAAACCGTGGTATAGCGTAGGATATATAATCGATTTTTTCAGAGGTAAAACCATGCTATAACTGAGGATTATCAATGTTTTCAGAGGTAGAACCATGGATTATCCATTTTTTCAGAGGTAAAACCATGCTATGACTTATGATTATCGTTTTTTTCAGATGTAAAACCGTGGTATAACGTTGGATAATCATTGTATTTTTTAGAGGTAAGACCATGCTATAACTGAAGATTATCTATGTGTTCAGAGGTAAACCATGAATTATCAATTTTTTTCAGAGGTAAAACCATGCTATAACTGAGGATTATCCATGTTTTCAGAGGTAAAACCATGCTATAACTTGGAATTATCAATGTTTTCAGAGGTAAAACCATGGTATAACTGAGGACTATCAATTTTTTCAGCGGTAAAACCGTGGTATAACTTACATAGGATAATGCATTTTTTCAGAGGTAAAACCATGGTATCACTTAAGACTTTGGATTATCCATTTTTTCAATGGCTATCGACTTCAGCTAATCCCATTTTCTCCTACAATATTACCATGATGATCCTATAATGACTGGGGTTTGCTCATACTTTCCCATTCTTCTTGGTTAACTCATATACTCGGGGGTGCATCCCAGTATCATTCCAGTTAGTAAGTGCTTAATAACCCATACAAAGAATATTGCAGAATCATATAACCCATATATGATCAGTTTGCAGTATATTTTATATATACTATATACAATTATGTTTATTTATTTGTTGATTGATTTATTTATTTATTTATTTATTGATTTATTGCATTATATATTATATGTACTATATACAATTATATTTATTTATTTATTTATTATTTATTTATATATTTATATATTTATATTTTGGTTTCGGGGTGTAATATATATATATATTTGTGTATTTATGGCTACCAGCCATGGCTCCAAACCTCGGCAGGCGCAGCAGATCTCCACGGAGAAAGAGGCGCTGCTGCGTTCCCTGGCGCTGCTACGGGAGCGGCAGAAGGCGCCTGTAGCGGGCACCCCCACGCGCGTGGGCACTGACTCCTGGCCGATCTAGGGAAGGTGATGAGCCAAGGAGGCTTGTATGGGTTTGCCATGGTTTGCCCACGTTTCCATGGGTTAAAAAAGAGTAAAGCCAAGCAATCTGATGAGAGAGAGGAGACGATAGAGTCAAAACGAGCAAGCAATTGCAGTGAGATGCAGTGAGTGTTGTCGACAGATGGGCATGGTTCCAAAAGATTGGAATCGGTCAGTTCTATCCCCATTATGGTTGGTTGAATTCCGCATAGACCTTGGTTAAAAATTGTCAAACTGTAAAACTATTGGATAAATTGGCGCCCACACGGCTGCATGGCCACTGAGACCTTTTGGCCGATCGCCCGGTGACTTCAGCTGCAGCTGAGCATTGCTGAGCCCATTGGTTTAATGGTTGGGACTGGGTCAAGGTCAACATATGTTTGGACCCACGGTTGGCTTATTTTTGTGGGACTTTGCATTGTTGCAACTCAAGTCATGATTTCATCCAAGTTTGAAAACTACCCAACTTTTAAATAGGTTTTAGGGATTTTTAGGGTAAATCATATTGACCCAGGTTCCATCCATGTGCTCCAATTCTGTGTTCCACGGCGGGATGCTGAGGGCTCCCGGCCCGTGGATTTTCCAACAGGCCAATGCCTGTGCAAAACAATTCGCGGATGGGAGATTTGGGAGTCCACCAGAAATGGTGCCAGAAATGGTGGCAGGTCAGATGTCATCAAGCAGTCCAGTTTATCCAAAAAATAATCCTGTCCATATTTATCTAATCCGCCCTGTGACCTCATTTTTCAACAGTTTCCGGTGTCCAGTTCTTCCATGTACTTCCGGTCAACCGTTTCACCTGCAGGGTCGCAGTTAGTCGACCCAGTGGGCCATCCAGTGGAGCCAGTCTTCACTGGCAGCGAAATGCTTCAGAAAATGTGTGCAAAAAAATACGGGTCTGAGAGTTGGAAGGCGTAAAGATTAGGGATCACCCAAAGTTAGGTCATGTACAATGGTCAAAATGTTCAAAAGTGACAGATAAGACTCCAAGCCAACAACCAGCAACTGTGCCCGGGATTCTTGCGTTGAGTTTCTGGGACCTTGTGCTAAGCTACTCTTTTCTGGGCAGGTCCAGATCATTTCAGATCTCACACAGAACATTCGAAGATCCATCCTGATTGGCATCCAGTGGAACCACTTTGCTTGCTCCAAAAAATGAAAACTTGTAGGAGGGTAGCCGATGTGATAGCAACAATATAACAATCGATTGTTGACGTTACTTCACCATGTCTGTCCTGGCAAGGTCAGCGAACTGCGATTATTTGATCCCACCATGGCACGTAGGAGACATCTATTTGGGTCGCTTTTGGTACAGCCAGTTTTCAATAATTCCACACATTTGGATACAAACTTGGCACAGCTATTCAAAAACTGGATGCAGATGCAGCACTTGGAGTTCTTGTTGGATCTTGTTGGCTTCGACACTCCCGGCTTTCAGCGTTGAATGACCCCCACCGCGGCGGTGCCACGGTGCCACGGTGCCACGCATGGCTACGCTACGCGATGTCGGAGGCTCCGTTTTGGTCATCCCGGTGGATCCCAGTGATCCATTCGTGACCGTCGTTTTCAAATGGGGATGGCATGGAGTGCTCCTTGGTAAAATACCTTGGTATGTAAAAGTGGGACTTGGATCTCAAGTTTGTGAAGATTTCAGCAGATGTCAAGGATCTTGAAAATCTGGCGAAAGCGGAAAGGGAGGATTGGACTCAAACAAAAAGATTGGTGTCTCAGAATAGCACCAGAGGCTTTGGTTTCAGTGAATGCCGGAGGACCGCAACGCTGATGCGGATGTAAGACCACAGGCTTTTGCAGAACCCGGACAGACAGAAGCCTGTGACGAGGTGGGCTTCATAGAGGCCTGCTCCGATGGGGTTTGTGCTGATGTGTGCTGATCGGAGGTCGATGACACAGCGTTGCCCCGGCCGCAGCAGCCTGAGAGAATTTCTTTGGCACTTGTTGACAAATCATGACAAATCTCCGGCAAAATCTGCAAGAACATCTGAAAGGTGGCACTGTTTCGGGTCTGCACCTCAGTCATGCACGCAAATTTGCAACACATGTTTTTACTGTAGCGCGTATTGCCTTAGTGCCACTACTAATGCCATGGTCATGCCAGTTGATGAATCCAAGAAAGCAAAGGGCGGAGGCGAGCATGTACCGCGCATACACAAGGCACCCACGGCCCTATGCTATAACAAGCAAAAAACAACAGCAACAACAATAACCATCACCTGTGAGCGTCCAAGTATTAGCTCCAAGCAGAGTGGGTATAGAAGTAGTTGGTAGTTGGATGTAGTTGGTAGTAATATGATATAATATGTTCATGATATATGTTCCCCCCTTTTTTATTTTTTTCCCCCAGGTTAGCCACACTTTTTCAGCAACCCCTCCACTTGGCCCAGGCCATTGCTGCAGCTTCGCTCAGAAGGTAACCACCAACGTCGTGGACTAGGTTGGCCTCAGTGCTCCTCAGGAAGAAGTTTTGGTGTCGGAGCCCCAGCCCAAAAGTCTGACGAAAAGGGGTACCCTCTTGGTAAACGTTTACATAACTATGGAAAATCACCATTTTTAATGGGTATAATGGGTAAATCAACTATAAAATCTATAAATGGCCCATTTTCAATTGCTATGTTAAATTACCAGAGGGTATCATGAGAAGCCTGGCTGCTCAGGTTTGTTTCTGTGGTGCTGGCAATGCTGGCAATGCTCCAAGACTGACTCACGAAGCCCGCTGCACAGATGTTGACTTTCACCTTCGTTATAGCTGTTGTATGAGTATATGGAGGTTTCATGAGGTTTCCTAAAAATGGGTGGTACCCCTCAATCATTCATTTTAATCAATAGGATTTTCCGTTATAAACTATCCATTTTGGGGATCCCCCATTTATGGAAACCTCCATTTATGAGGCGAGGTCATACAATTTGTGGCAGAAATTCCATCGGTTTCAGGTTGGGTGCAGTTTGTTTCCAGCCCATCGGTTCGCTCCTTAGCCGTGTTGAGGTGAAACCTTGCTCGGTGTCCTATTGTTTCTCTCTATGTAATATATATATAATTATATATATATGTGTGTGTGATAAATATATAATATATATATGTGGTTTGTTATCAGATTATCAGTAGTACAATGTTGTGTAGAATTATGTATGGTATTCTTCTTTTTATCTATGAAATGGTGGGGTATTTGTCCGATGTTATTTTGGAATGACCTAAGTATCTCTAGGCTCTAGGCTGACCAGGTCCCCGTTCCCAGTTACCATCCCAGGAATTCAGGGCCATGGCGGTGTGCCATACTGCCAGCAGATTCTGATGGGGAGGCCCTTCCATGGCTGGAAGTTCCCTAGGAAACCCTGCAGTATTCACTATGGAGGGTAAATATGGAGAGTATTGAAAATTCAGGGGGAAAGATTTTTCCATGTTTCAATTTCCTGATTGCAATGTATGTATGTTAATGTAAGTTCTTCATGATTTGGACCGTATTGGGAGCCACCATAATTTCTTCGCGCAGGCAGAGCCTACACCACCTACACCAACACCGCCATCGGAGCATCTGGGTTACAGCCCTAAGACATCGGATGACCCTCATCCAGAAAATGATCATAGCAGCAAGTATCTATGTTGATTTTTGAACACCATGCAACAAAAAGAGCAACGTGATGTAATATGTTTGCCAGCTTCGGTCGTGTGATAGCCAGGTGAAAATTTGGATGACAACCTCGAGCCAACTACATCAGCTACACGGGGAAGTGAAAGCATCAGCGTTCCGAGCTGAGCCACGAAGGGATCAAACTTGGCCGTGGAAATCCGGTGTTTGGCCAAATCCTGTTGGTAGATGATGAGTTTCCCGTTGGAACAGGAGTTGCATGGATTTGCCGTTACCATAGAACCAGTATGTTTGATGAGTGCAGGCTATACCCAAAGCCCAAAGCAACGGACCAATCATCCAGAATCATAAAAATCTAAGGTCACTAGCACTTGCTCGCCTTCACCGGCGTGGGCCCGGCGGAGTTGTCCATTTGGATACCACTGGAAATACGGTATCCAGACATGAAAATGAACATTCATGGAAACTTGAAAATATAATGTTTGTATTGTTTCGTTTAGTGTTGTGTTTGGCCTGGGGCTTCACAATATATAATATACATCTATACTTCTAGTTGGGCCTATCACAAAGTCAGAATGGTTTCTATGCACGTGTTAGTGCCACAGTTGTCATGATTTTTCAGGGTTGAAAAATGCAATGGGTCTTGAAGGATTGCTTGGTTCCATGTGTGAGAAAGCAATGCGGCTAGAGACAAGCTGAGACACACATTTGGAGTGAAGACAATCTCCGAAGCACATGAGCACATCTAAGATGGCAATAGTAGACAAGATCTGTTGCATCAATAATGTATGTAGATTGCAGATTTGCGACTGCCTTCTTGCTCATTTTAGCAGTGCCCTGAATACACTATACACGTTGATCAATTTGGTAAATTCGACTAGATGTTCATACGACACACACACACATATATATATACACGCTTAATAGACTAGATATAACCAAATAGTGTGATTTGATTATAAATTGTAGGGGTTATGAGGTGCACATGATGTAAACTTTCATAATTGTCAAGGAAATAAGGGAATTACACGGAAATAAGGTTAAGGATATTTGCAAAGCAATTGTTTCGGATTGAAATCCAGTTTGAAAGGGTTTTGAGCAAATTGTATTGAATCAGGTAACTGCAGCCATCCACATGACTCATTTTGTGACAAATTTGGGTGACAAACTAGAAGATGTTCACAGCGTAGGTCAAAATAAAGTATGCGCAGAAAATATCAGGAGCCATAAGGAAACGAATGCAGGCACCTAAAGAAATCATCCAGAACAAATACTTACAACATCTTACAACAGCTAATTGGACTTGCTCCACAGCAGCAGCTGTTGGTGTTGGGCATGAAAATGGAAATAACCGACCTATATACATTCTTTAATTCTTCAAGTCTGTTCGCTTTTGTTTGATTTTTTTGTTTAACCATGTTCATGTTTTTTTTCTTGGTCTTTCGTTTTTACATGTATGGTGTTTAAAATTATTTTGACATTTTTTGCAGACAGAAGCCTTGCCGCCTGCCAACGATTTTTTGTTCTATGAATCTCTAAAAAGTCCCGCCGCAGGCGCCACTCTTGAGGTTTTTGGATTGTCGCTCAAAGAACATTGCTTCCACCAATTTGAAAGCAATCTAAAACCTAGACACTACGAATATGCATTCTCCATTTTTAAGGATATTTCATTTATTCATGTGTTTCAATGTTGTCATTTTTCATTTTTATATCTTACCTTTTTTCCCACAAGACATTATTTTTCATTTTTTGAAAACAATGATTATTTATACAAATTTATATTGTTCCATTTTTACTTCATATTTTCCTTTCTTTTATTTTTTTGTTTTTTTTTCCATCATTTTTTTTAAAATTGTTTTCCTTAATTCCGCGGAAATTCCTTAAATTCAAGGCCAGCCCTTGAATTTAAGGAATTTCGACTTTTTTCCACGGTTATTTTTTAAATTGAAATTCAATGTTGTTTTTCGAAAAATCATCGTGGAAAAAGCAAAACCCATTAGGATTTGCTCAAAAAAACATTGAATTTGAACATTAAAAAAATGATAATCGTGGAAAAAAAATCGAAATTCCTTAAATTCAAGGCCAGCCCTTGTAAGGAATTCCGCGGAAATAAGGAAAAATATATTTAAAAAAATAAACAATAAATAAAATAAATATAAATTATAGAAAAAGATAAAACAAAATAAATTAAAAAAAAAGTTTTGTTGTTCAAATGTGTAGCGTTTATTTTTAAATGGTTTTCAGATTGATGGAATCCATTCTTTTTGGCGACGATCCAAACACTCAAAACTGGCGCCTGTGGCGCGCCCATTTTAAAGATTCATAGAAAGCATTTTTTTGAGCAGCCAGCGGCGTTTCTGCCTGCAAAAAAAAATAATGCCAAATGACATTGAAAAGACCAGTAAAGAAATGAAAAAATAACACGAAATCGGGGCCGTGTCTCGAAATTATATAGTTGCGCAACCATTTTTCACCCAAGGATCCCCGCACATTTGATTTTTTCATGCATTTTGCATACTGCATGCACCTTATTTCCGGGGACCTTAAATACAACCCGCCACCTTTACGAAAGTTAACAGCACATGACCCATGAACTGGGGGAGTGCCAGGATGGACCGCCATGACACCGAAGCCTTTGAAGCGATGAGCCATGGCAGTCACCGTTCCAAGGCATCGACTTTTGGGTCCACCTGTACTCATTGGATGTGTCTCGAAAAGGGTCATCATTACCCTCTGGTAATCTCTGGTAAACTAACATAACTACGGAAAATCACCATTTTCAATGGGTAAATCCACTATCACTATATATAAATCACCATGTTCAATAGCTATGTTAAATTACCAGAGGATACGACATTCAAAGGGATGTTTGCAAATCCCCGTACGATCTCAATGATATGTGCCCATCTCAACTGTTCTTTGGGAAATGGCCATTCATCGTTTCTCGGTGACTTTGGAAGTACTGGTGGAAGCATGAACTGTCCCCGCAGGATTCCCACATATTGATGTGCCTTTCTCAACTGCAAGTGATTTTCAGAAGTTCGAGTCACATCTCAGTTTTTATTTTTGGCCGACCCCGGAGATGGATACATACCCCGCAGAAGAGCACTTGACGCCGAACATTGTAAATACCACGGAAACAGCCTATGTGCCCGTCTCAATGGCATGTACCCATCTCAAGGGTTCATGTGTTTTTTTCCCCAATTTTTTTCCAAAAGAAAAATTGTTGAGAGCGTTTTGATCGTCCGTAGAATTGAGCTAGTCCGCAAAGCTGAGCCACCCATTAGGACACGACTTATTCGGATTTTCCATCTGTCGCGCGCCGCGTTCCCGGATTTTTTTATCTGAGATAGATTCTGGGAATAAAACATTTTCAGGTGAGCCCCTGAGATGGACACTTGTAACGAGATAGTCTGCAAACGAGCAAGAACCCTCACCCAGCCCTTCGACAGATGGCTTCCCCCCCAAAAGGCAATGTTCATGAGGAAAATGTTGATAAACGAATTTACTAAATCTTCACTGCCGGACTTCACCCAATAAAACTTATTAACAAAGAGGCACTTTACCCAACAATCCATCGATTTGTTGTACCATGTTGTACCACAAATGCCAAGTCCTAACCCTTAAACATATTAAACATGACCAGTTTTTCGAAGTAGCTGAGGTGCTGAGAAACATGAGAAACCGCCGCACCGTCACTGGCTTCCGCTGTCAATGATCAACAGGAAGGCTCAAGCTAGAAACACTGGGAAGCTGAGAGTATTTGGGGCCTAGCAAGATGGGAAACCAGCTACTTGGTTGCAGCCGGACATCATATGACATCATTGCTGAAGATAAGTCCCATCTTAAGCCTGGTAGTACAACCCTCCGTACGTCGACCCAAAAGGGATAGATGGGAATTCTTCATTCGACCCATCAGATTTCATCCTGATCAAATCGATCAAATCGCTGCGGGTTCTAAGGCATGGGGTCGTGCGATGCGAGGCTGGAAAAAATGCTGCACATGCGCATGTGAGGCTGCTCCAGCTGGGCATAGCTAAAGATGTTTTCCCACGTGTCAGGGGCCTTCGGCCAAGAGCCACCCAGCCGCCTTTCCGGAGTATACCAAGCAGGTGCCGCTGAACCCCAAGATGGACCAGGACCTGATTGGATGGATGCTGCAGATTCGTTTCACATATGGCTGGCAAATGCGTGAAAACTTTGGGTGAGACCATCAGTTGATCGATTTTGGTGGTTTCAAGTCTTGTTCATCAATCTTCGAAAAGGGTTGAATCTAGAAACGACTACCCACCAGTCCATTGCCCCCGTGAATTTTGGAGGTTTCGCTTCCCTCACATTTTCGCCAGTGCGGCTCTCCAGGAGCAGGGTTTCAAGAAGTATGACGGACCAACGGGGCCTTTCCCTGTTCCTCGGCAGCTGAGCTCATAGTCCTGGCCATGGATGTAGTATATGAGGCCTAAAACAATGCCAGTTTTCTGAGAATGGTAAACATAGCACATAGCACCTATAAACATGGTGAAATTGGGCATGGTTTTTTAATGGTTTACCATGTTTTACCAACATTATTCATGTTTCGGTCATTTTTTGGGGCGGCAAATACACCAGACATGGATCTGGTGGATGACCTTGGCATTGCCAGTTGGGTCCATCTCGGTGGGTTTGTCTAATGGTGGGATACCTCAAAACGGCCGTTCCGAACGGAGAACATGGTGATTAGTATTGAACCATCAATTATTGGTGATGAACCATCAATATCATCAATATCAGTTGGGGATTCCCATTTTTTCCAGAGAAACAGCATCTAACGACAAGTTGCCGCTGCAGGAACAGTTCGAACTCGCCAATCAGCTCAAGATTTTCCCTCTCACAGAGGAACAGTTCAATGAGCCGCCTTCTCAGTGGGATAAAATCTCAAGAATGGGAATCTATAGAAACAATAAATGGTAGTAAGTAGTGATATATTAAGTATAGGCTGTATAGATATATCATGATATATGTTACCTGTTTATACACACTAGAACAAATAAATAGATATATAATGATATATATATATATATGAAATCTATATATATATATCATCTAGCTGTGGTCTTTGGCCATGGAAATGGGTAGCAGGCAATGGGTAGTGCACCAAGGCACTTCGAGAAGAAGCCAGTCCATGTGAATGCCAAGCCAACCTACTCATCGAACTGGGAACGTGCCCTGGCAAATTTGGCCGCTCAAACATGGGCTATAAAATGGACCCGTGAAATCACTCAATCTTGGTAATTATTGTATTAAAGCATTCAAGGTTGGGTTTGGGTGATCTTGAGCTATACGAATTTGATCCAATTTGGCTTGTGGATTTTCTGCACTTCGCGGACGTTCATTCCGTGAGGTGCTGTGGCCTACCATCATGGGATTTACATGCCAGAGCAACTTGGCAAAACAGGAATCGGCCTATTCCAGTCCTGAATGATGGAGTTCTGCAGCTGCTCGCGGCTTATGATATTTTTTATTGTTTTATGGTGCTGGATGTACGTTTGTTTGTTTCCAGCTCGTTCTTACCTGCTGAAGTGTTGCCGGTGCATTTACTTAAGTCAGTTTCTTAGTCAGAGATATATAAGTATATATGGCTACTAGTTGTAATTAGTTTTTACATATCATATGCAAATGTACACACAATATGTGTATGTGTATATATATATATCACTCATTGCATGTGTTTAAACTGTAGTGCATATTGTGTTATATGACTTATATAACTAATCATTGTTTCTTTACAAGATTTATATATATATATACCTACACCTACACGATGGCATCAAAGGTGGATAGCCAGGGTTTTGCTGTGAAAGCAATAGGCTGTGTAAGCAATTGGCTTGCATTGCAGTGTTGCTTCGGGTCCTCATGGGACTGCTGCGGACTGTCACGTACGACAAGTAGAGAGAGAGAGAGAGGTGTATTTATACAATTGCATACACTTGAAATTATAATATGATACACTGGCTATCATCTATACGTCTCATTGTTTGATCATTTACAATATGTATATATATATATGTATATATTTATATATATATGTATATATAAATATATACATATATAAATATATACATATATAAATATATACATATATAAATATATACATATATAAATATATGTATATATACATATATCACCCTATATGTTTATATACAAAATCGTACAAAATAAGGTTACTGCGAATAGAGTGTAGGCTACGTACGAGTGTATATCCACATATAATTTGACACTCTAGAATCCATTGCCAAAGGGGTACATCAAATCGCCTCTTTGGCTCAAGACCCACTGCAGTACCGGAAAAGAGCAAAGCCATGCGGAAGCCGCTATTCACTTGCCATCGCCATTGAAGTCGACTCCTTCAAGAACCAACATCAATACATAGTCGGAGTGACAACCTCCGATTCGCAGGTTATCAGCCGTAGGACTCCTACGGAGCCTACGAGCGGGGAGCCGCGGGCCTTACAGATGACTGAACAGGATAGCAGCGATAATGCATTTTCTTTCTCTGGACATGCCGTTGCACCAGCTGCCGGCACGCAGTCAAATTCTTCACAGAGTATCGACACTGGTGGAAGCGATGCCTCAGAACTGAGAACAAGCCAACCCAGGCGACATCTGGTTGCTCCTAGAGGGAGACAAATTTCGACAATGCAAGCAATTGAAGATAGGGACAGCACACCTGGAAAGAGAAGATCATCTGCACGACAATTGTCGCCTCCGATGACTCCAAGGACTAAGGCAAAGACTACGTCGTCGAATCCGCCTTCACCGATTCAGGACGCTACTCCATCAGGGACAGGATCTTATCAGCAAGTGAATGCCCCGTCAAGTGGTAGCGACATCTTCACTGCCTATCAGAGTGAATTAACTGAGTACAAAACATCACTGGAAAGGGCCACTGAAGAAGAATCTGTACTTCAGGCAAGATTGAGTGAGACGACAGCATATGCCTATCAACAATTTAATTTCCTGGAAAGCACCACTCATCAAGAGATGATGTCGATGACCGAACAACTCCAGATGCTGAACTTCGAGTTACAGGCTGCACAACAGGAAGATGAAGGTGCGACCTACAGGATCGAAGAGTTGGAAAGGTATCAGACTATGTCGAATGAAGCTGCATCTCATTTGGAATTCAAATATTCACGACTACGTTCGGAATTCGATGAACAAATGGGACAAGCAAACGCAATTATGGTACATGTGGGAACTGACGCGAATGCTCACATCAATCAACTCAGACTGGAACTGGAAAACGCAGAGATGAATGCCAAGCAAGAAGCTCTAGCAGTCGGCTATGCTAATGACCAAACATGTGCTTTGCAGATCGAGATGCTCGAGGTTGCCAATCAGAACCAGACGATGAAGCACACCATGGCCATGAATGTCAGGCGACTGGAAACTGAGTTAGATGCTGCTGACATGAAGAGGGACGAGATCATGAAGGAGTTCCGTAGTAACATAAGATCTGAACATGACCGTTATGCAGAATGTGAACATCACTTAGCTTTGGAAGAATCACAGCTTCGATTACAGGTGATCCACAGTGAGAACTTACAATCTCGACTAGCGATTTCTGAGAACAGGGTTTCTGAAGAATCTCTAGCTGAATCAGGTGGCATGCGGGACATGAGGATAATGGGACTACGTTCTGAACTACACATGAAACAAAGTCTTTTAGATCGAATGCAACAGCAACTGACTGAATCGAAGAATCAGTATCATGAACTTTCCTGTCAACAAGCCAGAAGATCTTCACCAAGCAGATCACCGCATGGAGGACCTCTATACGAGATGTACATGCAAGCCGTGCGTGAACGTGACAGCTTGAAAGAATCCAAGGCCGAAGTTGACAAGTTGTACTTGCAGAATAGATCTGAACTCATTGACACTGAGGACCTGCTCAAAGTCTTCCAGCGAAACTTTGATGAAACTGGTAAGAAATATCAAGATGCTCTGAACAAGATCGATCACATGAGCAACAATCCGAATGTGACGAGTACCTTGTTTGACAGTTTGCACAATGAACTCAATGACAGGGATACAGCTATTGCTCGCCTTCATACTGAACTTGAAGCCCAAAAGGACTCTCTTGAGCGTGCTCACAGGGATGCAGGTAAGTCCATCAAGATGTTGAACGACAGAAGACTCGTGATCAAAGGTGCGACTGACTATTCCATTCCTGAAAGCCATTTGACCGAGATGCATCAATTGGCCAATGAGCGTTACGCTGAGGTAGAAGAAATGTCGAGCACCATTGCTGCCCTGAAGTTGGAAAACCAAGCTCATTCTTCTTCATCAATGAATAGACCGACTACATTACATGGGTACCCCAGTAATGCCATGCCTCGGAATGAATGTGAAGAGAAGTGTGCCAAACTGAAAGCAGAGTTGGACGAGATGAAGCAAGAGAGGAACGCTGAAGTTCGAAATCTTCAAGATGAGTTGAAGAAGATGGAAGATCGTAAAGATTACTATAAGAACAATTTCTCTCAAGCTGAAGATCGTGCCAATGATGAAGAGCAGGAATACCGAGCAGAAGCTGAAGCCTTCGAGAAGCTCAGGAACGAGTACAACACAAATGTCAAGGAGTTGGAGAACCTTGAAAGGGATAGATCCAAGTCATCTGTATCTCTAAGAGAAGCCGAAAAGATCAGCCTCCAACCCTGGCCTAAGACCACTGAACTTTCATCCTGGAAGGGAAGTGTCGTTCATGAAGTTTGCGTTGCAAGTGGAGATCGAAACTATGAAGATTGGAAGGCGTGGTTAGCTCCGTGTCTTGCAGATCAACCTGACTTGGAGGCGCTGGCCAAAGCTCCTGATGTGAGATTCCAATCCATTGATGCCAAGCTCTCCAATGCCTTGAGGAAAGTCATTGACAATGCTGGGGACAAGTCCATGCAAGTGAAGTATGACATGTCCATGAAGAACCAATTGTATGGGAGAAGTGGGGACTTCATCAAGGGACGAGAACTATTTGCAATGATATTGATTAGCTTCAAGTCACCTGACCACACTGAAGTTCTCTACAATGCCCATCATTTGTATATGTTCAACTACTATGGAGATGACCAACTTGAGGCCTTCTACAACAAGTGGCTTGACATCGTATACAATATGAAACATGATGATCTGCCTTCCAACAATTCCCTGCGTGACACATTGTTCCGGAAGATTGAACATTCAAAACTTATGGCCTTCGATATCAACCGATACAAAACCTTTGATGAAGGGCATCATGAGAAGACCTATGCTTACCTAACTGGTATGATCAAGGGATACATAGCACGAGGGAAGCAAGAACGACTGTTGAAAGATAGAGAACGTGCAGTGAAACTGTCATTGTCCTCTAACAAGACGACACCTGCCTTAGAAGATGCAGACAAGCCTGCCGCTCCCGTCAAGACCAAGAAGGAGAATGAAGCGGCTGCATCGTCTACAGGTGATCCTCCCAAACGTCCTAAGGCGAAAGCGAAGAGTGAAGCTGCATCGGTACTTCCTACACCTTCTCCGAAATCCCATGCCGACAAGAACAACAAGAAAGGCAAAGGTGGGAAGGGAAGATCATCTTCACCCGTTGACAAGAAGAAGATTTTCTGTAACTACTTCTTCAATAAAGGAGGATGCAACAAAGGTGACAAATGTCTTTACAGTCATTCTCAGAAGGTCTATGATGCCAAGATGAAAGGTAAGAAAGGCAGAAGCGGAAGTCGAGATTCATCAAGAGGGAAAGGTAGAGGAAGTTCATCTTCAGCTGGACCCAAAAAGAAGGTATGTTGGAATTGGCAAGAAGGTACCTGCAAGTTCGGAAACAAATGTAAATTCCTACATGCAGATAAATCGCCTTCAGCATCCTCAGAGAGAACCAGCAAGAAGACACCAAAGAAGAAGGCGACTCCCATTACCATTGATTCCTTCTTTGATAGCGACAATGAAGATTCCATGGATTATACCTCACCGAGGATAGCCAGTGCAAAGAAGTCTTCTGATGATCGCAGGATCTCATTTGATCTGGAACCTGAGGTGCACGAGATCGCCATTGAGGACTACCAGGAGGGACTACCCAAACGTATGTATCGTGACCCCAACAAGCAATATGTTTTCTGGAAAGTCGATGATTTGACCGACGATCAGTCCAAGTCCGACAACACCCTCGGTTCAGTCCGAGCACGGGCCAAGGCTATCATCATGGACAGATGTGGACTCCATCGTTTTGTTGATGAAGTTAGAATCATTATTGGCCCCAAGTTCGACATGTTGATCAAACTGGACAATGATCGTGATGACTTGACTTTTATTGAAGAGCTTGTTGAACACGAAGTTGGAAACTCCCTCATGAAGTCCAAGAACATAATGTGCATTTCACTACCAGTGCAAGCCAAAGATCGTAG